ATGGCGACCAGAGGAGCACAGAGACCGGCAATACGGTTCAAGCAGCTTGCAATACCGGTACCAGTGCCACGGTTGGGGGCGGGGAAGACCTCGGGAGTGTAGGCATACAAGACACCATACATGATGTTTTGGAAGAAGGCCTCGAGACAGGAGCAGACAAGCTGGACGTTTGAATCCGTAGAGGCAGTAAAGCAGAACAGCAAAACGCCAGTGATGAGGGTTGCGATGGCCATGGTCCCTTTACGACCGATGTATTTGATCTCGACCGTGTAGCAGGCCAGCACGGAGCCAGGGACACCAATGATTGAGGTGATGGCGTAGTTGCGGTAAGTAATATAAGTCGAGCTAGCAGTGCTTCCGAGGTACTGAGGCAGGAAAGCGTTGAAGAGAGGGTATCCCATACCGATGGTTGCCCAGCAGAGCCAAAGGAGGACGGTGGTGAAGCCTAGACGTTTGTTGGCAAAAAGAGGCCCAATACGTTCCATCGAGAACTTGGAAAAGAATCGCTTGATAATCTCGCCAACGGAGAGCTTCTCTTCCTCCTTGCTCTCGGCGACACCGCCGATCTCGTTGAGAATTTCGGAAGTCAACCAGGTCTTTGCCTTGTTCCGGTAGGCAATGCCGTGAACTGAAGCGACTGCCTCGTCCTGGCGGCCGCGAGACAGCAAATACTTTGGCGACTCGTACAGGTGGAAGAGGAAGAATCGGGCGCAGAACATGGCAAAGGTGATAGCACCAAGGGTGAGGACCAGATAGCGCCAGCCCATGTTGTTCTCCTTGGTGCAGGTCTCCACCTTGGGATCACAGCTGAAGATGGGGATATAGGCCCACGCGAACAGACTGCCAATCAGTTGACCGATGGGCCAGAAGACGCTTAACATGGTCAGATAGCCGCCAGATTCACAGGGCAAGAATTCCAAGAAGGTAGCACCATCGACAGGCAAGTTACCGCCAACGCCGAGACCCAGACAGGCGTACAGAGCGCAAGTCCCAATCCAGTTGGGACCACCGCCCGAAGCTAGACCGAAGACACCAGCCAGGAAGAGAGTACAGTTGAAAGCCAGACGACGACCAACGATATCCGAAGCGACTCCCCAGAAGGAGGCACCGATGCAAAGACCAACAAAGAGAGCGCAAGTAGTGAAACGCACTTCGGACTCTCCGAGACCGAATTCATTTTGGATGGGCGTCAGAGTTAGAGCAACTCCCTGAAGCCAAAGGCTGAAGGAACATGTCAATGAGGGTCTTTCGTAGCCATGCATGAATATTCACTTACTTGTCTGCGGTCCATCCAAAACCGCAGAGGGCGAACAGCTCCCACTGATACCGGCCCATGCCAATATCCTGAATAGCCCTGTTGATCACCTTGGCTTTACCTGCAAAACCCATTCGAGTCAGATCACATTCAAAGGTACTCACTTGATTTTTTTCATTCTATGAATCGAAGGGGTGGGCGCATTTGGGGAGGGGAAGATTGGGAATTTCAACTGGAGGACACATACGGTCATACATTGTGTCTAGGCCGGCAGTCGATACCTCGGCGTCAATTTCCGCACGGAGGACCTCAATAGTCAAGTGGCTGGTCTCGCGCAGAGAGCCAGCAGAGCCATTTTCCGCAGAAGGGGCACGATCTAGAGACTTGGGCTGATCGATCGAGGAGTCGTCCTTTTTCTCTTTCTCAACGTCGGTGGGGTGGGAGCGGAGCGGGGCTTCAGATAAAGGAATCACAACTCCTGGGAAGTTCTGGCGTTCCCTCTTGAAGGGGTTAAAGGTGAGGAAACTCATGATGACTTCGGCTTGTGGGGATAAGGCGCTTTGGAACTGCAATGAGTTGGGGCTTGCTGCTTTCTGGGTTGAATGGTTGGAAGGTCGTGAGGTCGTCCGTTAGGGCACTACAAATTGGCGCAATGGATTCCTATGTCGTGAAACCGGATGGGCAGGTCGTCACAGAATGGTTGGACAATTTCACAAAGGGAGAATGGTGCAATGGTTCGTACGCAGGCCGAAATACTGCCCGATCAATGCCGATGCGTCACCGTGCTACTAGAAAGCCGGGTCGAATCACAGAATGACCTTTGGTCGAGGAACAATTGCTTTGTCTTTGTCTGACAGTGAACGGCCGAGCCAATCTCAGAATATGCCGGGACGTGAAAGTCCTGGAGAAGTGGACGAGGAAAGCTATCGATAGCTATACCTCGGGACCCAAGTGGGATAGGCAATGGGGATAGGTGGAGATGGGAAAAGATGAAGATGGGCAAGAAAAGATGTAGGGTGGGATTGTGAAGCACTATATACACCGCGAGAAAAAAAAAGAAAGAAAAACGCAGCAATTACGGTCTCCATCCTAGTCGTCTATTGCTCGTTCCCTTTCCATCCTTTTCATTTTTTTTTTAATTACGGGATGACCGTTCTAAGGGAACCTCATGCGCCGAGGCCAGCATTGGTCGAAGTACAGGCCAAGCGGGCCAAGATACTAGGGCTGTTGGGGGACTCGACCATTCCTGACAGGGAATAGTCGCGGTCTGTAATGCCAATACGCGGAACCTGGGGTGTTACTGGCTGATTGCCACTCATTGGGGCGTGAAGTTCGGTCTTTGAGCAATCGCAAGACCAATCGTCAGGGCGATCGAGCCAGAGAATGGTGAGAGATGCTGTGAGCACGTCTTCCTTCCGTTCATGGTATAGCGTGCAAGTCATACTGTAGACCCATGGGCTCTGAGTGGCTGAGGTGAGGCGTCGGAACCGCCTTGAGTCGAATTGACTTGACTTTGCGAGTGCGTCTGATGCGGGACCATCCTAGCTACTGAATCAGGGCACATCATCCTGGCTAGAACCTTATCGGTCATCCCGGAGATAGGAAAGACATTCACACTCCAATACTTGATAACTTGATGTGACTAATCGGTCATGAGAGTAGATCGGCTGTCATCGCCCTATGCCATCTCCTATGTCTCAAGTCCCTGTATCTCACTCGTCCCCTGGATCCAAACACTTGGTTCATCAAAGAGAGAGAAAAGAACGGAAAAAAAAAATACTACCGGAGCCAACGGGGCTCGGACCACGGGAGAAATTCTCACTTGCTGATCCCCACGTTTTTGACGTCATCTTGTCTGGGGAAATCTCCTTTGACAAGCCGTTTGATCTTCCTGGATGATCTTTATGCGCGATGGCTAACATCGACTGTGTGTAGTGTTCGTCCTTGCGTCTGAATGCAATGCGATTGTAACCTCTGAAGCAGAGTGACACGGTTGACCCGGGTCACATGACTTTGGACGGGGACCGTTTCGTTGCCGCTTTCAGGGAATTGAAAGAGTTTGGTTCGGTTCACCTTTCTCACGAATCAGAGCCCTTCTTCACCGTGGGGGCGAGTCAATCGAGGCTCATAAATTACGAGTCGTTACACACGGGCGACGCCGCCGTATCGTCGGCGTTGCTGACGGCGGCGCCACAACCCACTGCTTGTCGCAATATCAAATCCGGCCGTGAAATCTTACATGTTCTTTTGTGTTTACGGCCGCAAACATGGAGATTGGAACCGCGCGAAGGAGGGTCCTCGGCTCTATGCGACAGACGGCCCGCCTCCAATGTGGGCTGACTCTAGCGTGATAAGAAGGGCGAAAGTCCTGGTGCAATATACTGTATCCACGAAATGGCCATGACGCAAAGATAGGTTTGCTGCCATGTCTTACGCGGACCCACTGAGGGATATAGTTTCCTTTTTGTCCGTTCAAATTTGCCAAGATGGCCATGTTGCGCTCTTACCGATCGCCTGAATGCTTGGCAAGGACCCCAAAACTGTTACCCCGATGGGTGATAGGGTCTTACGCTGCTGCTCCTCTCGGCAAAGATTGCCTCTACACTAGGTCCGATCAAGGGCCTGTAAACCTGTAACGTAGTAACGAAGTACTGTCCATACTCCACTGGGCGCGCGCTACTGCCTTAGCGGCTTCAACGCCGAGAATGAACGCGTAGGAACAGGGCATCACGCAAACTCGAATCGAATATGCGGGTAGGACGGTGCTTGAAACCTCTGTGTCTTCCCGAGGCAGATAAAGCACAAACTTGCGGCTGGATAGCAGCATAGTTATGCACTTGAAAAAAGTTTCAATACTGAGATTAAGGGTCCAAGCCCCACTCTTGAACGGTACACCCTCTATCATTTTTGGTCCGAGTCACGGAGTACATTTCAATCCAAAACAAAGCAACTTCCGAGACTGACCAATGCCATAGGAGCTTTATGGACTACCTCCAACACCCCGTATGTTAGGAAACACCTTTCCTTCGAGCATTGGAAAATATGTCGACTAGCCGCATTTGACCTGGATTTTATCAACCCAAGTGAGTCTTGATAGCCCAGACACGGACCAGACCTAGCAACTATATAGATAGCCCCGAGCCGCGTCATTCTGTTCTGATAAAGTGCCCACAAAATCCGTTAAGGATCCATCGCATTGAAAAAAACTCGATGAGCCGATTCGGCAGCCGGGGATCGTGGCGACAGACTATCGGTGAAAACGTTACTTGAAAAGGCAAAACAGTCCTTACACTAAAATCACACATGCCCATTGGATCAATTGAAATCGTTTCATGCATTAGTCTCATTCATTATCAATTGACTAGACGAGTTCCCCGCGGGGAGCACTACAATTACCAGCCTCAGGACACAAGATAGGTAAACCCAGTCTTCGATGCCAGGATTATCATGCCCACATAGGGATACAAAGGCTGTTGATTTCAAGGTCTCATGTTCTGGGGGTAAACTCGGCTTTCGGGGGTTCAGAAACTACCATGTAACGCGTCTGACACGAATTTTGGGTTGCGGTCAGACCTGACTATTAAGTATTGTAGCTCATTAGGGACTCAATTATGTTCACATGTCATTGCGCATGGCTCTATTTACTGCGGTTCATGCAATCATGAACACACCTGCTGCGACTATATACGAGACCAAACATTCCTGTCAACAAGGTTGCGCCTATACAAACGAGCTGAAATCACGCTCAGATATGATCGGTGTGCCCGAGCAACCATTCCAGATGACGGTATGATGAACGCGGCTGGTACTGCGGCTGCATATGGCCGGACATGTACGTTTCAACCCACATCAGACCACGCTCGTAGTGCTGGATGCCCATGATACCCTGACCTCCATCGAGGCCGTTGTAGCCGTTGTCGTCAAATACCCATTTGTACATGAGATCTGGAATCTCGATGTCGATAGGGGTTTCGGGCTTCTCCTGGAAGCCCAGCTTGCCGTTCCAAGTCATGTTTTGGATGGCCAGAAGGGTACCATCAGTGATAATGACCATGTCGTAGTCGCCGTTGCCGATGAGGACGCGGTTGGTGGCTTCGATGACTTGGGGAGGACCTTCTCAATGGGGTTGGCCGAGGTGTCGCCCTCTTGTTCGGGACCGGCACTGCCACCAACGAAGACGGGTTCATTCGAGCACTCGGACCAAGTGATGTTGGGGGCGTGCATTGCATTCTTGACGTCCTCGCGGTCAAAATACACCGTTGATCCGGGAGCTTGGTAGTCCAGAGAGCCCGGGAAGGCCAGAACGTCCCACAGCAAGGGACACATCGAGCTGATCTCGTAGAGATCCCAGCACGGGTTGACCTTGAAGGTTTCATCGTAGATGATGTCGAACACATCGCATTCCGCGTCTTTGGTGTAATTGAAGAACAGAGGAGGCTGCTCGTGAGGGGGAGGGAAGGTCAGATACTTGTCGATGTAGTCGGCATAGCCACACTTTTTGTGTAGGTGCTCGAGATCGGCCATGAAAGTCTCGTTGAAGCCAAAGAGGTTGGCGTTCTTCTGCACAAATGGCACAGCGGGAATCTCCTCTTGGACGTAGTCAAATTGGCCAATGCAAGGGTCATAGGCCAAGGCACCTGGTCGAGAGTCAGATACCGTCTCCTTGGTTTACTCTCAAGCCCACTTACCCTGCAAGTCGAAGTATTCCTTGTCCTTCTCGTCTAGCATAGCGGCCGAGATGTATGGAACGTAGCGACCAGCATAACTCTCGCCAGTCACGAAGATTTTGAAGTTCTTGATACCGAAAGTCTTCTGGAAGTTCTTAAAGAACTTGATGAAGTCCTGCGCAGTCTCCTCCTGGGTAGTGGCAGTTGGAGTGCCAATGGAGAAACCGGTTCCAACGGGCTGATCGACCCTAAATGTAGGTCAATATTACTAGTCTCCAAGGTCTTGATCCATCTTTGATAAATATATTCTTACCAAAGCACATTGGTCAGATTCACCCACGAATAGGGGTTCTCAACGGGCGCGAAAGTACCAGGTTGCCAGAGGAAACGGCCAGTCTCCTGCAGGAAACTCTCCATAGAGCTACAGCCAGGACCACCATTCAGCCAGATGGTAACTTCATCAACAGGCTTACCAATGGTGGGTTGGAAGACGAAGAACAGCTGTCGGGAATCATCGCCCTCTTTGATAGGGACAAGACCCGAGTACATCTCACCAAGATCAAACTTGACATCGGGCAGGCTGCTGACCAGGTACTCTGCCAATATGATTAGCTCAATGCTATGCGGTCGACCGTCACTGCGACTCATTTACCCTTGGTCTTGGAGCTCAGAAAGCGGAAATCCTGCGTAGAACGGATTGCCTTGGCGTGCGTCGACTCGACGACTTTCTTCGCACGATCGAGAGGAGCACGAACGAGGTTACCGAGACGTCCGAACTTTGTAGCCTCGACAGTCTCCACGCCCATAGAAAGGGCCAGGAGACCCGAGGTCAGGACTGACTTCAGCAACATCCTTTCGAGGAGGGGCCGTCAAAGAAGCCCGAGGTACAGAGCGAGAAAAACAGAGTGCACAAGGACACTTGATCTTCTAGTCTCCGCAGTCCGGGATTGATCTGGATTTAAATACTATGGGGTCACGAATCAAGGAACCAGGCACGTCCAAATGAGCCAGGGCGAGACCTGCGGACAGCCAACCAGCATTGCAATTGCCGGCTAAGCAATTCTTCCTCGACGCCACCACCTGCTAGACCCTTGCCGATACCCACGAGCCACTGATATCAGCGTGAGGCACTTCGGGGCGGGGTAGAGCATCCGACCAAGCCCGGATGCGGAGACTCGCTCGCATATCACCTAGTTGTGCCAATGCAGATCCAGGATCTTGGAATCTGTTGAAGAAAAAAAAAGAATTGACTGACAAAGTGCGAAATTCATACTCGAGATTCTACAAATATCTTTGATAAGCAGCTCTTCGCAGGCTTCACTTGCTTGGGGAAAACGCTCAGACGTCGTTGCAAATTAGGGCTTGCCGGGGAGCGACGGATTCCGGGAATCAGACCTATCTTCGCTCGCCCGATGATGCTATTTGCACAAGTCGCAAAGGACGCTGTTCTCGATTCGTTCGTTGTTATCTTTTCCCCTCGTGCGGCGATTGCGTTCATGACTCAGTGCTATCCGCAGCTTGGTCTTCGCCCAGGAGGTTAATCCGCGACGGTACAGTGGCAAGAATAATATGTATCCACCTAGGCAGCCTCCTGAACGTTGGCGATCGACACCGTAATGAACTCGTCACCTGCCCATGAGCATATGATCATTTGGGCTCCAAGCGAAATAGCGCCCTGAACTCGGAAATGTAGTTTATCGCAGCCCCTGACAATCACTTCCATAATCTGGAGGCGGGGGATAGCGGTAGAGTTCGTGCCTGCCGCGGTCCCTGACTTAAAAAGGTCTACGAGCTCTCTTCTAGTCCTTTTCTATCTGCATTGAGGGATCAGCTCTCAATCCATTTTAACTCTAGCCAGAGGGATTATTAGCTTGACAGAAAGATGCATATCGACCAAGCCTCGATCGGCTGAGCAGCCGATCCCGTCTCAGATGATAGGCCTCAAGAGTGTTATCAGGTGGGCCAGGCAACCCAGCTGCACGGCGTACGTCGGCCCTTGGTGGAGCTTGATAAGAGCTGGGGGAAAAAGTACAGGAGCTGTGTCACCTATGATGCGATAATTTTGGTTTGTTTGTCTACTCTTTGGTCCCTCGCATGTTCCCCCGTTCAGAGCAGTGCTGGCAAGAAGCACCAGATGTGAGATTGGCAAAAAAAAAATGGACTCGCGGGGAATCGAACCCCGGACCACTCCCATGCTAAGGGAGTATTATACCACTAAACCACAAGCCCAGTTGATATATTGGATCTTTCTTTTAATGTTATACAACCAAGATTGATCCTGGGCCTCGACTTAGGAAGTTGGGGTGAAGTGGGAAGTGGGGTATGATTGGGTTCCATTTCTCCGCGGAGAATATGATGATGCTAACTTCGAGGATCGCATGCATAGTAGCCACTCGTGCATTTTCTTTTACGAAAAAAGATACTTCGCCAGGGTATTCAAGAATCATAACTCTGGACACAGGTCTAATACGATAACAGTTTGCTGAAAAAACCGATGTCGGTCATTTACATCGATCTAAGACAGGCACAACTCGTGGGCGCTCCACATCTTCCGCAACCGCCAATCGCAATCTGCCCCTCTGAATTTTTCTCTCGTACTAATAAGAGTCTAGAAAGACCCTCCAAAGGCACTTCAAAGCCAGTAGGGATCATTCCGCCCTATGGACGCATTTGAAGAGTCAGGGTCAGGATGACACCGACTTTTTGTTCGCCGGTGGAAACCCCTCTTCGCTTTGTCGGTGATATGAGTCCTCCAGGTTCACACTTCATCCTTATCGAAACAAGTGCTATCGTCGATCAGATTGAAGCATTTATCGGCGCCGCAAAGCCACAGGTAGATATAAGCGGCTTACACACCGCGTAGAATGTCAACCGAGGTCGGGCCTGCCAGCACATCCATTGTCGCTGGTGACTATGACCATGACTTCGTTACCGATGCTGGTCAAAATGTGACAACAACGGCGGCGACCCACGCTTCCCAGAACTATGAAATGTCTTCCATACATGTAACCGACTTTGAGAAGCAGGCTCAGACACACCCGGCCGAGCAGACGCAGCGCGAGCATGCAGAAACCACCGCCTCTGCAGATGATGGATTATCTCGCACAGCGTCCACGGTGGCGCCGTCTCTCCGATCTGTACACAGAGATCCTGTCAGTCGAGTTACGACAGACGCCGAGGGTAATGTCTACCCCGAAGGCGGCAAGGAGGCCTGGTTGGTGGTATTGGGCAGCTTCATGGGACTCTTTGGATCACTCGGACTCGTCAACACGATTGGCACCTTCCAGGCCTATATTGAAAATCACCAGCTGAAAGATTACAGCTCTGGCAACATCGGATGGATCTTTGGAATGTATGCCTTCTTGACTTTCTTTTGCGGTATGCAAATCGGTCCCATCTTTGACGCACGCGGTCCTCGCGTACTTGTCCTTGCGGGTTCGATCTGCGAAATGGCCATGATCATTCTTCTTGGGTTTTGTACCGCATACTGGCACTTTATGCTGGTCATTGGTGTCTTGGGTGGAGTTGGTGCCTCGCTGATCTTCACCCCGGCCATCTCAGCAATTGGTCATTTCTTCTACGAGAAGCGTGGAGTGGCAACTGGAATGGCTGCAACAGGTGGTTCCATCGGTGGTATTGCATTTCCTCTTATCCTAGAGGCTCTTTTCCCCAAAATAGGATGGGCGTGGGCCACTCGAGTGGTGGCTTTGATTTGTCTGATCGCTTTTGGACTCGCCAACCTCCTCATCCGATCGCGATTGCCCCAGAAGCCCTTCTCAAAAGAGAATGTCCTTCCGGATTTCCGGATTTTCCGCGATCCTCGTTTCGCATTGACCACCGCCAGCGTCTTCTTCATCGAATGGGGTCTATTCATCCCCATCAGTTACATCTCCTCCTACGCCCTTGACCACGGCTTTTCGAACTCATTCTCCTACCAGATCCTCGCCATTCTGAATGTAGGCTCGTTCTTTGGCAGATGGCTCCCAGGATTCTTCGCAGATTTCCTAGGCCGATTCAACACTCTCATTGCTACCGTGGCTCTGTGTCTTCTCTGCAATGCATGCCTGTGGCTTCCAGCCGGGAGCAGTATGGCCTTACTGGTGATTTACGCTTTGCTGTTCGGATTTTCAAGTGGTAGTAACATCAGCTTGACGCCTGTCTGTGTCGGCCAGCTTTGCAAGACCGAGAACTATGGCCGATACTATGCAACCGCCTACACGATCGTCAGCTTCGGGTGAGTCTTTTTCGGTCGACTTTCGTGATGTCATGAATACCTTTGACTGACGTACTCTGCCTTCCTAGTACCTTGACTGGAATCCCAATTGCTGGTGAGATCCTGGCTCGCTGCAATGGCCAGTATTGGGGCCTTATTGCATTCACTACAATTTGCTACGCAGCCGGTCTAGTCTGCTGCACAGCCGTCAAGGTCATTCAGGTTGGCTGGCGTAGCCCCTTGGCGATCTACTAAACTTGGGCCAGGCTCTTTCGATAATTTCTTGATCCCTGGCCTGCTTACTCTCTAATACTCTCTAACCATCTCGAGACGACTTGATGACTCCACAAACAAGGCGTGAAGAGCAGGAAAAGTTCAGCCATTGTGATCGTCATGCAGATCCTTTGTCGCACTTCTCGATATTCTGTGAGCGCTTTGAGGTATTGCAACGAGACATGACTTGCTTTTGCACATACTCTCTTTTTTCAATTAATAAATAATTCTACGAATACTGACAATCCTTTTCATCAATCGTCCTAATCGTGGTACGCTCAAAACTCAATTATTACTCTCAACATGACCGAAGCTAATGATGCGGTGAGATCATGTTCTACGAGCATCCATAGAGAAGCGGATCTCGACCCCAAATAGTCCGAACCAATGTCTTGGTGGAAAAGCAGGGCTTAAGAGAAGAAGCTTGTTATATTCATCCATTATGATGTCTTCACGGCACCCCAGTATTGATGACGATCTAGCCAGGGGTGTTTATGCAACTCCAGTATAGATCGAAGGGGGCGAGGCTCACGAGAAACCCAAACAAAAGAATCCAAGCGCATGAAATATCCGACAGGAGCCCAATTCTATGTAACTGAACAGTCACGATGATGGTACCGGGATTCCTTATCCATGTCACCAGACAACCGGACTATTCCGAAGAGGACGGTGGAATTACTGTTGACCCTGGACGTCAAGATAGGGCTGGCCAGTCCATAAAGTCTAACGAGGATGCAATGGACATAACTTCCGATTCCCAAAGAAGCACTTCGATGACATCGAACATTCATCACTTGTCATAAATTCCCCTCTCGGCCGCTACATATGACAGGGTCTTGCTCCCTTTCCGGTCCTAGCTAGTTTCGTGCTTGACATGTTCGCTTGCCATCCGGTGAATACCGGGCTTCCCCATTCGCATTAGTCTGGTGGTTGAATGTTTCCATTGTAGTTTTGGTTCCTGTTCTGCCCACCAAGTCCTTCTGCTCGGCACCTCGTCATCTATTCTAATTATCTCGAACGGCCATCCATATCATCGCTTTGAACAAAACCCGCCTAACGGCTAGATCTGGGGGTTCTGAATTGCCTTCGCTCGCATCTGATACGACCCTTCACCATGTATACGAAAAAAGGCTTCGCCTTGCTGGCGACTTTCCTGCTGCTGTTCCATAGCCTCCTGGTTGGCGCTGATAATACCGCCAATTTACAAGATCGTCAAGACCACGCCTATGACCAAGACCAAGACGGTCCAGATCTTGTCCATATCGATAGACGTGAGGAACTTACTCACCTCCACGAGCGAGCCGAAATGGAGAAGCGCCACTATGCAACTTTATTGAGCTCCATGCTTGCGGATGAGACGCAGACAACTACCTTGGGGCCAGCATATGGAGGAACCGGAAAATACAAAAGAGACACCTATTTCTGCTCTGGCACTGGGAATGGGCCTGGATCGGGAGCAGGAATCTCTGGTATCGGCGGTAGCCCAAGCAGCATTATCCTGAGCAGTCCATCCTCTGTATGTCCACTGGCGAGCGCTTTGTGTGCCGCTTGTCCTCAGACTACAGCTACCACGACTGTCACATCGACTGTCACGGCGACGAGCATAAGCTGTCCATCCTCGGCAGTGGCTACAAGTCGCGCGTTTACCGAACGCCCATTCTCATTCTCGGCCGGACGTACCCCATCTTCATCGACTGTTGTCTTGTCGACCCCTCTCTTGAGCTCCCGGCTCGAGACTTCAAGCAGGTCAATCAGCAGACTATCCATCCGACCGTCCACCCAGCCACCCCTGGGACCAACGACCCGAAGTTCGACACCACTATTCCGCATATCATCGACACCAGTGGTCAGCACATTGCTGACACTTCCGACCTCGACCGTAGCTCCAAATCTACGTTCTAGTCTGAGTAGCCCATCTGCGGCCGCGATCACTAGTGCGCGGGCATCCATCACTGCTGGCATCGTTCGACGAGCTATAGTGAGCGTCACCTTTGGAAATAGGACTGCGGTGTTTACCAATACGACTAGCTTCCATAACTCGACCTCGACCTCGACCTTGACCTCGACGCTCGCTGCTCTGAACATGACGAGTACCTCGAAGGAGACGACAACTACAGATGTTAGGTCATTCCCTCGTTTCAAGAATCGGGTTCGCTTCCATTAAGTGGAATCGTTTGTTCGCTGGTAGTCTGGTAAGGACATCTGTGGTAAAATGGAAAGTCTGAGAGGATCATGGCTAATTATTATTTGTAATCTTGCTGGTGGGTTGAAGGGAACCGATATTCAAATTGCTTATACTTCTGGAATATTGTCGAAGGTCTTGTCTTCTTTGTACCATGTGTCAGGCTATTGTGTTGAAGAACGAGGCACAATGAGAAGATGGAGCATTATGCGAATGAGTGTGCGTGGTATGGAACCCGGAGACCATCTAGGATACGTGTTTCATCCGTCGAGGTTCGATACTAATAATTGACAGACAACGGGGTGTCAGAAGTTTGTGGCCAAAGTGTTTTCTCATGTTTTTCCCCGGGAGTGAAGAAGATGGGACTGTTGTCAAATGTCCGACGGTCTTACTTAGGGCATTAGAAGACTTTGCGACTTCTGCGAGCATGGTGGAAGCTACGGTACCATGTGATAGTGATTTGGCCATTGAGGACGTTTGATCATCGCATTGGAGTATGCTAGCGCAGTCACAGAAAGCACTAGAGGTTCTGGAGGCTTGAGTCCAGCAGCGGGGCCTCAGTGAGAAGATAATACACGCTTTCAGTTTCAAAGGCGCGACAGAGCTTCATTCTAAATGCGCTACTTTTGGGGGAAGAATGTAATCACAGGAGTCGTGCATTCCGGTCTCAAGAAACGAGAGATGATGATATCGCCTGGAGACAAACAGGTTAGAAAAGACCTTGAGCCACCAAAAATGGCTCAGTAGAAGGAGAAACCTCGGAACCATGGCGCTCTCTGGCTCGCACCGCAGAAGGCTAGAGCAGGAAGTGAGAAGCAACTAAATACAGTACAAAATATAGAAAGAATGCAAGAAAAGGTTCCGCGGCTGGTTGTAAGCGAGAGAATAGATGGCAAACATGACAATGGAATCCCCCGGGGGGCGGAAACAAAGCACCCCTCTGAATTGCAAACTCCCCCTCCAGTAGTCACCCAGACTGCTGGACAGAACCCGAGCCCTATCAATCAGAAGATGCGCCAACAACACCTTGGAAAGTAATAAATGAATGCAACGATGGAATGTAGTATGAATTGGGGTTCAACAATGGCGACGATGAAGTAGGTGGGTATGAGCATGTAGAATGTGAAATCAGAAAATGGCCGAGGCTCTCGACCTCGAGCCTCATATGGACAGGGTATCAACGGCTACATCGAAACCATTTGGAATTCTGCATGGCGAAGAAAAAACATTCACGCAGATGAGCTCAAGTACTGTTGGATCGCAGTAATACCTAGTAAGAACAAAAAGATTGGTTAGTTCATGGGATCTGCAAGAAAATCCTTTACCACATACTTGTTAACGTACCCGATCATCGATCATCTCTTCGTCTCTGTCCTCGGCGGGACCAGGACTGACAACACTTCCACGGGTGATAGGGCCAGAGGTTGTGATTGCCCGGGTGTCCACAACAGGACGCGACGGCGGCAACGTTTGCAGTTTTTGCGAGCGTTGTTGCTGCTGATTCTGGTCGTTCGAGGAGACAGAGGAGTGGATAGGATGCATTTCTCCACTACTGGAAATTCGAGACTCCTTGCTCTTCTCCAACAGCGAGCCACCAAGCGTTGCGCACTTGAGGATTGTCTGCATCATCTGATTCTGCTTAAGCGGCTTCGACAAGTACTCGTCCATCTGAGCCTGGATGCACTTCTCACGATCTCCAAGCATGGCGTGGGCGGTGAGCGCAATGATTGGGGTGCGCTGTAGTCCGCTCTCCCGTTCATACTCGCGAATCTTCCCAGTGGCTTCAAATCCGCCCATGACGGGCATTTGAACGTCCATGAGGATCACATCGTAGCGACGCTTCTTAACAGCCTCCACAGCTTCCAAGCCATTGCCAACAACGAAGACGTTGTGATTGTGCTTCTGGAGTATCTTCATCGCAAGTTGTTGATTCACGTCGTTGTCTTCAGCAAGGAGAATGTCGAAGGAGCGAGAGTTGTCGGTGGTGATGGGGGTTGATCTGCCCTCCAAAGCAGGGAGCATACCATTACCAAGGTCGATGGGCTGACACGGTGTAGTCATATATGAACTTATACCGAGGTCCAAAGCGGACTTTAGACTGACACAAACCAGAGGACAGACAAGGACGATAGGAATATACTTGAACTCATCGAATGTACGGAGAATGCGAGCTGTATCTACCGAGTCAACAATGATGACGTCGTAGGCATGACCAGATTCCTTTCCAGAAGGATCCTGGATTTCAGGCGGAGGAACGTGCTCCTCATTCCTGACAACCAAAGGCTCCAAGTCAATCTGCTTGAGCATTTTCAAGACATTAGAAGCTTGAACTCCGTTCTGACCCTTGTCAATGAAGAGAACTCGGTGGTTTCGATATGGCATGAGCTGAGATGAGATGACAGTCAAGGACTGGTCTGCAAGCTTGACCACGCAGGTGAAGTGGAAGGTACTGCCGTGGCCGTACTCCGAGGTGACCCAGACGTCACCACCCATCAGGTTGACCAGACGCTTGGAGATGGAAAGACCAAGACCGGTACCACCAAACCTCCTGGTGGTAGAGCCATCGGCTTGCTGGAAGGTGTCGAAGATCAAGTCTAACTTGTCTTCCTCAATACCGATACCAGTGTCCGAGACAGAGAATTCGAAAGCGTACTCATTGGTAGTGCATTGCTCCCGATCGGACTTTCGGATCGTGAGTTTGACTTCGCCGTGCTCGGTAAACTTAATGGCGTTGCCAACCAAGTTCAGGATAATCTGGCGCAGACGGAACGGATCACCAATAACATAATCAGGTACAGTGTTATCTACCTGATATGTCAAGCTGAGGAACTTCTCGTTCGCCTTGACAGCTAAGGTCTTAAGGGCGTTAAAGACGGTGCCCCGCACAGTGAAGGGAATGCTTTCGATCACCATCCGATTCGCTTCGATCTTCGAAATATCGAGAATATCGTCGATAATCGTGAGGAGACTGTTCGCTAAGTTGTGCACAACGTTCAACATCTCACGCGTGTACGGCTTTAAGTCATCCGTATCCAACGTAAGCTGCGTCATGCCGATGATACCGTTCATTGGTGTTCGGATTTCGTGCGACATGTTGGCTAAGAACTCAGATTTGGTACGGTTGGCAAGTTCGGCAGCCTCCCTGGCGGCAGTGTTTCGCTGAATACTGTCTCTCAAATTGGAAACCATTTTGTTGATCTTGCGTTTCAACTCGTCCATTTCTCCGGAAGCATTGACGGTAATAAGCTTGGTGAAATCGCCGTCGGTCGCTGCATCAGTAATCTCACCGAATGCTCGCACCTGAGACGTAAGATTTTCGGCCATCGTGTTGACGTCCTCGGTGATTTCTTTCCAAGTTCCTGCAATGCCTTCAACATTGGCTTGCCCACCCATCTTTCCATCGACACCGACATCGCGAGCGACCTTCTTGAGTTCGGTTGCGAATTTGGCAAGTCGACCCACCATGTGGTTAATAGTGACTTTGAGCGTAAGAATTTCTCCCTGAGCGTGCACTTCAATCTTCTTGCTGAGATCACCCTTGGCAATAGCCTGCGTGACATCGGAGATACTTCGCACCTGAGATGTCAAATTTTGAGCCATAGTATTGACGTTGTCGGTAAGATCCTTCCATTTTCCTTCCACATTGTCGACCTTGGCCTGACCACCAAGGGTACCGTCTGTACCGACCTCTCGAGCGACTTTGCTGACTTCGAAGGCGAAGGTATTCAGTCGATCCACCATGCCGTTGATAGTGCTCTTGAGATCTAGTATTTCACCCTGGACGTTGGCAGTAACCTTCTTGGTCAAATCACCCTTGGCGACAGCGGTGGTGACATCGGCAATCTCTCGCACCTGAGTGGTCAGATTGTTGGCCATTCGGTTGACGTTTTCTGTCAAATCTTTCCAGGTGCCTTCAACATCATTCACCGTAGCTTGACCTCCCAGTACACCATCGGTACCGACCTCCTTGGCAATCTTAGTGACTTCCTGTGCGAATTGCCGCAATTGGTCCACCATGGAATTGATAATGTTCTTAAGCTCTGCAATTTCTCCACGGCAGTTGGCTTGCACCTTCTGCGTGAGATCACCCTTGGCGACAGCTTTCGTGACCGTAGCGATATCACGCACTTGCGTGGTGAGATTGTTGGCCATGGCGTTAACATTGACTGTGAGTTCGTTCCACATGCCTTGTACCCCTTCGATTTGGGCTTGTCCACCTAGTACACCTTCTGTACCGACGTCGCGCGCGACTCTCGTTACCTCGGTCGCGAATGTTCGAAGTTGGTCCACCATGGTATTAATGGTTTGTTGCAATTCCAGAATTTCACCCTGAGCACGGCTTTCAATCTTCTGACTGAGATCACCATGGGCTACAGCAGTAGTGACAGCCGCGATTTCTCGCACCTGATCCGTCAAGTTCTTGGCCATAATGTTCACATTTTCTGTAAGTTCTTTCCAAATACCGTGGACACCGGTGATCTGAGCTTGTCCACCTAGTATACCTTCGGTTCCGACCTCACGGGCGACTCGAGACACTTCGCTACCGAAAACTTGCAGTTGGTCCATCATAGTGTTGATTGTACGTTTGAAAGTGGCAATTTCGGGGTCCATCTCTAGGGGGTGAATCTGGACCTTCATGGAAAGGTCTCCGTTGGCGACTTGGGTAATGATACCCCCAATCTCTCGGAGGGCTTTTTGGAAAGCCTCGTTGGCCTGTTGATGCTTGCGTAGTTCACGTTCGAGAAGAACGACGTCTTCGTTTTCGACCTTGGTCAAAGCACGGCGAGTGTGCTCTTCCTGCTTCTGCAACTCATCGCGAACCTGCGCAATAATGTCCTTTTGGAAGCTTATCTCTTCGGCCTGCTTCTGAACATGGTTTCTAAGGATGCTGATATCCTCCTCACGAACGATGCGGGTGCGAGCACCATTCTCGTCCTCCTCGTCGGTTTCGTCGTCGTCAAGATCCGCAGCCGGAGGCTCTTCGGGACCGGAAGGGGTCCGCTGCCGCCGATCGGGTTGATTCAGTTTTTGCTGCTGTGGAAGGCAATAAGAGTCAGAACCTTGACCGGACGACAAGCGATCGAGCCCAAAGGTCCACAAGAAATCAGGGTCCTTCTCGTTGGATCCGAAAGCAGAAGCAGTGGCCTGCTGGGGGTTGTCGGGGAATTTGTGATGACTGACAGCTTGGAATTCCAGATGATGCACGCGCCGCACCAAGGCCTCCAACTCGGCTTCGAAGGAGGCCTTTGCAGGGGTGGGTTCTCCGGGTAGTTGGGAGAATTTCGTGCCATTACTCGAAGGAAATTGGAAATCAAAAGGAGGTGAAGAGGAGCCGGCAGTGGGCTCGTCTCTGGCGAGAGACTGCAACAGGGCCGTTGCGGCCAGGAGAGTCTCATCAGCCATCGTGCCCTGGGCAGGTTAGTAAACGAACATACAGGACGCAAGAAAGGGCCAAAGAAGGGTGGAAGCTTTGGCAGCTGCGTAAGTTGACCGAGGACCTCTCAAGTGGACGGTAGGTCGGGGAAAAAGGGAGTCGAGAACGATGGGAGACGGAGAGAGGGGACTACGTACCGGGTTCCTAACACAAATGAGCGGCTTGGGGGGTCTAGGGCGACATGGATAGCAAGAAAGAAACGAGACGAGATGATAGATCCAAGTCCCGGCTCGGGGTTGACAGAGGAGCTTAGAGAAATGGAGAAGGGGGGATGAAGCGCCCAACAAGGGAGTTATGTAAGCGTGGCTTCTTTTGCGGGGAGAAATCCCAACTTGAACAGCAACTGCAAGAGGAGGAAAAGAAGGGAATGAAGATCCAAACCCTGGAGGAAAGAGGGGGTAAGAGGTGGAAGGATTTCGATAGGGGCGGTGATGCCGAACTACTGTTTTTTTTTTCTGTGCCCTTAGATACGCTCGACTCGATGGGAATCGCACCCACCCGAAGATTTAGTGTCGCTTGCACTGCATTTCTATTCTCGTCTTTCACTTTTTCTTGTTCATGCTTCTATTCTCTAATTTATGAACCCTAAGTCTCCTGTGCACGGACTTTGATAGAGTTCGAATTAAGACCAGGATGCTTGAGGATAAGGCTTCAGGACATCCAGGGCTCTCGGGGCTCTGACGGATGCCATGATTGTTTCATCTCCCTTTAGCCCGCGATTCACCAGGGTTTCGATGATCGACCGTACTAGTGGCGATCATTAGCCTGTAAGTTCCCGGATGCGTTGTTTCAAATGTCAACATATTAATCACGGAGTTGACTTCCTAGCCGAATTGCAGTACTGTATCACGACTGCAATTCCCGGCGTGGTTCTGGGTGGACTCCAAAGTGGTCCCAGCGGACCTTAGTCTCGTCCACTCAGAGTGCGCATCGGAGGTTCGTTGTCTCGGGAGCATTTCGTGCCACAGATCCACGCTTAGGATTCCACTTCGCTAAAGAAATTTTATGTGGCTAAGGTCTGTCTTAATTAGCGCCCCCGTCCTGTGGCGATTGGTATCACAGAACGTGGTCAAGAGTTCAGGGGGGACGGGATCTCCTGTGCCTGAGATGTGTCCCCCCTAATGTGGGATACACCCGAGTTCTGGTCCACACTACCTGCTTTGAGAATAGACTTTACTCAAGTATCATGGGTCGTGATTCCATGGTGCCATGTACTTGAGCTTCACGGGTTAGACAGAACACGGCTAGCAAAGCCCTAGCGCACAAGCCTCGATAACACGACGTGCAGACGTATAGTAGCGGGCGCATAGATAGCCACCACGCTTTGAAAAACTGGCCACAGTCAGTAATATATGCAGTGAATGTGAAATTCACGACTAGTCGGGCAGTTAGGGCTGTGGAAGTAAGTATGGAGTTGGCACCAGTGTAAAAAGAGGTCGAATTTTCGAGCTGCGAGCGACCGTTAAGAGGCTCAAAACAGGAGAGCGGGATTACTGAGGCTGTGTCAGACCCCTTGACGTGGCTGGTTTCGTATTATTATCACACGCCACGAAAAGTACATAGGGCAGTGAGGCAAGGTAATGAGGCACTGAGGCAGATATAGGCGGGGTCGAAAGATGATGCGCCTGAGGCAGTAAATATTTGGTCTCTCCGGCTCACCGCCCGGGATATTGGAAAAGAGTCATCCGTAATTTTGGTGGACACCAGACCGATAACCCCCCCCCCACGTTTTGTTCACCCGCCAAATTCCCTGCAGGAAACGGCTGCAGCCATGGCGTCCGACTTGACGACCCCGATTTTGGACGCCCTGTTCGCGTCCGATGCGCCCATCCTCTCTCACGAAGCCTTCCCCTCCCACCCCTCATTGAACGTCAAAAGTGCGCTGGACCGCCTGTTATCCCGGTCGATGGTCGAGTATGAGACCAAGGAGAAGGATATTGTTACTCTCACCCCTGAGGGCGAAAGTATTGCTGCCAATGGCTCTCACGAGGCCAGAGTCTTCGATGCTGTGGTCAAGGCCTTGGACGGTCTGAAGATCACCGACTTACCCGGAATTGTGGGCAAGGACAACGCCAAGGTTGGCCAGGGTAATGCCTTCAAGCGCGGCTGGATCAAGAAGGATAACGACTTGCTGCGTGCGACAAAGGAGTCAATTGTCGATGAGACCCGCGAGCAGCTGCTCGCCATTCAGAAGACCAAATCTTGCGACGACTCCAAGGTACTTGCCGATCTCAAGCGCAGGAAGTTGGTTACCCTATCCAAGGAATTCTCTTTCGTTATCACCAAGGGTCCCAAGTATGCCCGCGAGATCGCCAAGGAGGAGACAGATCTCACCGCTGAGATGCTCGCCAGCGGCTCCTGGAAGAACACCCAGTTCAAGCCCTACAACTTCAACGCCAAGGGTGCTCCTACGCCTGCCGGCGCTCTACACCCCCTGAACAGGGTGCGGGCGGAGTTCCGAAACATCTTCTTCGAGATGGGTTTCGAGGAAATGCCCACCAACCGCTTCGTGGAGACTGGTTTCTGGAACTTCGATGCCCTCTTCGTACCCCAGCAACACCCTGCCCGTGACCTTCAAGATACCTTCTACATCGCCGATCCTCTCAAGGCTGATCCCCCCCCGCGAGGACCCCCCCCGACGATACTCACCTTAGCAAGGCCGTTATGCCCACTGCCTCTGATGCGACCAAGGCCCAGGCTCTCGACTACAAGCAATACTGGGACAACGTCCACGAGGTCCACGAGAAAGGCAAATTTGGCTCCATTGGATACCGCTACCCCTGGAACCCTGATGAGTCCCTGCGCCTGGTTCTCCGCACGCACACGACCTCCATCTCGGCGTACATGCTGCACAAGCTCGCGGCTAACCCGCGGCCGGCCCGCTTCTTCAGTATTGACCGTGTCTTCCGTAACGAGGCCGTCGATGCTACTCACTTGGCTGAGTTCCACCAGATTGAGGGTGTCATTGCCGACTTCGGCTTGACCCTGGGTGGTCTGATTGGCTTTATGGAGGTCTTCTTTGCCAAGATGGGCATTCACCAGCTCCGCTTCAAGCCTGCTTACAACCCCTACACCGAGCCTAGTATGGAGATCTTTGGCTACCACGAGGGTTTGGGCAAATGGGTCGAGATTGGTAACAGTGGTATGTTCCGGCCTGAGATGCTGGAGTCCATGGGTATCCCCAAGGACATGCGAGTCTACGGCTGGGGTCTGAGTCTGGAGCGTCCTACTATGATCAAGTAAGTGCTATCGGATGTCAAATTTTCAGATCAATCAACTAACTGGCTTCATAGATACGCCGTCAGCAACATCCGTGAGCTCCTCGGCCACAAAGTCGACCTGAACTTCATCGAGAGCAACCCGGCCGTGCGTCTGGAAAAGGAATAAGAAAAATTCGCTTCCTTACCTCGATAGATGTGGGTTGCATGAATTGTCAATAGAGCAAAACTGTTTTTATCAATTGTGTCTTGCTTGTGGAGGTCCTGGGATGTGTGCGTGCCGGGCACTTCACTCGAATCACGAGTCCATGTAGAAGACCACGTATAGCATACGATTCATGAGGAGTAATGAATCGAAAATTCAATGAGATTTCACACAAATCAACCAGTACAAATGCTCCGAGAACAGGACACAAGCATGGGTCGTAGAGGAGAGAAGGTTCTTAGAAGATGAGGATGAGGCAGTGAGTTCGTTGTCATTCAGTTACCCTACGCAAGATTGTTCTACACAGTCTATGAGAGATGTCCCACCCGTATCTGTGCCCCAGTGCATGGATCTCAGCAACAGTGGCTCATCAGTAGGCGAGTTTGAAAAGAATAATTTTCGGCTGGATGTGCTTTTTCTACCCCCTCGCTCATGGAACGCAGAGTTCATAAACACAGACCGCGTCAACGATCCGGCTTTCGACTCCGCTGGTGCGAGGAAGCCTTGATGTGCCGATTGCAAACCAGAGAAAGAAAATGAAGGAAAGAAAATGAAGGAAAAGAGGAAGGAAATTCTTCTTTCAAATTTTTGGGCATTCCATTTTTGGCTTTTTGTTGTTCATGGCCGCTGGGAGGTTGCGAGAAGGAAGAACCCTCACTAGAAAAATCTATCGCGAATGCGTGGAGGATGTGAACAGGCTTTGGAGAAAACCGGACCCATCAAGTCATCGATTCCATTTCATGATAGATAGACAGTAGGAAAACAGGGTTTCTCCTAAGGCAAAAAAAGAAGAAATCTAGGCCGAAGGTGACTATGTTAGGACCCCTCCTCCTATTTTTTTTTCCCCAACTTCGTCAACCAATCCCTGAACCTGGACCATTGAGCCCTAGTTCATCTATTGCATATTAATACCATGCTCAAGAACAGAAAGAGAAGAATTGGTCTCACCATCATATCAACCCGTCATCACCCCAATGTAAACCACATCACAGGCAGGTAATAATTTACCGCTGGCTGGAGGCGGCCCACACGTTCTTGAGGTAACCGTCACGCTGAGCGAGACGGTTGAGGGAGTCGTCGCTCTCACCGCGGGCACGGATGAAACCGCACATGGCGTAGGTGTGGTTCTCGCCGGTGTAGCGGCCGTTCTCGTCAACCTTGCCGACGGAGATCTGGACAGAGGCGTGGTCGTTGGCCTTGATGATGCGGTTGGTGGCGCTGCACTTGCGGGGCACGTAGCTGTCGAGGGGGAGGAATGTGTTAGTTTTTTCTCATGGATTAATTTTCAACGTTGAAATGTTTCCGTCCAATTCTGTTGGTGTCGAAGGGCCTGGCTGTTCGAAACGACATCGCAGGAGTTCTGTGGACTGATCGCCATCCCATCCATTTGCGATCGACTCCGGTTATCCATCTCTTGGTGCTTCGAAAATCTTGGATTGCAGATTGTGGATTGCGATTGCGAACAGCCAGGCTCAGGACACCAGGCGGATTGTTGAAGGGCGAAGGAACTCAGGCACATACAGATCGACGATCTCTCCCTTCTCGTTCTCCATTTTGGCGGATTTGGTGTAAGAGGTTTTGACGGGCGACGGTGAGGTTGGAGGTGGAGGGTTTTTTAGTGGCCCGTAAATTCAAAGACCCAAATGATTTGTGTGGGTCATGTGATCTATTGTCGAGGGCTCGCGTGGTACAAAGGCGGTAAGCGTGGCCTTATCGTTTACCGCCATGGCGGGCTGTGGCAATACGGTCTATGTGGAGACTTCCATTTAAGTATGCGAAAATGCTGTGGATTGACATGGATGGAGCCTCTATATTATCTAAAGATTACTGTGACCTTCTCTTCCCTCTTTTAGAGCATCCTTCTTCCAGGCAACGTTGACCTCTCTCGCACTACCCTTTTTAAACCTCACAAGGACAACCCGATCCGACTCACCACGTTTTCCAGACCCCTTTAACTCGGGCCCAGGTTCATCCAGAGCCAGGACCGCCCGGCCGTCTTCGGTCATCTTGAGCATTTTAGGCGATATGAACTTGTCAGTCCAAGCTGGTGAGCCGGAGTGTACGAACTTGACCAATGCCGCTCGGCGTGTCTCTAATTCCTCCACGGGCACGCTCGATCGGGGTTCCTGGTCGAGGAAGCCTGATATCAGATGTAGAAGCAAGAATTGCGGTGGGAAGAGAATGATCTCTGCGCTTCTTGCGCGACGAAGCCACTCCGAAGCTGGGAGGAATTGCGCCTCTGTAACCTCGATACCGCCATCGCTAGTCGGGACTTGAATCTCGTCCCGTTCACCCTCGCGGGGGAGCTCCTTGAGCAGCTCCTTATCCAGGTTTATTGGCAATGGCATAAAGTAGAGATACATTTGTGTCGTATAACGCTTCGGAACATTGGTCGGCGTGATCCAATGCGTGAATGGGATCAATTGATCTGTTTCAAACATCAATCTCGAGAAAGCCCACCAAGAAAGGGCATGCTAACCAATATCTGGCTCGGCATTAATATGCTGCTGCTTCAACCAGTCTGCGAAGGAAATTTTGTTCTGGTGAATAAGTCGTCTGCCTTGCTCCCGGGTCTCTTCATCAACGACCAGCATCTTTCCAGAATCCCGGTCTTTGGCAAGGAGAATCCCACTTTCTTCGAAAAGCTCCCGAATAGCTCCACATCGGTAAGCAGGAGAGTCCTCATGCACGGCATGCTCTCCAGCTGGTGGGAGTGGTCCATCCTGGCTCGAAAGGTTCCCACCCGGGAACACATGAGCCGATGCAAAGGAGCTAGATGTCTGTACACGGTGAAGAAGAAGGATCTCATTCTGTGGAGATACCAGAATCACACTATATTGTTGGTCAGCAAGACTTTAATGTAGTCATTGAGGTAGGGCCGGTATCGTGATGCCGAGGGTACCCCTGAAGCTGAATCACCGGCTATATGCAGCTAGGGCGTGAATCAATACATGCACAAACTTACCTTGAACTGGGTCGAGGCACAGCCGGTATCTTGTTCTTGCTGCCGTCTTGTTTTGCTTGGGGCATTTTGGCGGGCTGGGCTGCTGGCGCTGGGGTTGAATCGAATGAATAATTCCTGACTGAAGCTCGGGTATCTGGCGTCGGTAAAGCCTTCAAGCGCGCAATGCTAAGTGATGACCGATTATTCTGGGTCCTCGGGTTGAAAGGAGTCCTTCTGGCCAATCCAGATAATAACAAACGAGGACACAGGCGTTCAGATAAAATGGCAGACATTGCCCAAAACTGTGTGACTACCCGTGGTTATAGTCATGGACAAGTCCCGAGAGCCTAGGCAGATCCATGTACCCCGCATCAGCCTTGGCCGCTTTCGGGCTTGCCGATAGCCGCGCCATGTGCTTTTACTTCGTCTACTTGAGTCATCTACAAATGCACAGATGGTGTTCGGAACAGTATGCTCATTAATTGAAAAGTGTAACTCCTCAAGTCATAACTCCTACCCATATCGTACCCCATTTTTTATTTTCACCATATCTTCGTGCGGAGAATCCCCAATCATATTCACAGCGGGAACGTCCATAGTTCAAAGAAGCTTAGCTCTTACGCGTAAAGCTTCTTGTCGTAGCTGTGAAGACCGTGGACATTGCCCTCGGCCATAGCGCTGGCGGAACGCATCTCGAAGCGAACGGAGCCGTTGTTGACACCGGCGTGCAAATCGTCGAGGCTGCGAACACCCATGTCCTGCAGAGAGTGCTGAACACCGGTCACGAGGTAAGGGATGAATTTGGTGACGGAGCCACGGTCGAGGACGGAGCCAGCAACACCCTGGGCAACCAGGACGTTGGACTTCTCAGAGAAGTAACGAGCGGTACCAGCGTTGCTAGCCTTGTTGTCCTTAGCACCAGCAGCTGCCTTCTTGTCCTCCATGGCAGCAATACTGCCCATACCACGGTAGGCCTTGACGAGCTGACCCTCGTTGGAAACGAAGTACTCGCCGGGAGACTCAGTGGTACCGGCAAGCAGACCACCCATCATAACAGTGCTGGCACCGAGGGCTAGACCCTTGACAATATGGCCAACGTTCTGGATACCACCGTCGGCAATACAAGGAACACCGAAGCGAGCGGCGAAAGAGGAGACGCTGCGAACGGCGGCGGCCTGGGGACGACCGACAGCCATGACCTCCTGGGTGATGCAAGCACTACCACTGCCCATGCCAATTCTCAGGCCATCGACACCAGCGGCGATCAGAATAGCAGCCTGCTCACGGGTGACGACGTTACCACCGATAACGTCGATCTCGGGGAAGGTCTGCTTAATGTACTTGACCATGTCAACCATGAACATGGAGCTACCGTTGCTAGAGTCCAGGACGACAATGTCAAGACCCGCATCAACAAGCAGCTTGAGACGGTGCTTGTCCTCCTCACGGGTACCAATGGCGGCAGCACAGATGAGCTGCTTGGAGTCGGGGAGCTTGGAAGCCAGGGGGTAGTGAAGGTTCTTCATCAAGTCCGAGCGAGAAAGCAGGGAGACAATGTTGCCCGTCTCGTCGACGATAGGGAGCTTGCCCTTCTTGGACTGACGGAGAACCTCGTTGGCCTCGGCCAGGGTGGTACCAGCCGGAGCAGTGACCAGGTCAGTTGACATAATCTCAGTGACGGGGTCGTTGAGGTCACGGTGGAACTGGATGTCACGGGAGGTGACCATACCAATAAGCTTGGATTTGAGGGTTCCATTCTCTGTTGCATGACAGCTGATTAGCATTCATGCTAGGAAATCATTGGGTGAACAAGAAATGTGATAGGAGTGCGATCAGTTGAGAATCGGTTCTCTACAGCGCAACTCTCGTTGCTCCAGTGGAACGAAAGTTATATAGAAAGATGATGGATCATCATGCAAAGGTGGTTCTGGGATAAAACGGAAGAAAGCATGGTGATCGACTTACCAGTGACAGGGAAGCCACCGAAGCCCCACTTGGCCTTCAGCTCCTTGACCTCGCCAACAGAGCACTTGGGAGAGAGGACGACTGGATCCAGGATGAAACCGTTCTCATATCTCTTTACCTTGCGGACCATCTCGGCCTGGTCCTCGGGGGCACAGTTGTGGTGAATGACACCAAGACCACCGAGCAGGGCCATGTGAATAGCCATGTTGTGCTCGGTGACGGTGTCCATGGGGGACGACAGAAGGGGAGCCTTCAGCGAAATACGCTTGGTCACAGGGGTATCAAGAGAAACATCAGAGGCAGGGAAGCCTGTATCGGGATGTTATTAAGATGGCCTCGTATCATTCCCAAGTGAGATCGCCTTACCAATGTAACCGGGCAGGACCAGGAAATCGTTGTAGGTCAGAGCACCGTGCTTGTCGGAGTCGAGAAGAGTGTCAACATCCAGGCCATCCTGGGTAGTATAGGTCTTCACGATCTCGAGAGCCTTGGAGTAGTCCTCGATCTCAGCCTTCATGGCGGCACCGGGCGCGGCCTCCTTGTCGGTGATAGGCATAATTATGAAAAAGAGGGGATCTCTGATGCCGGAAAGAGATGGGGTATAAAGGCAATCGAGAGTCAATCAACAGGGAGGAAACAATCTGTTGATGGAGAGAGACCAGCTTTCCCAAAGAAAAGAAAAGAAAAGAAAAAGTTCGACGAAGACTTCCAGCTTTTCTTTTCCGCGCACGGCCAGCCGGATGGCACTTTACCTGATCGAGAGTAGCGTACCGTCCTTTGATCTTTTTTTTCACCGTTCGGGGCATGGATTGGCTGGATAAACGAGAGTTGCTCGGGCGGTGAGGCAGAGCTGCTTAGCAATGATGACTCGGGCTTAGAGGTTATTTTAGGTGCCTGAGGTGAAGACGGCAGGTGAGGTAGAGAGTCGGCTATTCATTTTCATTTCCAAAGTAGGTGTTTAACAAAGCCAGTGGTCATCAAGACTGCGTTATGATGTGAGGGGAACATCTTCTGAAGAAATATATGCTGCCCCCACAAAATTTCTGGACATTCAAACAATTGTTGGAACTAGAGTTCAAATCCTTTGCTACGAAAACCATAGCGAGTCATGTTGTTTTCACACAGACATTCTATCTATGAATGGAAGATATCCTCTCATTCAGGGTCCTTTTCTCTTCACGTGGAAGGACTTGCTGCTTACGAGCCAATAAAGCGCGACAGCAACCTGACGGCAACAGAATTGAGACAATCTCTGGCCGTCGACCATTTTGCTCCATTGGCCAAGCTGTTATGGATGCAAATTCAGTCTTTTCTATTCATGTTGTTTCGCTCCTGGTCCCTAAAGTAGATAAGCAAGCTGAGAGACGAGCTTCGCAGGGCAGTATCATTGATCATTGCATGTTGAGGCTGCTTAAGAATACTACTAGCAGTTTTCACTCATGTGACTCATGTCTGGTACTCAAATGTCGACTCTCCTAGTCATTGATTCGTAAGTGTGTCTTTCGTGATGAACCGAACGCATCTAAGCACCTCTGATTAGTACAATAGCCATGGTTCCGCCCCGTCTAAAGCCTTGTCCCAACCATCCTCATTCTGCCATATCGCGATGCTCTCCACCTCCTCTTTCCCCAACCTCAGTCCATTATATAAGTGCTTCAGGTCGTTTAGCGGTACACTCTTCTATTGCATGGTTGGCGTAGCTGTATGACCTACCGGGAACAAACCCTCACCGGGCCGGGGCCCGCACACCTTCGCGTCGGGCGACTCCCAGCGAATATCTTGTACAACTCGCCCATACTCGATGCGCAAGATATACACGACCGGCTCATCTTTAAAAAATGTCTTTAATGTGTTGGGCACCTGGTGCGCCATCGAGAGGTGGACAAATCCGGAATCTCGGTCGAGCTCGCTGACCGGCAGGCGCTCGGGGATGGGCTCGCGAATGGGCGCACTAGAGGCAATAATTTTGTAGAGATAGCGCGGTTGGGTTTCAAGCGTCGCCATGATTGCAACTTAAGGATTCCAAGGTTGTGGTTGTTCGAGAGTGAGAAGTGGAAATGGCGGTTGGAGTAATGTCACCATTCTCGCGTTATTCCCCAGGTTGGCGGGGTCGACGGTTCAATCGGCAATGTTTAGAAATCGCGTACCACGGTTCATGGAAACCCCCGGTGTAGCTCTCGGGCATTTGGTATACATATGGGTACTTTGTCTTATCCCATTTTCATCTCAATATGGGAATTAGCCTTGGTCTCATCCGTGCACTTCCTCAATACATAATGGTGGCGTGGTCACAGTACATCCGACTCGACAATATAAATGTTTCTATTCCGGAATGGTGCAGTAAGGAAAAAATCAGACTGACGGAGAAGCCCACGGCACGAGACCATAAGACGCAATCAAATCTGCTTGCCTACACCAAGAGCTCACAATGCATTGCACTAGGGCCGGGGCAGCTTGCAAAGAGCCAACCAAGTTTAAGTAAATCTCCCGAGATTGTGTTCGAAAGGTCGGCAAAAGGCATTTGCGAAACAGGTATCTCAGCCATGTCGTCGAAAGAAACAACTTCTTAATTTCACGAAGATACAGTGCACTGATTTACTGAGTGAAGGGTACAAACTCTTAACGGGTCTGAGGACGGTAGAGCCCGGTTAAATGTGATGGTCGCACGGGGCTACGGAATCCTCAAACCTGCCGAATGGATCTCAGCAACACCTACCGAGAATGCCGGTATCCTCCCTGTGTGACAATTCCACTACACCATCTCACCATAGAATGCCAATTGACGAAAGGGAGATTGAAAAAATATGAGTCATCATAGCTAGTTCATATCTCGAAAATTCGAGATTTCGTGTCTACCTGGGCGAGTGAACACGTGACCGTGATTGATGATCGGCGATCGCCGCCAAACTCGATTGGGAGGTTTGTTTATGTCCAGAAGTGGGGAAGATCCCGGTTCGCTCCTACCGTCCCCCACTGTCAACAAGAGTCCCATCTTCGGAGGGTCCTGCTGGAGCCGCACACCTTCACCTTCATCTTATCGAGTTTTAGCATTTCGCATTTGTCGACCTATCATCTGATTTATCAATAACTCCGTGCGTGCTCACCGGATTTCACATTCCAAGCGCTGACCCGAAATAACAAGCTCAGTCTTTCGAAGCTCGGACCGAATCAGAATCCTCCGCCTCTGCTTGTAAAGCAGGGATGCGTTCAATCGAGAACGAGCATCTCTCTCCGAATTTCGCAACCTCGCCGCGACGGGAATGGTAATGTCGACTCAATTTCCATCGTTCAAGCGGGCCCATACGGATCTGCCGGCGCAGTCATCCAGCCCATTACGGAACGGCTCAACCGCGTCCACAAACTCCTCCACATATTCGGTTGCGTCCAGCTCATTTGCTCCGAGTCGAACAAGCACGATCTCATCCAATGCGTCGATTCAGAGCAACCTAGGCCATCACCGAGGAAAGAGCGAAGCTAGCACCCTAACCATGGACGCGGCCGGACAAGGAAACTGGGCAAATGCTGGGTCGACATATGAGAACATTCGTCGATCCCTACGACCTTTGCAACAGGCACCGAACAATACCCTGTCTGCTCCCAAGACTGGCGGATATCGGCACTCGCGTAGCAACACCGTGGATGATCACCAATACAGCAAGTCAAATCGGCCCACTACCCCCGAATCTCATCATGTCCACTTCAAGGAGAATAAGTCGCCTCGCTACATATCGCCGCCTGCACTTGAGCCTCAAACACCTCCCATTGCTGCCTCGCCTCGAAACTGGTCCTCGACTCCAACCCCGGCGACGCCGCTCTCCTCATCACCACAAAAGACACTCTCCAACAGCCCTCGCCCCCCCACCGCTGACTACCGCTCTATCTGCACCCGAACTCGAAACTTTCCAAAAATCAGCAACGGGTCACCTAAGAACTCTTTCCAAAATCGCTCAGTCTGGCGAGACAGAGGACTTCAAGTTCGGCACGACAACCCCAACGGTCATTGGCCTACAAGGGCGGCGACGTTTGAAGCGCGCGGACTCGGTTGCTGGAAGAAGTGGTGCCCGGTCGCCAGAGAAGCCCAAAGTGTCCTCATGGGCGGCAGGTAACTGGATGGATCAGCAACGTCAATTTTTGCAAGCCTACGAGTACTTGTGCCATATTGGCGAAGCCAAAGAGTGGATCGAGCAGGTGATCGATAAGCAGATTCCTCCGATTGTTCAGCTGGAGGAGGGTTTGCGGGATGGTGTTACTCTCGCGGAGGTGGTTCAGGCTATGTACCCAGATCGGCCTCTGCGCATCTTTCGCAACCCCAAACTTCAATACCGCCATTCAGATAACATCGCTCTCTTTTTCCGCTTCCTCGATGAGGCTCAGTTGCCCGAACTGTTCCGATTCGAGCTGATTGATCTTTACGAGAAAAAGAACATACCCAAGGTCATCCACTGCATTCACGCCTTGTCCTGGCTGCTCTTTAAAAATGGAATGCTCGACTTCCGCATGGGCAACTTGGTCGGCCAACTTGAGTTCGAGCACCATGAACTCGAGAAAACCCAGAAAGGCCTTGACAAAGCAGGCGTTAGCATGCCGAGCTTTGCGGGCATGGCTGCAAACTTCGGCGCAGAGCCTGAGCCTGAACCGGAACCAGTCGAATCAGAGGAGGAACGTATTGATCGGGAGCTTCATGAAAATGAAGATTCAATTGGAGATTTCCAGGCTCAAATAAAGGGAGCGATGATGCGCTTGAAGCTCGGGAACACGATGAATGATCTTTGGGACTTCGAGCCTCTGCTCATTGAGTTGCAATCGCGCTTGCGTGGAGACTGGGCACGGCAAATAAGCTCATATCGACTCAGCATGCGCCAGTTTGCAGTCCAGCTCCAGGCAGCCAGCCGCGGATTTATCGCACGGCATCGCCAGAAAGGAGAGATGCAATGGCGAAAAGCCCAAGAATGCGATATTCTCGAGTTGCAAAGCCTTATCCGCGCCTCGAAGGCGCGAGCTCGAACACGCACTTTGCAATCCCGCATTCACAAGGAAGAGCATGGAATCAAGCAATTCCAAGCTGCCATCCGAGGCGCCCTCAGGCGCAAGAATGTCACCGACCAGTACGAAGAAACGCATCATGTCGAAAACGATGTTTTGAGTCTGCAGGCAGCAATCCGAGGTGCTCTGCACAGAAAGCACAGAAGCTTGCAATCACAGGCCCTCGAAGAAGCCAGCGGTCCTGTGAGGTCACTGCAAGCAGCAATCCGAGGTGCTCTGCACAGAAAGCACAGAAGCTTGCAATCACAGGCCCTCGAAGAAGTCAGCGGCCCTGTGAGGTCACTGCAAGCAGCAATCCGAGGTGCTCTGCACAGAAAGCACAGAAGCTTGCAATCACAGGCCCTCGAAGAAGTCAGCGGCCCTGTGAGGTCACTGCAAGCAGCAATCCGAGGTGCTCTGCACAGAAAGCACAGAAGCTTGCAATCACAGGCCCTCGAAGAAGTCAGCGGCCCTGTGAGGTCACTGCAAGCAGCAATCCGAGGTGCTTTGCATCGAAAACAAAGGAATGTGCAATCGCAAGCCGTTGAAGAAGCCAGCAACCCTGTGAAGTCACTGCAGGCAGTGATAAGAGGAAATTTCGCTCGCCAAACCATTCTCCAAATAAAAAACTCCCTGAGCAAAGATGTCTCTGCTATCACATCACTGCAGTCCTTTACTAGGGCTCTAGCGGCCAGAAAGCAGCAATCACAGCTCATGAACGCCCTCAAATCCACCGAAAATGGATGTAGTCAATTACAAGCGTTCATCCGAGGTGCCGCCTCCAGGAACGATTACTCAGCTCTTCGTTCTGAGCTGGCCCTGCATACGCCAGCTGTGACTGACCTACAGGGAATGGTCAGGGGTAAGGCTATGAGACAAGCCCTGGAGTCACAACGAGCAGCGTTAGCAGATCAAGAGAGTATAATCTTGGACTTGCAGTCAAGGGCTCGGGCTACCCTTCTGCGTAAGGACCTGGATGCCGACCAACAAGCTCTGCAGAAAGAAGAACTTTCCATTGTGGATCTCCAAGCTCTTGCTCGTGCAGCCATCTGCCGAATTGAAGTTGGCAGCATTCTTTCCCGGCTGGAAGAACATGAAGAGGATGCTGCGAAGCTCCAAGCATTGGCTCGCGCTATGCTTGTTCGAGTCGAGGTTGGCAACATGTTGGCTGACCTTGAAGAGGATGAGGACATCATTACTGATATCCAAGCCCGCATCAGGGGCATGGTCATTCGCAACCGCTTCGAGGAGAGACGCCGTTACTACAACGAGAATATGGAGAAGGTGATCAAGGCTCAGAGTGTCATCAGAGGCCGCATTCAAGGTCAGGCTTATAAGAGTTTGACCAGCGGCAAGAACCCGCCTGTTGGAACCGTTAAAGGCTTCGTACATCTCCTCAACGACAGCGACTTTGACTTTGATGAAGAGATCGAGTTTGAGCGCTTGCGAAAAGTCGTGGTCCAACAAGTCCGACAAAATGAGGAGGCGGAGCAGTATATCAGCCAGCTGGATATTAAGATTGCCCTCCTTGTCAAGAACAAGATCACGCTTGATGAAGTTGTCAAGCACCAAAAGCATTTTGGAGGACACATTGGCAACTTGCTGTCCAACACCGAAATCTCCTCGAAGGATCCATATGATCTTAAGGCGTTGAACAAGACGTCAAGAAGAAAGCTGGACCAGTATCAAGTATTCTTCTTCCTCCTTCAGACACAATCCCAATATCTAGCCCGCCTGTTCCGTCGACTTCGCGAGATCAACACCTCAGATAAGGAGTATGAGAGAATCAGGCTCCTGATCATGGGTCTTTTCGGATACTCGCAAAAAAGACGTGAAGAATACTACCTTGTCAAACTCATCGCTCGCTCGGCCAAGGAGGACATTGAGAACTTTGCCTCCTTTCCCGAGTATCTGCGCTCTACTTCCTTCTGGAACAAGCTGTTTGGTTCATACGCAAAGTCACCCCGAGACCGAAAGTTTATGCGCGATGTTATGGGCACCATGGTGAAAGAGTCCATTATTGCAAACCCCGACCTTGATCTCGAGAGTGACCCGATCCAGATCTACCGATCTTCTATCAACAATGAAGAGCTCCACACGGGTCAACGTAGCCGTCGCCCCGCAGACCTTCCCCGGGAAGAAGCGATCAGAGATCCCGAAACTCGCGAGACTTTCATCCAACATTTGCAAGATCTGCGCGACCTTGCCGATCAGTTCTTCACAGCCTTCGAAGATTTCCTCTACCGGATGCCTTTCGGGACCAGATATCTTGCCCAGCAAATGTATGACAATCTCATCGCACGTTTCGCGGATGAGGACCCAGGATTTATACTGCAAACCGTCGGCCATTGGCTCTGGAAGAATTATTTCCAACCTGCAATGCTCGAGCCAGAGAAATATGGCGTTGTGGATCGCGGCTTGACGCAGGAACAAAAGAGAAATCTCAGCGAGATCGCTAAGGTGGTTGCGCAGGTCGCTTCCGGAAGACTCTTTGGGGCGGAGAATGTCTACCTTCAACCTCTCAACTCCTATATCGGCGAGTCAATACAACGGCTAGGCCGCATCTGGGGCCAAGGTACGTTTTGTCCTACCTACTTCTTGTATTGAATTATTCGACGTGCTAACTTGAGGCAGTGATCTCCGTCCAAGATGCAGAGTCCTACTTTGACATCGATGAGTTCAATGATCTTTACGCCAAGGCCAAACCGACATTGTATATTAAGATGTCCGACATCTTCTCCATTCATCAACTCGTGGCCTCAGAGATCGAGTTCATGTGCCCGAACCCCGATGACATTCTCAAGCAATTTGTCCGAGAGCTTGGCAATGTGAAGCGTAACGAGAGCGAACTGATGGGCGTCAGCACTACTGAGATCAATCTTACGCTGAACCCGAAATTAGCCCAGATGGAAGGTAAGAACATCGGCTTGGATTCTTGTCATTCGTCAACATGCGCTAATCATACTACAGACCCAGAGGCCGAAATCAAGGCACTCTTCATGGAGACCAAGCGATGCATCCTTTACATTATACGTGTCCAGACCGGTGCCAACCTTATGGACATCATGGTCAAATTGCCTAACGATGAAGATGAGGCAAGGTGGCAGACCTTGGTTCGGGAGGAGCTGCACACCAATAACCCTCGACGTGGCGCTTACGGCGAGGCTAGCAGTTTGGTTGACATTGGCTCAATGACCTACTCCGAGCTCAAGAGCACTGCTCTCGAGAACATTCTTCGTCTGGAGCAGGCTGGCAAGATCTCTCGACACAACCATTACCAGGACCTCCTGAATGCGATTGCTATCGACATTCGCACAAAGCACCGCCGGCGTATTCAACGAGAGCGTGAGCTGGAAGGCGCACGTCTCACATCCACCCGTCTCAATGACCAAGCCCTCTATCTGGACCAGCAGCTCAAGACCTACAACGACTATATTGAACAGGCCATGATCACACTCCAGAACAAGAAAGGCAAGAAGCGATTCCTGATGCCTTTCACCAAGCAATGGGATCACCAAAGAGAGCTTCAGAAATCTGGGAAAGTGTTCAAGTTTGGGTCCTACAAGTACTCTGCTCGCACTCTGGCCGACCGAGGTGTCTTGGTTGCTTGGAAGGGCTACTCTGAGCGCCAGTGGGATCGCGTGGACCTGACTATCTCCAGTAACGAAGTTGGAGTGTTCACACTTGACGGTAGCAGTGGCAACATGATGGTGCCCGGTGCCAATGCGCAGATCCCCTTGGATGACTTGCTCCAAGCGCAGTTCAACAACACACAGTTCATGGACTTTTTCGAGGGTCAGATGCGCGTGAATGTGAACCTGTTCTTGCATTTGATCATGAAGAAGTTCTACAATGAGTGAGTTTTATGTTCATGGAATGACGAAGGGATGATTTGGGTGGGCATTCGTAGTATTATTTTTCAACGCTTTTCCTGTTTTACTTCTCTGTTTAGATACCTAGGGTATTTGTTTTAAGGATTTTTGGATAGCGATAACGTCTCGGTTTATACGAGTTCCCGAAATGAAATGTACACAATATGATTAATGTCAGCTTCATACATCTTGTAGATTTTGTAGGCTTTGGTGGCGAAGGAGTGAAGTATACCGTCGCCGGGGTCAGGGGTTGCCACGTGACTGCGTGGCGCATGGGAATCGGCCAGCTGGAAACCGGTCAACTTCCCCCTCCAAGGACAACTCTCCTCTGACACCGCAACCCCGGCGGGCTTCGCTTTATTGTCCTTGAATTTCAATCGCCTGAGCTGCGTGGTATCGAATCGCATTCCTCCTGTTCCGCATTACGTCCCCTTCCGCCTGACAACAGTCCACCCCTCGCCATGGACTTCTCCAAACTTCAAAATCAGGTCAGCAACCTGACCTTGTATGACCTCAAGGCTGGTGTTCGCAAGGTGCAAAATGGTACGTTATGATTTCCCATGTTGATCTGTACTGCAATCTCAGGCGACTTGCGTTTGTTTCGCGAACCCCGGAAACCCGCTGACCGCTCCGTCATAGCCGTCATGAACTATACCGAGATGGAATCCAAGGTTCGTACCCAACCACGACTCGATGCGCAACACAATCGCCTTTCGGAAGACAATCCTAGGATACAAAATAACCCAGAAACATGACTCAACGCTGACTCTCGCGGATTAGGTCCGGGAAGCGACAAACAATGAACCTTGGGGGGCCTCAACCACCTTGATGCAGGACATTGCCAATGGAACACACAGCTAGTCAGTAACGCTTCTGTCCCAACCTCGATCGAACGCGCACATACTCATACTATTACCCAATAGCCAATTGCTCAATGAGATCATGCCTCTGATCTACAAGCGTTTCACCGATAAGGCCGCAGAAGAGTGGCGCCAGATTTACAAGGTAAGGGAGGGTTGCGCTTTAATCTTGCTCTACGATCACCGGAATCCAGTCATACTAACACGGGCTTCTTTTGCGAACAACAGAGTCTGCAGCTTCTTGAATTCCTCGTCAAAAATGGATCCGAGCGGGTAGTCGACGACGCGCGGTCTCACATGTCGCTTTTGCGGATGCTTCGGCAATTCCACTACATTGATCAGAACGGCAAAGATCAGGGTATCAACGTCCGCAACCGATCCTCAGAGCTGGTGAAGCTATTGGGCGATGTCGACCAGATCCGCAACGAGCGCAAAAAAGCCAAGGCTAATCGGAACAAGTTCGGTGGATTCGAGGGCGGTATGGGTGTTGGGGGAATTTCTTCTAGCTCCTCCGGCCGTTACAGTGGCTTCGGAAGCGATAGCATGGGATACGGCGGATACAGTGGCGGCGTTTATGGTGACGGCGGAGGCTTTGGCGGAGCCAGTGGTGGTGGTGACTTCCAAGACACCACCACCAGCCGCCAAAGTGACCTCTACGACGAATATGACGAGTACGACGATGGAGAAACGAGCGCACCGCGGCGTCAGCCAGCGTCTAGCGCAAAGAGCGAACCTAAGAAGCCGGAGCCTGCACCCGCGCCTGCGCCTGTAGCCGACCTCTTCGATTTTGGTGACGATGAGCCCGTTGCCACATCCACCTCTGCTGGTAAGCAACCCGCTGGCAGCGCATTGAATATGCTGAACTCGACACCGGTCGACGATGATGAGTTCGACGACTTCCAGTCCGCCACACCGGCACCTTCCGCGCCAGCTTCAAACCAATTCGGCATTGCGCCTCCCGCATCCCACGGCAGCACAAACTCCAGCACCCAATTTGTGGCCCCTGTACCCGTGTCGGCCTCGCAAGGCAACAATATCAATGGCATTGTCGGTTTCACATCGGCCACTCCCACCCCATCTACCAGCTCAATGACCTCGCCCGTGTCTCAGTACTCCTCCATGCAGATGCAGCAGCCTATGGCCCCTAAGCCCTCCGGCTACCAAGCCGCCACACCCAATTACTTCACCAGCGTGAATACTAACCCTGCGCCCTTCTCCTCGCACGCTGCTACGTCTTCGGTCTCATCCACGGCCTCCCCAGTTACCGCAAACAAGCCCGCCGCCAACACAGCCGCCAAGAAACCAGCTGGTGACGCCTTTGGTTCCCTCTGGTCCACTGCCAGCGCCAGCGCCGGCATCCAAAAGTCCAACAGCAACGCAAACAAGGGTCCTAACCTCGCCAGCATGGCCAAGGAGAAGGCCAGCGCCGGAATTTGGGGCGCCCCCGCTGCCTCTGGCGGTGCCTCAGCGCCCCAGTCCCAGCAGAAGCAGGGCGGCTCAGCATTCGATTTGCTCGGTTGATTTCGAGACTGTACTTGCTTGATCCTCCCTTTGCTTGTGACTGGGTACATTTCAGAGCATAATGTCAGACTTCATCTTCATTTCTTGGATTCTTTCACAATCCTCTGATTTCCATCCGATGTTTTTGCCCTTGGCCAGGAATGTTTTCACTTTAGCAAAGCTCTTTTTGAAAACCTCTTTTTCTTTGCCCATTCAAAATTTCATCGTGTCTTCCCTCTAAATAAAATGCTCGCTGTTATACCTTTCCTTGTCATAAAGAGTCATAGCCATTCCTATAATTTTTTGTCCGAGCCCGTTGGAACGAGCCAACCGAGGTCTGATGCTATTTAGTTATAGTCGATGGAAATACGAGTTCTTTTTCTCTGATTTCAAAGTCCTGCTTCGAGCCGAATTTCTACAAGACGAAAAGGTATTTTAAAATCAATCTACAGGGTACCTAAGCAAATAGCTGTAGTGTAGAATAGGCATTATGCTGATGCTAATTGATGCTAGGACAACGCCTGCGCTGAAAGAAGCTAGATACATGTGCAAGAAGCGGAGGAGAGGTGGGGGGTCAACAGGCATTTGTATGGCAGAAAGCAGGAGAAAAATTGTCGAATAACGGGATTGCGCATGTCTGAGAGACAATAAGACAATCTCTAGCGCTTTCATCCCGAGTAAAATTCAAATGTGTGGGATATCAAGAGTAGAAGTGAAGGTTGGAGAAAATCATTCGTCAGCTGGGTTAAGGGGTGGCGTTAATGCACGATGAGAGATTGGTTTTTAACCAGATGAAGCGATTGAAGGCTTAAGAATGTCGAGAATGGCTTGTGATTAATGAGCCAAGACTTGGGGTCTTCTCGGTCTCTTTCCTTTGTCGAGCCTGTTGCCGACCAGATGGCAGTGTACGCCGGTCGATAGAAGACAAGGCAGAGTGGGGGTGTGCTTCTTTGAAAGCCTCTGGACCCTTCGTGTGAAGAAAGGGAAGTTGAAGAACTTCGCGAGCCAGGTTCATCGCCGTCAACTTATCTTGAGAAGTCGAGCCACGCCGGAGCTGCAGACGGTGCTCTTGGTCGAGTGAAGCCGCGTTGTGAATCGTGAAGAGGTGGCTCAGGTCTTGATTAACGTACTAGAGCGTTTACCAGCGCCATCGGCCGTCTTTCCAGTCTCTAACGTGGCGTGGGATTCTTGAGTGCCATCAAGTGAGACGGTGACTGGGGCACCACCATTGAGGCCATTGTGATCCTCCTGAGTTGGAGTCGAGGAATAACTGTCTTCGGTGCCATCCATACTGATGGACCCACTACTTTCTGTGACGTCCGGGCAGGGTTCCCCATTCAATGAGGTCAATCCACCTTCAATGTCGCGCAGAAGCCGGACAAATTCCTCGGGAACAAGGCCGTTTTCTCCGGTCTTTGGGTCTTCTGCCACCAGCCAGCCTTGACCGTGCCGATATGAGACGTAGATAACTTGTCCCTCTGTAAGAGGGAGTTCGTTTTCGTGTTCTCGAACAAAGTCAAAGAGCGCCACGGCCTTACCATGCATCTCCTCGTCAGGGCAACCGACGGCGAATTGATAGTCATTTGAATATCGATTCTGGTCCTCTGAGTGGATCCCCGCATCTGGAACATAGTCTTGCTGGCCGCCATACGTGTGGGAGTATCGTCCTTCGTTTGCGGGGACTGTGACGTACTCTCCACCAGGTCCGTCATCTACCGTATCGCCGCCATTGACATAGTATGTTTCGGTACCATCAGGGTTTAATCCCACAAAAGTGCGATCCGGTTGCCCAGTGCTTAACATGCCATGTTCGTCTACCATGCTGTTCAACCCCGCAGTGGACTTCTGTCGCTGACGTGACGTTGTCACGACGGGACTATGCAAATCCTCATCTTCACTGTAAGGAGGTCCATCACCGAAAGACATGGCTGGCAGTTGTGGATGGCCCTGACCCGATCCACTCTCTGTACTCCACGGGCCGGTAGCCCACGGTCCCTTCGAGGTGTCCCACGAAGGGGGCGGGTCGGACAAGCGGCGGTATTCGCTAGCCGGCGTGGACACCTCCGAGGCGCGCGGAGGGGGTGGTCCATAATGTAGAGGGTGGATCGGAGGGTAGGCAAAGTCTCGCACAAGGGCGTAGGGCAGACTGGAATGGAAGATGGGAAACACGTGCGAGCCTGGGCGCGAGCGATTTTGGGAGAAAGAGGAGACGTTGGAGTACAAGGACAGGCGATCCTTTGCGCTCGGCGACTGTTTCACTGTGCCATCTGTGAGAATGGGCGGCAGCACCGACAGATTGTTCGGCGAAACCGGTTCGGACATCTTGAATAGGCAGGGTGTTGACTCCCAAGAGGGAGATTGAAAACAGGAAGTATCGAGTCGAGTATTCAGTGAGGGCTAATGAGATTGTTCATCGATCGCGTCGCCGAGACTCTATTTGCATTGCGATTGGTGACGCGCCAACAGTATCCCACTTTGCGATTGGAGACCGAGCTGTGGAGATGTTTGGGGCCACAGAACCGCAACTACCGAGAACGCAGGGTCCGTTCACGATGCACACCCCTCCCAACCACAGTTCAACAAGACCAGATAGGTGTATTACTCAGATCCAATGGGACGTGGACGAGGATCCCGGACAGTTGCAGGACTCGGGAATCGGTAAAGCTGAATGAGGGGGAGAGGTCTCAAGGACACTCGGATGGGGTGGAGGGCACCGAATGACGGGTCCGGAGGGTAAGAGCGGACCCCGGGTGGATGAGGTTGAGACACTTCTTCAGGCGCAAGTTGGCAAGGGTGTGGTGATCGGAACGTCGTTGTTCCAGACGTTGTCCCGCAGATGAAACCGTCTATAATTAGATTCTGTGATCGCAGAGTGTCAGATATAAATGCACCGCAGGCACAGCGCTAAGGGAGGTGGACGACAGAACCCGCTCGGCGGTTCAACCTCTGATCAGATCAGGAACAAGGAATCCGTGGTCTTCAACCAACATTGGACAGGAAGGAAATGCAAGCGGCTCGGAGATGGGGCATACCTAAAGGTACCTCTAGATCTCACTCTTTCTGTTCTCCCTTATAAGGCGGTGATCAACAGCGGGAGTGCGCTCTAGGTTCACAGTGTAGACTGCCGAGACCTTCAGCAGGAAACAAGGCTCTCAGTCAGAGGAGAATGTTGAACAGGCGCTTCTCGTCTTCACAGAGTTCACAGCCTCCTGTGTGAATTGAAGGTGCTTGGACGGACTTAATAAGCACGTCACGTGCAACTAGCGTGTTTCAGATCTGGCGCCATTCCGTTTCAGGGCGCACATATCTCAAGCTGTATACGTTCGGTCTTGCCCTTCGTGTGCGTTTTGTTTACTTTGGGTAAAATGTAAGAAATAAAACATAAATCAGGTGTCATTTGGGTTCTATATGCACATGGTCTTTGATCGAAGCATGTAGCCTTGCTATTGTCCCATGCTCGTAGCACCCGTCGCCTGGCAGTCTCTGACGGTCACTGTCTTCTCTATTGTTGGCCAGGCAGTCTCGGTGACTGTGGGAATTGTGGAAGTAAATGTCTGCCAGATGGTTGTAACAGTTGGAAACGACTCTGACGATGCGGCTGATAATGACGACGAGTGGGTTGCCCTGGCAGAACCATCCTCATCCAAATTGGCAAATTCCGACGGAATGGCAGCGCTGTTGAGGTTCTGGGCGGTGGCATAGCTATCCTGCTCCTGTGAATTGCCTGTAGACATACCAGTGACGTCTACGTCCATGCAAGTGGTGTAGATCTCTTTCTTGCCTTGTGGATATGTTGGATCGACACCTGGGGCGGTGGGCCAGTCCCACACCCAGTGAGTGTGTACACTTTCCCCGCCGGGGCAGTGGGCGGCAGTTGAATATCTTGTTGACACCAGAGGTCAGCTCCCATCAGCTGGTTGGCCTCGTGCGGGTATTCCGTCTGGCGAGCCTCTGAGATATTTCCAGTGTTGATCTGATAGCAGCGGCCGTCGTCAAAATTCTGCGTGGACAGGAGGACGCCTCGTTTATCGCCCCCAGTGCCGTCTGCGGTCCAAGCACCGTGAACATCAAGGAGAGTCTCTCCAATCTTGGGTTCCGTCGTTCCATAGACGTACACGGTGCCTCGGTTTTTGGGCTTTCCAGGTTGGTTCCAAGGCAGAGTGACATGGCCGTTTTCTTGGTAGCGGAGTGCAATCGCCGCGCCAGCGCTGGCTTTCAGTCGAGGACTCCCGTCGCTCTGAGTTTGGGTCTGCTGAGTGTCCTTGCACAGCTTGTCGGTAGGGAGAACCAGGGTCACGTTTGCCGAGCCATCGGGTGGGATCAAGTAGGTCATGGTCGTATCATTGAATCCGGCTGCCGTGCGAAGCCAATTCCCCCGGGCATAGCCTGGGGTGCCAGTGAATGTTCCATTTGCTGCGATCACGGTGAGCTGTTCCACCCATGAATGCGCGGTGGCGAATGCAACAATGGTGGAAAGGACCCAGAGCATTCGAATAATGCTGTCAAGCTTCATGGTATTTTTCGAGGGCGATGAGAGAAGGTAGGAAGCCACAGTCTCATGGGTTTTGTGGAAAGCCGGCCAGCGGTGGTGTGAAAGACAGTGACTTTTGCTGAAGAAAGTCGAGGAGATCTTAGGTGTCAATAGGCCGCCTAATGTTGCAAATGTGTAGGCGTCAGGGTTGCCCCTGCGTCGAAGAGCAGGCAGGTGGATTATATTTCAGATGGAAACAATGAATGGCAATGAATGAAGAAAATATCCGGGTAATCACACCAAATCATGCTGATACTTAGGCCGCAACACAGAGATCAAAGAGATTGTTTCAGAGTCTTTCATCTCAAGGCGTCAGGCCACTAACAGACTCGGCGAAAACGAAGTTAATCTTGAAGACATCTCTGGAAGGGCCAACCGGTGCAAATATGGGGATCGGCGGTCATTGTCAGGGCCACTATGGCGCGTAATTGGCGTAAGAAGCATACCTAGAAGCTAAAGGAATATTGACCTCAAGTATGAAACGAGGTATACCCGCCAATAAACTGCCATTCTCAGACTAAGTCTTACCGAGCGTCGGGAGGGGAGAGACTAGAAATGAACGATTGGTCGAGACGGAAAATTACCGGAAGGCCTGCTTTAGACCGAGATATTTTTATGCCCGAGTCAAGCGGCAGCCCGCATCTCCTGGCGCTTACAGACCTTCGGCCAGTGTTGCAAGTCTACTGACGTCGAGGCTCCGCGAGCTCGGCGATTGGCCCAGTGAGCAGCTTCTTTAGCGCTTCGGCCTCTCAGGGGCCAAGTCTCTCTGTTTTGCATTTGGCAGAACTGATCGATCTACCAAAGTCAGGACTGGGATCGTCATCTTTAAATTCGCCCCGAAAGCTTGTTTCGCTCTCGGCCCAGTGATCAGTCATCTCGGGTCCTCACTAGCCACAGATGCATGCGCCTCAACGATCTGGTCAGTGCTGATTGTGGTCATAGCTTGAAGTTGGGTTCAGCGGATCCGGGAGGGCGGAAACTGGGTCTCATGCTTGGCCTCCCGGCAGAAGGTTGGAGGAACGATGAGTCTGTACCCTCTACCACATCATCCTGGGAAGCCAGAAACAAGGTTGACCTGAGTCTGATTGACTCGTGTTCTCAGTGTGTTTCTTCTGATGGTCGTGGGTATAGCAGATTCGGAAGAAAGCACCACACCCACTGAAAACGTGCCTCGCGCCTCGCGCGGCCTCCATCGTCGGACTGGCATCTTATCTTGATTTTTTAAAAGCTTGGCGAAGCTCGGTTACCTCCCATTGTGAATAGAAGCCGCGGGGCAGCCGGGAAGAACTGGGATGGTAATTTGATCTGAGTTATCTGATTTTTATCTGATTTCTCCGTCCGCTCCACATGGTGGGTTCTATTCCTTCTTGTCCACTAGAAGCAGGGCCGAACTTGCCGTCATCGGGAGCTTCGGTATGAGGGACCCGGTGAAGGTTCCTGTGTTGAAGCAAGTGGTACAGCGTTGCTGACGTGGACGTAGCGACCATCCATAATTGCAAGGAAGTCGGACAATCTTGGAAAATGCCAGGGCATGGAGTCTCACTGATCGACTTGCCCATCAAAATTTCCTGTAAAGTCAGGAACAGGTGGTAGTGCGCAGTGCACGCGATATCCTGCGAAATACACCAGTGGAATATACCCACAGACGCGAGAGATCCGGAGATTGGGGTTCTTGGGGTCTAACATCCTAGAGATCTAGCTGTATAGGGAACTTCCTCGGTTTCATTTGGAGATCTAGGAATTACGGTTCTTGGAACCAAAACTACCAAACGAATCGACCTGACTAGGACGTGATCAGCGATGGTTTGCAAGAGGCTGCAGTTGCAGTGTACTTGCTCTCCGCCTTTTCGTTTACCGCGTCAGAATCAAAATTCAAAGTCAAGATACCTTGTGTTACGTGGTACAGGTCTCGAAGGCTAGATTGAATCGCTACCTCCCGTAAAGAAAGAAAAAAAGCAAATCTTGCGAGAGTCCTGTTATTGAAATTTACACAGCGTCTCTGACCATACGAACACATTCCTGGGCTTTGTGTTGGGATTGACTCGATCAGGAAATGTCATTGTTCGATTCCATACATATTGTTCAACCACTTTTGGAGAAAAGTTCCACCACTACATAAATACGAGGCTTCAGTTTTTCAAAACCCCCTTAAGACGAGAAAAGCCTGGTCTTCCCCTACTGAAGCGTGGCTTGGCGAGCCCCGTTGTCGGCAATACTTAATTCCATGGGCGCGGGCCCGGAGCTCAATTATTTTGCAGCCTTCAGGGGGTCCCCGTACTCTTCCTCCACTATAACGCGTTCAATTGCCCCGAGCGGCCTGCTCTGTTCTTTTCCTTTTTGTTTCTGGTATGATTCTGATTTCGCCATCTTCCTTCATACCTGTGAGTGGCGAGCTGACCTTTGCAAAAAAAAAAAGGTCCCAGTGTGAACGTCCCTGAAACATCGATCTCGTGAGCCACATGCGGCCCTCGAACTAGGCCCTTGCTCACCTCAACTTACTCTTGCTTCGATTTTGGTCGGAAGCAGAGCCTTCAGACGGTAATTATCGCAGGCCTTGGTTCCTGCGGACCGTCTTCATCTCCCCCCCTGAACGCCTTCAACAGACGTCTACACCGCTTCCCCGCGACTGAACACAATGGCTACTTCGCTCATCTCCAAGAGACTGCGCTCCTCCGAGGCTGACCCGGAGGCCGAACCTAGTTGGATTCGTCGTCAGGTCACCTCTGGTCTGCAATGCATCTCTCGTCGCGCCTGTGTTCACCCCATTCACACCATTGTGGTGATTGCGCTCCTTGCCAGCACTACTTACGTTGGTCTACTTGAGGGCAGCCTGTTCGACACCGCGCGGAACCCTCGTAACGTTGCTGGTCAGGTGGATACCGAAACACTTCTGCAGGGCAGCCGGAGCTTGCGCTTAGGAGAGTCCACCTCCTGGAAATGGCAGGCCGAGGACACTTGGGCCGACTTGACGGTGAGCACACCCTTGGCGGGCAATCGCAATTGAACCAGTCCTTACTTTGAAAATTAGCAGGTCGAGACGCCCGCTGTCCACCACTTGGCTTTGACTACCTTCATCTTCCCCGACTCCGCCCCCAAGTCCGCATCGACCCCCCCCGTCGGCCGACGACATCCCGGTTCCTGCCAACGTTTCCGCCCACCCTGTTCCCCACACTCCCAATCTGTTCTCGCCCTTCTCACATGATTCTTCCCTGGTTTACAGCGTGCCTTTCGACCAGGTCTCTGATCTGTTGAGAGCTGTGCAGGAGATACCCAACCCGTCTGCGGATGAGGAGGAAGAGGAGTCTAAGAAGTGGATCATGAGAGCTGCTCGTGGTGCCTCAAGCTCCCACACAGCTCTGAAGCTGTGGTTGATGGATGCTTGGAGCTCCTTTGTGGACCTCATCAAGCACGCCGAGACCATTGACATTGTCATCATGGCTCTTGGTTACCTCTCGATGCACCTGAGCTTTGTGTCGCTCTTCTTCTCCATGCGTCGTCTTGGCTCCAACTTCTGGCTCGCCGCGACTGTGCTATTCTCCGGGTCTTTCGCTTTCCTGTTTGGTCTTCTCGTGACTACTAAGCTTGGTGTTCAAATCAACCTACTTCTGCTCTCTGAGGGTCTACCCCTTCTTAGTAGTGACCATCGGATTTGAGAAGCCGATCATGTTCACTCGCGCCGTTTTGAGTGCTTCGGTGGACAAACGTCGTCCTCGTGCTGGTGCTGCTCCTCGGCCGCTGGCTTCGAGCACTTCTGGTTCCATTCAAGATTCCATTGCCACTGCGATCAAAAAGCAGGGCTTCGAGATTGTCCAGCACTACTGCATTGAGATTGGTCTGCTTGCTATGGGTGCTGCCTCTGGCGTCCAGGGTGGTCTTCAGCAATTTTGCTTCCTCGCAGCCTGGATTCTGTTTTTCGACTGTGTGCTGCTCTTCACTTTCTACACTACTATTCTCTGCATTAAGCTTGAGATTACTCGCATTCGTCGCCACGTTGCCCTGCGCAAGGCCCTGGAGGAGGATGGCATTACCCACAGCGTCGCTGAGAACGTTGCCTCCAGCAATGACTGGCCAAACCTGGGCTCCGACAGCAGCGAGGGTGACACCAGCATCTTCGGACGTAAGATCAAGTCTAGCAGCGTGCGCCGTTTCAAGATCCTCATGGTTGGTGGTCTGATCCTTATCAACGTTGTGAATCTGTCCGCCATTCCTTTCCGCAACACTGGCAACGGTGTTTTGATCTCGCGCCTGTCCAATGTCATGGCTCCTACTCCTATTGATCCCTTCAAAGTTGCCGAGAATGGCCTGGATGCTATCTACGTTGCTGCCAAGAGCCAGAAGCAAGAGACCATGGTTACTATCATCCCCCCAATCAAGTATAAGCTGGAATATCCCTCCATTCACTATGCTGCTGGTGAGACCCCCAGCTCCTTTGATATCGAATACACCGATCAGCTTCTTGATGCTGTCGGTGGCAAGGTTCTGGAAAGTCTGCTCAAGAGCGTGGAGGATCCCTTCATCAGTAAGTGGATCATTGCCGCTCTGACACTTAGTATCATTCTCAATGGCTATCTTTTCAACGCTGCTCGCTGGAGTATCAAGGAATCCGAGGCTACTCTCGCTCCTTCAACGGAGCCGGTTGCGCCCAAGGTTTACCCCAAGTTTGAGCCCAATGAGCAGGAGTCGAATCGTACCATGGAGGAATGTGAGCTGATGCTCAAGGAAAAGCGTGCTCCTCACTTGACTGATGAGGAGTTGATCGCCCTGTCACTCAAGGGCAAGCTCCCCGGATATGCTCTTGAGAAGACTATGGAGGATGAAAGCTTGATGAGTCGAGTGGATGCTTTCACTCGAGCTGTCAAGATCCGCCGTGCCGTGATCGCCCGTACGCCTGCCACGTCTCATATCACCAGCTCCCTGGAGGTGTCGAAGCTTCCCTTCAAGGACTACAACTACGGCCTGGTTCACGGTGCCTGCTGTGAGAATGTCATTGGTTATCTTCCCCTCCCTCTTGGTGTTGCGGGCCCTATCAAGATCGACGGCCAAGACTACTTCATCCCCATGGCGACTACCGAAGGTGTGCTCGTGGCTAGTACCAGCCGTGGCTCCAAGGCCATCAACGCTGGTGGTGGCGCAGTGACTGTTCTGACCGGCGACGGTATGACTCGTGGACCTTGCGTAACCTTCCCTACCCTCGCTCGGGCTGCCGCCGCGAAGGTTTGGATTGACTCCGAGGAAGGCCGCAGCATCATCACTGCCGCTTTCAACTCGACAAGTCGTTTTGCTCGTCTCCAAAGTTTGAAGACCGCTCTCGCTGGAACCTATCTCTACATCCGCTTTAAGACCACTACAGGTGACGCTATGGGAATGAACATGATTTCCAAGGGCTGCGAGAAGGCTCTGGACGTTATGTCAAAGGAGTGTGGATTCGATGACATGTCCATCATCTCGCTTTCTGGTAATTTCTGTACCGACAAGAAGTCTGCTGCTATCAACTGGACCGATGGTCGTGGCAAGTCTGTCGTGGCTGAGGCCATCATCCCTGGCGATGTCGTGAAGAGTGTCCTTAAGAGTGATGTCAACGCCCTGGTGGAGCTGAACGTCAGCAAGAACTTGATTGGAAGTGCCATGGCTGGTAGCTTGGGTGGTTTCAACGCCCACGCCTCCAACATTGTGTCTGCCATCTTCTTGGCCACTGGCCAGGATCCTGCCCAGAACGTGGAGAGTAGCAGTTGTATCACAACTATGAAGAAGTAAGTAATGCTCGATAGGTCTGTATCTCGTGCGCAGTCATACTAACCATTTCTGTAGCAACAACGGTGACCTCCAAATTGCGGTGTCGATGCCATCTATTGAAGTTGGTACCATTGGCGGTGGTACCATCCTCAAGGCCCAGGGTGCGATGTTGGATTTGCTTGGTGTCCGAGGCGCCCACCCCACCACCCCCGGTGAGAACGCCCGCCAGCTGTCCCGAATTATCGCAGCTTCCGTTCTCGCTGGTGAGCTCAGTCTCTGTGCTGCTCTCGCCGCTGGTCACCTTGTCCGAGCCCACATGGCCCACAATCGCAGTGCTGCCCCTACACGGTCATCGACCCCTGTGTCTGCTGCTGTTGGTGCCGCCCGGGCCTCTCTATGACTTCGAAATAAATTGGCGCGACCACTTTTGGTATGCGGCAACGTCAATGACGTATACCTCTATGTGAGCCACAGAAGATTTCTTCGATACCATCTGAGATGCAGACCCTTTTTCTGGCAAGATCCCATCACTTGCCTCGACCTCCCTCGTTGACACTGCATCACCTTCCCACTCCTTGACGAGAGATGGGATGGTGGCTGTCATGGTAGTCCGTGGGATACACATTCCCGACTCTTGCGAGAGTCCCTTGGGTGCCAAATACCCCCAAAGCCGCTGCAAGCGGATACGAGCCACGCTCTTGTTCTAAATTTTGTACCTAAATTTCGTTACTGCATAGATATGTCAGCCGATCATGGCCTATGAACTTGTATTTTGTTTTTGCTTCGATTCTCAACTTCAAACCCCTTACGAGTCCATAAGCCCTAAGTCTAGCAACCAACTGGTCCGTGCTACTCAATGGCTGTAATACAAGGCCCTTACCTTCGGCACAGCCATGGGGGCCGAAAAGGCCTAGACTGTCGTCCCCTGAACGATACCCACAGCCCTTCCCCCCTGACTTTCAAGTCTCAAGAAACTCGAATTCACTTGTCTGTGGGATAAACTAGGTTTAATGAGACCAAGACCAAATGGGATTTCGGCAGGGGTAGCACGCTGGGGGATAGGTTGATGCCCCGGGTGAGCTCAGCCCGCTGTGGCTTGTGTGGCCCTTGGCAGGGGCGTTCTCTGGAAGTGTTCCTTGGTTGTTCCTTACCAGTATCGTACGGTCACCATCGCGGAAGCTTCGTTGCTTGGACAGGTCATCAAGATTGCCACGAGGTTAATACTGATCTCACTATGAATTCAGATTAGGATCTATATGTCTATGTAGGGGTTCAACACATGTAAGTGAAATCAATAATGTCATGTTGTGCCTAATTCCTGCGCCTGCAAAGGCGTGACTGAACTAAAGAGCGGGCCTTAGGCGTAAGGGAAGTCCGGAGTCACGGCGGAGGGAAGACCCAGCACACTCACCTTTCTCCCTTTAATTTTCTTTTACCATCTTGCGTCCTTCACTCCTTCGGACCGGGTCCTTTTCTGGCTGGATTACCAGGATCTAGACGCCTTTGATTCCCGACCCCCCCCCCCCCTTTTGGTGACCCGCTTCGCCTTTCCCCGGCTCCCTTGTCTCAGACCGTTCGGTAGATCTGTGTGAAGATTATCTATCGACCAGACTTGAATGCGACGGGCTTAGCCGAACCCTAGTTCGAACGACTAAATCAGAGAGGATACCAAGGATATTCAGGACACATTCAACCGCGTGCTAAGGAGTCGAACTTTCCTCGCGACCCTGACATGAATGGCTCCGGAGCCATGTCGCCTGTCTCCATCGATGGCAGCGACTGGTCTGGTCTCAACACATATCAGAAGTCGGACCCGCCCTTTTCCCCGACAATCTCATCGAGAGGCAATCTGGCGACTCCTCCTACTTCCGGAGTGCCCAGCGCGCCCTTGAGCCCCACGGTGCCGACGCCTACCGGCAGTGGAAACCCTTCTCCGCCCAGCTCAATCGCGGCGAGATCCAGCGTCGGCACCGTTGGGGGCGACGCTCCCCTTAGCGGCATACGGCGACGTCAGATGGAGGAAATCCTTTCATCACATTACACTGCCCTGAAGAGATTCCTTAACGCTTCGTACCGCGATGATCGATTAAACGCCCGATCGAACAAGGCCCGCGACAAGCTTCTCCGCCTTTCACCTACACAATTCCACGAGCTCAGTACTGATGTGTACGACGAACTGATCCGACGCCAGCAGGCCACTCCGCCACCTGGCCGACCTCCTCGCCCCGATGTGCCAACTTTCCTTCCTCCCCGTGCGGATTTCCACGAGAAACGCAATCATGCACGCTCAAAGTTGGCTTCCCTTCAACATCAGCGCTTCCGAGACTTAGCTACTGATGTCTTCTGCGAGTTGGAGCGTCGGTTCCCGCATTTCACAGGCCGAGGGCGGCCACCGCCTGGTGCCATGCTCCCGGGCGCTCGGGGCTCCCAGTCTCGTGGAGGTGGTCGCATGGGTGGTGGCCGCGGGGGATATCCGTCTGGTGGACCTCCAAGCCCATTCCCCCTCGAACAGGTTCTCTTGGCGGCCCGCCGTCAATGAATGGAGATGGACCGTTCCCTCGATCCTTCCAAAGCAACACCATGGTTCCCAACAAGAGTACTATGGTGGAGGATAGTGACGACATGGGAGCGGATGATGACGATGATGCTCGGAGTGATGCATTCGCATTGGATGCAGTACTCAGCAGACGAGGAACCACAACAACGCTTGGTGACAGTGAAAGAAAGTTGCTGGTGGAGAGCCAATCGCAAGTCTCGGCGTTGTTAGAAAAGGTTGAAAAATTGGAGGAGCAGATTCGCGCGAAGGATGAGGAGCTGGCCCGATCATCCGATGCAGATCAATCGGGAGTCAGTTCTAATGAACGTCAGGAGTGGGATGATCTTAGATTCGACCTTGAGAGCAAGATCTCCAAGGCCGAGGATCTAAATACTTCTCTACAGTATGAACTTGACAGAGTCCGGGCAGAACATGAAAGTATAGAGCGGGATCTTCGCGGGCAGCTTGATGAGGCCGCTAGCACCTCGGGAGATGCAGACCTGGTCGCTCGGTATGCGGAATTGGAGAGCAAGCATCAAAGCTTGCAAGTTGAGCTGCAAAAGCAAGAGCAGCTCACCCAGGAGGTTCGGCGAGAGGCATCTGAATTCCTTTCGGAGATGAAGACCCTCACTGCCCAGAGTCACACCAATTGGGAGCGAGAAGAACAACTATCCAACAATGTTCAGCGCTTGGAGGCTGAGGTCAACGAGTGGAAGCACCGCTATGCGAAAGCGAAGTCACAGTTGCGCCATCTTCGCTCTTCATCTGGCGGTATTTCTGATCACGGGCCTGACGCAAGCGTTCTCGCTAAGGAGCACGAATTGGTGCAGGTCGATGGTATCGTCAAGGATATTCATGTCACTAAGTTCCAGATGGCTATTGACGAGCTCCTTCGCGTGGCTCGCTTTGAAGACCCGCAAAATGTGCTTGCACATATAAACTTCGTCATTATGGCTGTTCGCTATATGATTCAAGATGTTGATCAAGCGCCGGTGCCCGTTGATGGCTCAGCCACCATTCGCATGAAGGCTAAGGGAAGGGTGTCTGCGACTGCTAACAACATGATTACCGCTGCTCGCAACTTTGCTAGCTCCAGTGGTCTCTCGCCAGTCTCTTTGCTCGATGCTGCGGCCTCGCATCTTTGCACTGCTGTCGTAGAGCTGGCGCGCGTGGTCAAGATCCAGGCTTCCCCTGTCGAAGAATTTGACGGCTATGAGGTGGATGTTTCCCAGGAGAAGTTCCCGGACTACCTGAGCACGTCTGCTAGCCAGAGACGGTACAGCAACCACTCTGAATATAGTGCGATGAGTCACCCTGGCGACGATCACCCCATAATGCAGAATGGCATGTCTCACGGCTTCAACTATGGGGCCCCACAGGGTGACCATGAGCTACAAGAACTGAAGGTAAGCTAAATTCAACAAAATGCTCATTTCACAATGACTAACAGGATCCACAGTACTATGTCGAAGATCAAACCGATGGTTTGGTGCAATCTATCCAGTCCTTGGTGGCCAGTATTCGGTCTGAACAGGGAATGAACATTGTCCAGACACACATCTCCACCATCTCGGGCGTGGTCGCCAACGTGGTGACCTCTACGGAGAACCTGATCCACGAACGCAGCGGTGATATCGCGCTACGTGAAAAGTCCGAGCCAATCATTCAGTCATTGGATGAATGCCGTGGCCGTTTGATGAACACCGCCGCGGCGGGCCAAGATGTCACCGCCCCCGAGCAACTGCGAGAAGTCACAAACCAGCTTCCCCCAATTGCGTTCGAAATTGCGCGACAAACCAAGGAGCTTGTACAGCGCCTTGAGACGTTGGCTCAAGGCGCCGACGAGGATGATTTCCGGTGATGACTTCATTTCCCAGTCCAAAACCTGGCATATACGTGGACGGTGACCTCGACACCGCTCCTACACATTTTCATTTCTCCCACCTTTCCTTATCTCACTATTGCCCCTTTTATCCCCAATTCCTGGCTTTTGAGCGACTACCATCTGTGGCAACGAGCCGACAATGTCGAAATGATGTCCTGATACGCGTGGCATTCACGGTTTTTTTTTCTATCCCCTCAATTCATCTTCCCTTCCCGGCACTACCTTCATTGAGATCATCCATTGTATTATTATTCTGATCTCTGATGATCTCCATCTATTATACATCTTTCTGCTGTCGATCTCTTTGAGCTTGCGGTTCTCTCAGCCTCCATCTAGTCGCCGATCTGCATTGCACATGAATTAGAAGCCCATTGCTTTCTCTCAGCCAAGGTCCCGCAGCATACTTTACCAGATTTATAAATTCCTACACCCATGAAGGTATGAAGATCCTGTAAATAGACCAACCTCATAAGGCACAAGGCATCAAAACAAGGGTCTACCCCGGAAGCTGTTTGCCGGGATAGGTCACGTGAGGTCCGGAGCCTCAGGAGCTTTTCCGCGACGAGCTTCGGTTTTTTCCCCAATAGTCTCCGTTAACCAAACCACACATCATCTCTACCTAGAATTTGTGAGTCTGCCCGTGCTCAATGGATGCAGGGACACATTGAGGCCCTCTTCAAGAGCCCAGTCTATCTCCATGGGGGCCCAGCAAGGCCATGTCGGTCATCTCCCTGGTCATCGAAACGATTGTCATGGCCTCAGGCATCAATAACAGCACCCTTGGTCTCTATGCACACACGAAAAGAGCTAACCCGTATGTAGCCCGGCACCCGAGTTGTCCCGCTCCGCCCTGCCCCTCACCATGTTCTGCCGCCTCAAGTCAACCCCACCCTCCCTCTTTTCTTCTCTCAATTGCTCCTTCCACCCTTCTACTCGTTCATTCTCATCAACTCGCTCCATCATGGCTGATACCAAGGTCTTCTTCGACGTCGAGTACGCCCCCGTTGGCTCCAGCACCAGTAAGTGATTTGCTTCTCAAGCTTTGTTTTTGTCTTAGCACATGGAGGGGTAAAAAAAACCCATGGGCCTCTTCCATTCTCTCACCCCATATTCCTCCTTCCCTGGATGCCCTGCATCTTCCTCTAACCCGAGTCAATTGTTTCTACCCCCTGCTGTAGATATTTTATCGGCATTGATGGCTAACTCACTCGCTAGAGAAGGTTGGCCGCATCAACTTCAACCTCTACGAGAAGGATGTCCCCAAGACTGCCAAGAACTTCCGTGAGCTCTGCAAGAAGCCCGTTGGCGAGGGCTACGTTGGCTCCGGCTTCCACCGTGTGATTCCCGATTTCATGCTCCAGGGTGGTGACTTCACCCGCCACAACGTGAGTTTTCCTCGACTGTTCCTCTCGGGGTTACCGTGCCTAACTTTTCTATCCGGAACAGGGTACCGGTGGTCGCTCCATCTACGGCGAGAAGTTCCCCGATGAGAACTTCAAGTACAAGCACACCCGCCCCGGTCTGCTCTCCATGGCCAACGCCGGCCCCAACACGTAAGTCTTCGTAACCCGGTCGATTTGATCCAACACGCCCTCCGCGGATCGCTTTACTGACTCGAATTACCTCTCCAGCAACGGCTCCCAGTTCTTCATCACCACCGTTGTCACCTCGTGGCTCGATGGCAAGCATGTCGTCTTCGGCGAGGTCGCTGACGAGGCCTCCATGAAGGTTGTTTCCGAGATTGAGGCCGTCGGCTCCTCCACCGGTGCCATCCGCTCCAACGTCAAGCCCACCATCGTCGCCGCTGGTGAGCTCTAAATGCTAGATCTTGGTTCTAGTTTTAATCGGCGGGAACAATCTCTTTCAAAGCGTGTGTTCCCCGGTCCTTGGGGTAGCGGACTGGCTGTGCCATTAATGGTAGCCCTACCTTTTTTGCACGATGTAATCTAGACAGTCTACCAAGCTAGTCATGCATGCTCTTTGAGGCGGGGACGAAAAACAAGTTTTTTTTTTCTTACTGCAGTGTAGAGAACAGAGCGTAAACTGGCGGTAGCCTGTCACCATGCCACGCTTTCGATTTTGCGCGGGGGCCTCGGGTTGAGATTCTGCGGACGATGGAAAGTGGAAAGTGGAAAGTGGAAAGTGGGGTAGTTTGGACCCACGTTTTGGTAGATGACTTCACGGTGTTCGTAGTTCCTACCTACTACCAACATTCTACTTCCTCCATTACATACATTATCCGTGCCCTCCGTTCTCTGTGCTAGTGTGCCTTCACTAAGTCGTCTTTTTAGGACTTCAACCTCTTCTTCAGGTTTCGGATGGGATAAGCTTGTACTTGAGAAGGAGCGCCTCGTCAATTACTTAAGAGTAATTGAACTTTGATTGATTGATCGACATAGTTCGAAATTTGTGTAATGAGATTATCTCTGATAACTTATCAATGATCTTGATTGTCAAACAAACTGTGCTTCATAGGACTTGTGAAAAGAAGTATGTTTCAGAAAACAGAAGCCGGGAAGCCGGGAATGGATGACAAAGAACTATCTTTCCTTCAAACGCGTCCATAAAGATCTTTCAAAGAAGATAAGATATCCCAATGTCTTGGGATGTCTTGAACAGAATCGTCTGAACTAAGATCAAAGTTTCCAACAATGATTGCGAAGGTCTCAAAGATCAGGTTATATAAGTCTCGTTGCATTCGACCTTGGAAGTAGCATCAAGGCCGACAAATACTTCAGATTTTTCCTCTTTGGATGACTTCAGGAAGCCATCAATTCCCGTCTTAGAGCGAAAATCATTCCCTCCGAAATCCTACACTATGTCTCGCTCACATCGTCAGAGCCTCGGTGACAGTATGCACAATCAAGAGCGCATAAACCACACCCCCGGTAGACTCAACCGCCAGATTAGCCAAGCAACTGATAGATCAAAGAAGGGGAATGCACAGGTTTATGCTCTGAGTGATAGATCTGCTTCTGCTGGAGAAGGAAATCATACCCTATCGACTCATGATCAACAGTCTTCTTCTCATTCTTCTAGTGAACCGTTGGCCCCTTCTGACTCTCTCTATAGAGAATGGTCCGCTTCTGACCATACTTCCGGAGAGAATCTGCAGCCTCAATTAGAGCCGAGCCAAGCTGACCTCGTGCAAAGGGCTCGGGCAACAATCGAAAGGGAAGCAAAAGCACGCGAGGAATACAGTGCTACGACAGAACACTTCAAATACGGAAAGCTACAGGAGGCTGGACTTTTGCGACTGCGCTGGATACAGGATCCTAGTGTGTCAGACTGCCCTATTGCTAAATCTACACTAACATTCGACGCTTTCCATCAGATGTTACCCACGGGTGAGGTGCAAGTCGAGACTCTCCCATTGAACTTGGAAGAGCATATTGTCGGTCTCGGACTTCCGAATGAATTCTACACCCTTGTCAAAGAATCTGCATATCGAGCGTTTGATTACATGTCCAAGAGCGGGGGATGCAGTGGGTGGGACGAACTGGACCAGGCGTCATTTTCCTCGAAGTAGTCGGGAGTCAGAAAGGCTATCCGCACATCTCGGACATTACCCTGGCTTGTTACAGGAGAGATTTCCCCATCGACCGATTGAAATACATCTTCGTATGTACTGTGATCCAGCCGGAGACTCTTCACTTTGTTAGGCGTCGCTTATACCCCGCTCACAGTATTCCGTGGCCAAATGAGAAACCCCAGACGTGGGCTTTCGGCTCACCCGAATATGAAGCCTTACTGGGTACCAGGATTGGGAAGATGGTCGCATATATCGTCTTGGGGGGGATTTGAACAAGGCACTCGACGAATTGAACAGATTCGGACCTGGTCTACTGTGCAAGGTTTTGTTAATCTGCGATTCGATATTGGACCTACGGAGAAAGAGCACCGTAAAGACAAATTGGGACGATTGCTCAGGTTTGGATCGAATCGCCGGATTTGAACAAGGTATGCTGTGATGATTGGAAGTACACTAACGAGAACAGTGCAAGATTCACAACAACAGTGTCGTGACAAATAAGTCCAAGAACGATGGGTTAGTCATTAGATAGAAACGTTCCTGGGTAAGTTTTATTTTTATTCGCAATGGATTTGGTAATTATATATAATTTACAGATTCGAAAGAGAACAAAGTAAAATGCATTGTATTAGTCTCAAAAGACACCAATGTCGTCTATCACACCAATGTCACTTTGCTCATGGCCGATCTTGGTGAACAGCGAGTCGTCTAAAATCTCGAAGGTTTGGAGAGCCCAGCATCAGCACTTCGATCAGAGCAGAAATAGACGAGAGAACCACATACCAGTAAACACCATAGAAAGAGTAAATGCTTAACAGTCAAAGTAGCAAGCACAATACCCCTTCGCCTCAAAGACCGTTGCAGAACTTCCACAGGCACAATCATCGCTATCATTCTTGGACATGACATCCTGTCCCGCATAACGGACTTCGACCGAAGTGCACTCGGTCAGAGTCTTGGAGGTATCCTGGCCACAGTACATGTCGACCGTGTATGGCAATGAAGAGGTGAAATCCTGCCAATAATTGAAACGCATGTTCTGCTCGGAAATCATGTTGCCCTGGGGATCAGTGACCCAGCCAGTGTTGGCGTGGAAGTTTGTCAGACCTCCATCGGGGCCGGACCAGTACGCGGCATTGTCGCTGGAGTACCCGGCAATGCAACGAGTTCCATCGGGAGACAGGGTGTCCAGGGCAAAGGCAGTAGAGGCCATGGCTGCCAGGGCAAGCGCAGTGGTCTTGATAGAGAAGATTATGTTGAATAAAGGGAGGGTTTCTCTTGAAGGCTTGAGAGATGATTGTTGGATGTGATTGAAGCTGGGGATCTGCCAATTTATAACCCGGGCAAGCAGGGACGAGGCTCCCAGTGTACTTGGATAATTGGGGAATAGTATGATGTAGATCGCGATCGTCTGCAGCAATTACTTGGATTTTGTCTCAGAGGGGTATCCACGTTCGCGTTACACCTCATCCCACCTCTGCTTATTGTGGAGCAACATGACTATGACTATGGGCGGACCCCGATGAATTCGAGTCTCGATTTCGAGAAATCGTACTGATTTTTGAAGCCATGATACCCTGTGAATTGGATATCAGATCCCGTTTCAGGATTTCCATGAGGCCTTCATATCCATCAGTCAATGGTTAATAAAAAGCTGTCTAGTTCAGAGTAAACCATCGAACCAAGACACATATAGTTAATTGGCGTTGGCGCGCAACGTGCAAGGCATAGATCTTAGTTTCAGGAAGGTCGTCTCTCTCTAATATCAAGCAGATTACATTGTAGTCAATGCCAAGATCGCAAGTTGAATTTTCGCCCTTCATCCAATGGATCGGCTGGAAAGCAGCCAAATATTGGACTACCAGAGTCTGCGAGGATGGCCATCAATACCATTCCTACTATTTTCAGCCAAGCAGGTCCCTGAGCTATCTGCGTCCAGCCCATAGCGTATATCGCCCTGCACTTTCCGCTCCTGTATGTGGGCCTCTGCATATGGGGGCCGTTTGTGTGCTTTCCCAATCAGGCTTTGATTCGAGTAAAGAATGGGTCGGGTTCAAGCCGAAAAGCGGATCTTGAAGGGGCCAAACTTGAAGGGGGCCAAGAGAGCTGGTTCTGTTGATGAAATTAACCTCCCGACAGATGCCGGATGTAGCTTGTCTTCAGTCGTTCGGTGATCTTTTGCGCTTGGAATGATGTCAATCTCAGATTCACAGGTCAGCACCTAAAGGCATGTTTCAGGGCTATTGGGAAGTACTCGTGGGGACCCTGAGATGGCACCCAGGGAAGGAAAGTGTCCCCGAAACATGAAGACTACAGATTCCGTTCATCTTCTGTAGGGCATTCTTCGTCCCCTGTTAGTATCAAACGTCCGAGTGACAATATTTTCAGGAGATCAGTCCACCAGTGTTCGCCGTGGCTAAGTTGTATGCCCTTTGGTCGCAGGGCGCCTTCCTTCTTCGCTGGGAGATGACGATAATAGCAATGGTTGTTTCAGGAGCAATTTAGCTGTCACTCTCATCTTTAGAGCCTCACTCGGACCCTTTCGACTTTTCTGAAAATATCACCATAGGATACCCTAAAAGTTCCAAGTCCCTAGTGTTATGCGGGCCCGAGAGACTCGGCCCCGAGAAAGAGAACCATTCCACCAGACTCAGGCATACCGAAAAATGGCATACAACGAGACTCTACGCCCGCGAAATGTAGATTGACCTTTATTGATAGTCAACATAATGTTCGAGGGCTGAGTACGGAAAATGCACCCAAGCACAGACCTGCGATCAGCCCTGATGTGTACGGATTAGACTCTTCGTCAACACCACCTGAAACTTGGTAGATGCTGGAGGGCATTTCATGAGTATTGAGAATGGTCCTTTCTATGCCAGACTTAGTCCAAGCTAAGGGGGGGTGTGGGGAGAGGTGCATTGGAGCAGATGTGTTGAGAGCGAAGCGAGTGATATTAATGTGTACGTAGTCTGACATAACAGATACGGTTCTCGTAATTTCATGATTCAAGTTCCACCGTCTCATTCCCGTCTTCATGAGTCGGTCTCTTCAGGCCACTTCTGCGAGTATGCCACGCCCAGCGAGATGTTTGGGATTTAGCCACAGCACTTTGTGACAGTGGTAGCATCATTCCTAGGTTCGCGAGGGTTTCAGCACAAGAGCCAAGTCGAGGCAAGACAGCAAAGGTACTTACTCCTTATTCAGAGACACAGGCTCCCAGGAAAAGATCAGTGAGCCCAGGAAGGCACCGATGAAGATGCAGATAATAATGTACCCATTAAAGTACATTGCAAGTAGCATGATGAAGTAAGCCACAGCGAACTGCAGCATGTGCATGAAAGCGCGGACGATCTGCTCCACAGCTGAGGGACGATAGGGCTCCATGACGCAGGGACGATAGCTCTCCGGGACACCTGGACAGTCAGTGAGTGGCTCGCCTGGGATGTGCGCACTAGTAGAGTCTCGATCGATACCCAAGGAAGAGACCGGGGCAGCGGTGATATGATCGTTCTTGGAGGGCATATTGCAGAAGGGATCAGACTTGGCGGTCTTGGAAGCATCATTATCGGAGCTAATGCTTCGGTAGCTTCTCTTGTTCACCTTGATTTGTCCCGAGACAGCAGAAGCGCCGGGCATGTACATTCTGTTGAGTCGAGCCCGACGTAGAATGAATGTCTCATATTCCCTTCCTAGACGGCGCAACAGCTCCAGGACAAGGACGAGGCAAATCACACCGATGCAGGAACCGGCGAATGCGCCGTGGGATCTCACGTGCCAGGATTTGGCGAGGAAGCCTAGGAAAAGTCCTTGTCAGTGGGTTCATGCGGTCTTCAGAAGACGGCATTGCGAACAGGTGTCGATGGTATCCCAGTTCCACAACATCTAAGAATCATAGTCAGAACAAGGCTGTGTTCAGCTTGAATATTTCATATTGACTGACTGAGATCTTGCAGCTCATGTCCATGTCTGAGGGTATCCCGGTCATGGCAGGCATGCTCTGGGATGCAATCGAGGTTGGCATTGTCATGTCCATAGCCATCGACGCCATCAAAGATGAATTTCCGAGATAATTGAGAATTGCAAAGACGTTTTGACTATCTCGAGGAGGAACGACAGGGACCCGCTGATACCGCAAGCTGATGTCTAGAGTCAGGTGAAGAGAGATGAGAAAGTGAAGCGACCAGAAGTGTCAGGTAATGAGGTTTAAGTCCAGAGCAAGACGCAACGTGATGAGCACATTTTCGCGCGTGTTTGAGCAGATTGATCCATTTCGGGATGTTGGTATTGTGAATGTTTACACGGAAACAGGTACGAGTACAAGTACATACATCCAGACAGGATTGAGTACTCAGTGCAAATGAAGACACCTAAAACACCGATGCTAAATGGGTATCGACTTTATGCCCGGCTGGAATCCTTGATGACGCCTTCCAACAATTCGCGGATTTGGTTACATCCATCCATCCCCACAGCCAGCATCGTTTCAATGTACGTACAGTGCAACTTGGAGTCCATGTTCAAGATGGCCACCTTCGTTTCTTCTCCCTCGTCCATGTTATTTTCTCCCACGGGGACAGACGTGGTGGTACCAACGGTCAGCTGCGGAAGCTCCTGTTCCTCGGGAAGAGAAAGGTCAAGCAGGGGATCTAATTCATCGCTGCGAGGATCCTTTGGTGTAGACGCGCTACCACTCATGCCTGCTGTGCAGCCGCAGAGAAGTCCAGGCATGGGAATACCGGCATCCACCAGAGCCAAAGTGCATGCATTGATAGCTGCCGCGAGGAGAGAGCCGTCGGCGGAGAGAACTGAGACATGAATGCTAATAGTGCTGTGCGGGTAAAGATAGGTGTGTAGATGGGACTGGAAAGCAGAGCGAAGGATGGTTGCAATGCGCGAGGATTGTCTGTGAGGAGATGGGTGTCAGTATTCTCCTCTCAAGTTTCGAGCAACCAACACGCAGAGCTGGAATCGGGGTTCCTTTGCTTGCATCCAATGTGAAAGAGTCGACCTACTTGTCACTGCCTCCGGCTCTCCTCCTTCGGTCCACACCGGCGAATCCTGCGATGTTCACGTCCACCTCAACAACGGCACCTGAACTGCCGGCTGAACCACTGGCCTCGCCCCTGCGGCCCTCGGCGGGACCGTGGACAGAGCACATGATAGCTGTGTTACCCATAGACAGGTAAGAAGAACCCGAACTGGCGGGGTTTGTAGAAATCTGGGCCTGGAGCAGCCGCAGCTCGTTCCACCGACGACCATCCAGGCGCAGTCGAGTGAGAGGGTAAGTAGTCGAAGTATCGAGAGGCATCTCTGCGAGCGTAACTCTCAGGGGGAGTGAATATTTGTGACGGGTGCGAAAATGCTAAAGTAGGAAGCTCGACTGCCTTGCGACTGGTGGGATGAAAGTTAGCCCCGGTCCATCTCTCCTACAAAGAACACAGTGATCGCTCAATACTTACATAGTTCCGGTCGCGTAATAAAACTCAGCAGAAATTTCAAGTCAATTGGAAACAGCGGAGAGGTAGTCCGCGGCTTAAAGTGTAGAAAGTGATCGGAGCAGCTTTTTTTTCCAGGCCGATCGGGAATGACATCGCCAACTTCTCCGCCTTCGCGGCCGGACGCGACTTCCACGCTTCTTCACCAACACTCAAGCTTCTCTGGATATGCAAGCTCTGTAGGAGACATGGAGAGTCGCAATACCAATACCGAGCCCATTGCTATTGACTCGGACGATGATGACCTCGAAGTGACACCGTATCTGAACCCCTCCATCAACTCTGCTAGTATGTACCTACTATCTACGTGTGGAATGCAGCTCACAGTTTATGAGAGAGGCACATCAGCCAAGTTAACAATGGGGATTGGTCCTCTGGCAAACGAGAGACGACCGATAAGTCACGTACAAGTACAAGTACACGAATCAAAGTACAGCCTCCTGAAAGCGAAGATGAGTTCAATGATGGCGAAATGGCCTACAAAAAGTTCAAGGAGCGCAAGTCGGTCAAGCGCAGGCAAAGTGCAGCCGCCACTCGAAAGGCAAAGATGCCGAAGAAAGAACCGCGCAACAACGAGGTGATCGTCGGCCGGGTGAAACCAGAACAGTCGAGGTCCGAATCTAAGCGGCCTTTACAGTATGGCAATCTATCTTCCGAGGATGAACTGATGGAATATACGCTTCCGGCTTACCTGAAGCAGCGCCGTCTCCAATTTGACCGCAAAACAGAATATCTTCAAGCCTCGGGTCTGAGATTGCCGCCTTCGTATGACGAGGTTGAGTTTTCTGATAACGAGTGCCTCGAAAACTTACAGGAGAAACCATCCTTCCTGGGAAGGACGCCAGTTCGTGAGTATAAAGACATCCCTTTACCTTACTCTCTGGGCATCATCCCTGCGCCGATCGCGCAATGGCTGCGCCAATACCAAGTGGAAGGAGTCGCGTTTCTGCATGAGATGTTTGTCTATCAGAAAGGCGGCGTGCTTGGAGACGATATGGGCCTTGGAAAGACGATCCAAGTGATAGCTTTCTTGACAGTAGCCTACGGAAAGACAGCTGACGAAAGAGATGCCAAGCGAATGCGCAAGATGCGTAGATCGCAAGATAATGTGTGGTACCCGCGGACCCTAATCATATGTCCCGGAACCTTGATTTCCAACTGGATGGCAGAACTTCAACGGTGGGGATGGTGGCATGTGGATATGTACCACGGTCCCAACAAGGACCAGGCCCTTCATGCTGCACGCTCTGGCAGAGTAGAGATTCTCATCACCACGTACACTACCTACGTGAACAACAAAGACTCTATCAACATGGTAGAGTGGGACTGCGTGATCGCCGACGAATGTCACAAGATCAAAGAGCGAAAGTCAGAAACGACACTATCTATGAATCAGATCAATGCTCTGTGCCGTATTGGCTTAACCGGCACGGCCATTCAGAACCGATATGAAGAGTTGTGGACTCTTCTCAACTGGACAAATCCTGGTGTGCTCGGCCCAGTCACTTCGTGGAAGACCCAGATCGCAGATCCATTAAAAATTGGCCAATCTCATGATGCAACCGTTAACGAGCTCAGCAAGGCTCGAAAGACAGCCAAGAAACTCGTCGAGAACCTGCTCCCGCAGTTCTTTCTGCGACGCATGAAAAGTCTTATTGCTGATCAATTACCCAAGAAAAGCGATCGTGTAGTTTTCTGCCCATTGACTTGGACACAAGCTGAGGCATACGAGAACTTTCTGGACAGTGACATTGTCGATTACATTAAGAATTCCTCGGAGCTGTGTGACTGCGGATCAGGAAAAAAGCAAGGCTGGTGCCACAAGAGGCTTCTCCCCGGCACTGAACTACCGTGGCAGGCCTTTGTATTCCCTGCCATCACCGTACTACAGAAGCTTAGCAATCACCTTGCGATCCTTATTCCACAGGGAAATGACCCGAGAGAAAAGCAGGATAAGGACAGGGATATGCTGGAAATTGCCCTCCCCGACAAATGGGAAGAACTATATCGCTCTCGAGACTCAATCGTCAACTACGCCAACCCTGAGTTCTGCGGAAAATGGAAAGTCTTGCGCAAATTGCTAAGATTCTGGCATGCCAATGGAGATAAAGTTCTTGTATTCTCACATAGCGTCCGATTGTTGAGAATGTTGCAGACTCTATTCAACCATACGAGCTACAATGTGAGCTATCTGGATGGTTCGATGAGCTACGAAGATCGTGCCAAAGCAGTGGACGACTTCAATTCCGATCCTGCTCAATTTGTCTTCTTGATCTCCACCAAAGCTGGTGGCGTCGGATTGAATATTACGTCCGCCAACAAGGTCGTGGTTGTTGATCCAAACTGGAATCCATCATACGATTTGCAAGCCCAGGACCGAGCCTATCGTATCGGACAAACCCGTGATGTCGAAGTTTTTCGACTCGTCTCTGCCGGCACCATTGAAGAGATTGTGTATGCCCGACAAATATACAAGCAACAACAGGCTGAAATCGGATATAATGCTAGCTCTGAACGTCGGTACTTCAAGGGCGTCCAAGAGAAGAAGGACCAGAAGGGCGAGATCTTCGGATTGAAAAACCTCTTTTCATATCAATACGACAATGTCGTCCTGCGTGACATCGTCAATAAAACAAACGTGGCCGAGAGTCGGGCTGGTGTGCAAGTCATGGACTTCGAATTTGAGGCAGAGGAGGACCCCACCGGCGAAAGTCTCATCAAAGCTGAAGACGAGGCAATGAGCCAATTGGCTGCAACGATCCGCGGCGAGGCTGAAGACGGCTCAAACCCTCAACCAGCATTACGGAAACATGACCCAGTGCAAGCGATTCTGGCTGGCGCTGGAGTTGAATATACTCACTTGAACAACGAGGTCATCGGATCCTCCCGTGTTGAAGAACAACTCAGTCGACGCGCCGCACAGACAACAAATGATCCAGGAGCCAACTTCCAAGTGTTCGACCCCTTGGAAGATGATGCCGACATCGACGATCCATTCGTAGAACCTGAAAGTCTGCGTAATTCCAAAATGCCTCCCCCGTGGGCCGCTGAAGGAAGGGCTTCCAACTTCAAGTATAATCCACCAGCGGATGTGCAACGTCGTCAATTCTGCAGCATGGCCCGGCGCTTCGGATACAAGGATGCTACAGAGTTTGCGCTCGTCGTCGAGAACATGACTCAGGCTGAGCGGAGAGCGGCCCTTGATCGGTGGTATCAGGAAAGGCGTGAGATCTTGATCAAGGGGAGAGAAAGCGTGAGATGAAAAGAGAGATTATAGCTGATATCAAGCCTGAAGCCAGGGTGGAGATGAAACCAAATGTTGAGGATGAAGAATGATTCTGTTTTCTTTTTTGCATTATTGCTGGAGTTCAAATTGGAGACGATGATACCCCTTTGTTATCTGAGATTGAAAAAGAATGTTTGCTGTTTGCTGTTCGCATGCTTTGGTCAAAGTCGTCGCGAAAACTGGCTTGGTGAAGGAACCAAAAAGGTTCGAAAGTTTTTGAGGTACATGTAGCTAAAGGTCCGCGAATACATCCAGAAAAACTAAGCACAAACTGTTGGACTCAACTGGACTACCTTCTTCAGACTCTACGCTTGAGCAGTATACGAAATTCAATTCAATTGCCTCATGAAATCAAATTATCCATTGAAGTATTATCGCTCTGACACAATCGAATCCACTTAGAAAGACCGGCCATTAGAACGGGGGTATCAGACACAACACAGAAAATCAACGCTACAACCAAGCAAGCGTCCACAAAGCAGGCAGATTAGGATTCTTCTCCTGCCAAGCCGCCAGGATCTCCGGAACACGGTCATCGAAACTCTGGCGCGCGGCACCAGTACCATTCTCCCAGCCTCCAGAGCCATGCATCGCTCGCTGCTCCACAGCCGCTTCATTGAGAGCATTGGCCAGATCGAGAATCGCCTTGCCGCCCAACAAGGCCTCTTCGTGATTATCCTTAATATCGACATTAAAGACGTGGACAGGTCGGTTAAGGTTATTTCCCTTATTCATCAAATCGTCGACGACAGCATCCCAGCATCGTTCTTCACAGGTGATGATCACATCGACAACACCTGCTTCCGTGCCGAGCGCGCCCTTGTCACCCTTGGAGACGTGGTCCACACGCGGCAGACCTGGCACCCAATCCTGGAAACGCTCCGGACCCCATTTCAGATTGCGGTTGCGGTCGAGCATGTTCAGGATACCGTTGGAGCGGTATAGGCGCTCGTCTTTGCTGGCCAGCTCTTCCCACATCTGATTGTAAGAGGTCGTGTTGAAGCTGTACACGTTCGGCTGGGTGATTGTGGGACCTGGCAGCCGGACTAGAGAGCCCGTGCCAAACGAGATGACTGGGTACTTGGCTTCAGCTGCGGATAGGCGGAGGTGGGCTTCCATGGAGCGGTTGTTGTTTGATGCGCACACGGTGCAGAACTTTAGCTTCCAGGAGTCCGGAATGGAGGTGGAGTTGGAGTCCGTCGCCTCGTCCATCTTGGCGGACTCGGGAGGTGGTGGTGGGGGAGGGGGAGGAGTTTGGGGAGTTGTGCTCCCCATGTTTACTCGACGAGGGTCATATGCCATGATAGTGGTGGAGAGGACTATGAATTGAAGACTAAGTGGGCAATGAGGCCGGTTCAGGGTGGTTTGAATATGAGTTTACAATGTCCTGTTATTGGCTTGTAGGGAGTTAGCGAAATCCCTGATAAATGATTGCAACAATTGCGAGGTGATGGAGAGAAGGGAAGTTCAGATAAAAAAAGCGTATAATGAGTTTGTCCGCATAGCCAAAGCTCAGACAGCTCCAATAAATAGGATCATCATGTAGGGTCACTGAATATAAAGAGCACATTTCACATACCTTGCAATTATCACGCATTAGAGCTGGAGCTAGTTGGTCAATTCAAATGGGGCCGCAGCCCTTGAGGAGGAAGGAGAGAAGCAAGTTTTGTGCCGCTGCTCACTTTCGTTTTTACCCGCCTGCTGACTCATCCAGGAACAGCCAAGCTATCCGTAGTTCAAGCTTCGCTGTCTACGTACCCGTTTCCTGCTTCTTCTTCTTGGACGCTTTCCCTGAACTTATTTCTCTCACAATGCCGTTCGCAATCGGGACAGATGGGCCGTTCGTGCCCGCCTTAATCGTTGTTGACATGCAGGAGGATTTCTGTCCACCCGTGAGTTTGAAGATTGGCTGATCGCAGTCCCAAGCTCGGCGTGCTGATGCTACGACGCTCGCTGGGATGATAGAATGGATCTCTTGCAGTCGAAGGAGGCCGAGATCTCGCGCCATTGATCAATGACCTCCTCTCTGAATCAGGGTTTGTGACGCGTATCGCAACTCAAGATTACCATCCTTCAGACCATATCTCCTTTGCCAGCAACCATCCCCCTCCAAATAACCGACCCTTTGAATCGTTCATCGAAATGAAGAACCCGGCGCCGGGAAAGGAATCCGAGACAAAATCCCAACAGCTCTGGCCCGTTCATTGCGTGGCTGACAGCCCCGGCGCGCAGCTTATCCCCGAGCTTCGCGCCGATCTCATCGATATAGTCGTTCATAAAGGAAAGCACTCACAGGTCGAGATGTACTCTGCCTTTGCCGATGCATTTGGCAACAGTGTTCCTGCTATGATAGAGAAGTCGGTCAACATGGACATCGCTGAGTTGCTCCGTGCCCGCAAGGTGACAGATGTCTTTGTCGTGGGGCTAGCTGGGGACTACTGTGTCAAATGCACAGCCATTGATGCTGCAAAGGCTGGATTTCGGAGCTGGCTTATCGAAGAGGCAACAAAGTGCGTTGTGCCGACAGTTTGGGATAAAATCAAGGAGGAGCTTCAGGCTGCGGGGGTCTCGGTGATCCATGCAGACGACCCAGTTGTCCAGAAATTGGCTGTGAGGTAGTCATAGAGGTATCCAAGTATCTAATCGAGATCAACATGTAGATACTGGTCAATCTAAATCCTACATAACATCTCTTCCCCTTCCTTGTATCCAATCAGGTTGCCACCGGGTGGATTATTCCGGGGGCAAGGAGTGGCCCAAGTGTGATCGACATAATAACGGCGCCCTGGATTCAGCTCTCTGTGGACTGCCACACTCTCTCATCTTGCTGCAAAGTGACGTCGCGCCGGCAGTGGCGTTCTCGTCTTTGTCTCTTTTTCACTAACAAGCAATTACCTCTAGCTCTGTGCCTCCATCTCACGATGCCTCATTCTACACCGTCAATCCCGGCCGCGACGATCACTGCGCTGGATGAGAAATTGGCAGACGCCGACGCGGCCCTCCCCGCTCTTTTTCTTCAGGAAAACGGCATCACAGCCGACAGTCTACCTTACTGGCTGGTGAACGTACCTCAATCGCAGTGGACATCGGAATGTCCCAGCTTTTTACGCGATCAACCGCCGAAGAACATTCGATGCCTAGCGACACCGGATGAACGCTACCGACGACAGGACTGGAAATCGGTGCAGGAGATCGTGAGTAAGTGGAGCCTGTCTCCTGCATGCACGGCACGAGGCCTTGGCTAACAGGGGTTGTCTGACAGGGACTAACCGAATTGATCGTTTTCAACGTGTCCCGAGCAAGCTACGGAAATACCTGGAATACACTGCCCAGATTAAGGCTCAATATGGATCGGTCATGCGTTTTGTCGTCAAGGAGAGGCTGCACTGGGGTAATGGGGATACCGATGATCTGAAACCGCGGGGATCCCCGTTTGAGTTCGACGGTGAGTAATGTTTCTTTGAGGGAGATGGACAACTGGCTGACGCGAAAACAAGAGGATATCTGCATCCTGTACAACGACTGGCCCTACGGCATCGACACCGACATCATCCACTTGGTAGTATGGACCAAGTTCGAGCTTCCAGATGACCCAGCCACGGGTGAGTTAACGAGGGAGGCCCGGGAGATGATCGAACAATATGTGCAACGAACATTTCGTTCCATGGCGGCGGACTCGGTCGTGTGGTTCAAGAACTGGAAATCCTTGAAATCGGTGCACGCAGTTGAACACTTCCACGTCATGCTCCATCGGCCAGATATGGCATTCGTGGCGGAGATCACCCGGGGAGATGTCCCACTTATCGATCGGATCTGACGGAGGGGATCTGGAAGGTTGAACGGTCTTGGCTCCAAGCCCTGGCACCTGCGATCGGAGACCTAGGCACAATGTTATCCAATGCAGAGACTCTGCAGCTGCGGTGAATTGGTCCGACCTGACTTGCCTATACCTCGAATCCCCACTGTGCCAAGCCGTACCCCTCCTTGAGTCGAAACAACTCAAGAGACTGACGAGTGGGAAAGGATGAATGGGAACATGCAGTCTGTATTGGGGAGAACCGAATATTACATCGGTTGAACAGACCGATTTTCGTAAAATAAGTCGCCCAAGTCGCCCAAAGTGGAGGTGTGAGGCTCGACGTCACTGCCCCCCCCTTCTGAGGCTAAGCCTCTCTTCATTTTCCTCTCTTTTTCTTCCTCTCTCTAAACCCCCAACGAAACAAGTCCATCTTTGAAACGTCTTGCGCTTTAGATGCCTTGCTGTTCATAGACACACTCACTCAGCCAACTTCCGAAAGCAGCCATGCCGGTCCCGGGTCTCCGCCGTGCATCCATGGCCAGTAAGTTTTCTCCGTCATTTTGCTTCGGAACTTCCAAGCTTCAAGCGCTCAGCACCATGACTGAACCTAACACCCTCGCCCATCCAGGTAGATCGTCCATGGAGGATTCCGTCCAGAGCGGAGAAGACGAGATCGTTGAGCCCGAACAGGGAAATAGTAAGCGACCCAGCCCAAGAATGCTGCGCTCGCGCTAACCAGGCCCAGTTCTCTCGCATATCATCTCGCAGTTGCGCCCTGGCGCTGACCTGAGTCGGGTCGTGCTGCCTACTTTCATTCTTGAGCCGAGGTCCATGCTAGAACGCATCACCAAGTACGCCCAAAACTCTCGGCTGCCCGCGGTTGCGGCGAAGTGACTGGATAACTGACGCGATTTCCTAGCTTCATGGCACACCCTGATACCCTCCTGCCCATGCCTACAATCGAAGATCCTGTCGAGCGTTTTGTTTCCGTGGTCAAATTTTATTTGAGTGGATGGCACATCAAACCTCCGTAGGTATTTTCATACTTGGGCTATGACCGGATCCTGACACCTTGCAGTGGAGTGAAGAAGCCGCTGAACCCTATTCTCGGAGAAACCTTTACTTGCTATTGGGACTATCCCGATGGAACCCACGGATATTATATCTCTGAACAAACCTCTCATCACCCGCCCAAGTCGAGCTATTTCTTCATGGCTCCCGAGCACAACATCCGGATCGACGGAACTCTCAAACCCCGCAGCAGGTTTTTGGGCAACTCCGCTGCCAGTCTGATGGAGGGAATTGCGATCCTGCGACTCCTGAACCGTGGCCAGGACAAGGACAAAGGCGAGCGATAGTACGTTTCAAATGTATGGGGTCTAATGTGGGGATTCTAACGAATGGCAGTATCTTGACTCAACCAAACATGTATGCGCGGGGTATCCTATTCGGCAAGATGAAGTATGAGCTTGGTGACCACAGTTATGTCCGGTGTCCGGAGAATCACCTCGTGGCCGATATCGAGTTCAAGACTAAGGGCTATTTCTCCGGTACGTATAACGCCATTGGAGGAACTATCAAGAACGAGAAGACTGGCGAGGTTCTATATGAATTATCCGGCCTCTGGAATGGCGAAATGCACATCAAGAATGTTCACGTAAGTTTTCTCTTGTCTCCTGATTCACTGTTGGTCCGGAACCAACAAAAGCGCAGACCAATCAAAAAGAGGTTCTGTTCGATGCCTCTCATGCGAAACACTCGAAGCCGTTGGCACGCCCAATTGAGGAGCAAGGAGAGCGTGAGTCTCAGCGGTTGTGGGAAAAAACTGTCAAGGCCATCGTGACCTCGAATCATGCCGCTGCTACGGACGAAAAGACCAAGATCGAGGATCGTCAACGCGAGGAAGCCGCCAAGCGTGCCGATGATGGTGTTGACTGGAAGCCTCGACTTTTCCGCGCAGTTCAGGGAGGGCCCGGTGGCTCCGAGGAGGGAGACGAGGATCTCGACTGGATTATCAACGCTGAGGTGTATGTTTCGCCGAGCCGATCAACTCGTCCTATTTTGTCCGCTAACCTACAAACCCAGGGACTCGCATAACCCTCAACTCGCCACAAAACAGATTATGGCCATTGCACCCATCCTTCCAGGTCAGAGAGAATCCGCCCAGTTCCGGATACCGCCACACAGGCGTTCCAACCCCGCAAACCAGGTGTCCTCCCGGGAAACAGGACCCGTAGCTAATACCCAGGAGTAGGCCAAGTAGCAGGAACGACCCCGGAGGAGCCAGCCACCGATATCTTGGAACGACAGGACACACAAACAGCAGCCGTGGAGCAATTCGTGGATGCAGAGGAGACCCAATAAATCCCTTAAATACAGCCCCACCGCCCTATACAGGCCGTCCTCAAAAACCGAATGCATTCCACTCACCTGGTGTTCCGCCAGACGACGTACTCAACCTGCGCAGACTACCCAGCACGCTCACACCCGGCCGCCCATCCTCATAGTCCTTCCCATGATGTTCAACACAAACGTTTCCCGGCTACAGCCGCGCCCCCAATGCTGGATACCCGATTTGGTTCTGGATACCCGATTTGATTGTGGATTTATTAACCCCGAAACGACTCAAAATGAAAAGAATATGAATTTAGACCTTATCTCCATATCACAGCCTGACCTCGACCTCGGCCTACTAAGGTGAGGAAAATTGGCTATGGTCGAGGTACATAGTAATTTTTCACATGAAATCCCTGCATGGCAGCAATCTATAACAAGTGGACAGAAGAGAAGAAGAAAAACTGAAAAAGGTGGCAGGGGGATCTGATTCACATGGCGTGGATAATCATGTCTGCATGATGCAGATCGGGAATACTGAAAGTCGAGCTCTATATACATGGTGGTCAGGACGGCATTTGATTTCTTCTATTCATGTAGCTATTTAATTCAAAAAAAATAAGCGTTTCATTATCTACAATAGATTCTCAAAATTCAGCTATACCTCCTCCTTTTCCCGATGTTGTGCCTAGCCGACGATCAGATCGCGCTAGTCCGAGTGAAGTGTGGCTAAGATCCCTGATTCTTAGCTCGGCGAAGTTGTCTACTTCGCTGTTCAAAGGAGGAATCATTACATAGCTCTCTTTTGGGAAATCACTGACATCATGGAGGAAATAGCCCGTGCATTGCGGAAAAAGCCATCCTAGTATCTTTTGGTCGGCATTGTTGTCCCTCGCTCAAATTCTGATTTTACATTTCCATGTTGTCTTCTCAATCCTAGAGCGAGTGTTTCACTCTATTCATTCTCTGTGAGAATGAGATGTGTAACTAGATCTTCAGAGGAGATTTCCAAGTGAGGAGAATCGGAGATTTGTGTCATAGACCAAGGTTCATGTTGAGGTACGGAGGCTTTATGAAGATTTGAAAGATGATCTATGAAACTTTCGGAAAATAGAACATTGACACGTACAATCTCTATGGAGCTTCCGTTGAATTTGTAATGATACAAGCCAAATAGATTAGCGCCCTCGGGGCTTTTTCTCCACAAATTGAGCAGGAAGAGTCTTGGGAGACCCCAATGTATAAGTGATATCGAAAAGTATTATACACAATGCTGTTGAAGGGAGGATATCATGACACACACAAAACACCAACACCCCGTACAAAGAAAGTAGTAAATGCCAGGAAATGCATCCCACCAAGAAAAGAAAACTCCTAGATCCAGAACACCAAACGGAGCAAATTAGTTAACCTTTCGTCATGAATACAGCTCGCCTTTATATCCTGCTCCTCGTTCGAGCTCACGCCTACGATTCGTCCGCGGAATTCCTCCCGCTGAGCCGGGGATGTCATTTGTGCCGCTCATGGCTGAAGCGAAGCCGCTGCCTTCGCGTTCTTCACGCTCTTCTTCCAGCATGGCAGTCTCCTCTTCGATCTCTTTCTCGGTTTCTTCGCGTAGACCCAGAATATCCGGTGGGATGAAGCTCATCTGTACACTGGGGGCGCCCTTGATGTAGCGGAGTTGTTCGTGGACGGCCTCGACGAGACCCTCGAGGTATTGACGGGAGTTCTTGTTCTCAATTTGACGGATCATTGAAAGCGATGGGAAAAGTGTGTAGTCAGGTCCGAAGTGGTTGCGGAACGCGACGTTTTGGGGAATGTTAGGATCGATGATGTTCTCGGCGCCGATGAGGATGGAAGTCTCGTGGGCCCAAGCGCGGGATACGTTGCGAGGTGTGTAGCCTCCGCCTCCAACAACGAGTAGAGGTATGTTAAATTTCTTGGTGAAGGCGACGCAGGCGCCGTGTGCCGTGACGTTGAGGTTGAAGCAGCCAAGTCGGTCACAGCCGAGACTGTCTGCGCCACATTGGAGGACGATCGCGCCCGGTCGATATGTTTCGACGCAGGCGCCGATAACTTCCTCATACAGGCTGATATAGGAGTCATCGTGGATGCCGTCATGAAGCGGTACGTTGATGGAGTGGTGGGCACCCGGATTGAGCGGGTGCGTGGGGCCGGTGTCGTCGAGGGCGCCGGTGCCAGGGAAGAAGTTATCCTTGTCGTATTTGTGGAAAGAGACAGTCAGAACACGGTCGGTGGACCAGAAAGCCTGTTCCACGCCGTCGCCGTGGTGCACATCGATGTCAATGTACATCACGCGCGGGTGGTGCCGTAGAAGTTGTAATATGCCCAGGACGATATCATTGACATAGCAGAACCCGCTGGCCTCGGCCTTCTTCGCGTGGTGCAGACCACCGGACCAGTTGATTGCGATCTCAGCTTGATCGTTACAGAGCTTGCGCGCAGCGTCGACGGTGCCACCCGCGTATAGCGAGCAGTAGTTGTACAGCCCGTCGAAGATGGGACAGTCGTCACCGAAATTGAACCGTATCACGTTGTCATTCTGCTCCGCGCGATCTATGTCACCGGGCACCACCTGCTGCAAAAAGTCCAGGTAGTCGGTTGCATGGAATTCGGCCATCTCTTCGTATGTCGCTGCCCGCGCCAAGTACAGATCCATAGCGTGGTGCATCCCGTAGGCCATGACGAGCTGCTTGGTCAGAGTTAGGCGCCACGGCTTCATCGGGTGTGACTGGCCGAAATGGTGGCCCTCGACGGCGGGGTTGGCGTGCCATGACACGCGATAGCCTGAAGGTCTCGGAACTCGATAGATTTGGCGCTCGTGGGCGACCTTCTGGTCGGTGCTTAGAGTTGGCGGCGGGGCTGCATATTCTTGGACGACGGGAGTGCCGGTCCTGAGGACCATGGCGAAGGAGGAATAGGAGGTAGGCGCACTCTAAGCGAAAGTCGGGAACATCTCAAGAACGAAATGAATTCACGATGGAAACGTCCAGCTGCGAGTTCCACGGTTCTGGACATGCTGACTAAAGCGATCTGCATGGCGGACCCCCAATGTGCTTCCTCTACTTGAGCCCATTTGGTCCATCTTGTATAACTACTTCGAGTACCGTCTGAATGCGCAAACTGTACTTGATTTTTCCATATGATGCTACGGTGGATTAATGACTTCTTATCCCGTGAAGAGACCTCGGCTGGCACTCAGCTGCCTCGTATGCCGTCGCCGAAAGGTACGTTGCGGACGAGAGCAACCACAATGCAGCAATTGCCATCGTCTGGGAGAAACATGCATATATACCTCTGGTATTCTGGATTCAGGGACAGGCCGAGTCTTGCGAGCAGCGGGAGTTGAAGAAAGAAACTGTGGCGAGGCAGTAGTATTAAATCTGCAAGCGCCACGAGACAATTCCCAATCCAATGCACCACCGGAGCAGGAAATCTCACACAAGACTCTTACTCTTCCTCCAAACTACCTCAGTATGCAGCGAAGTTGTCAGTCGCGTTATGTTGGGAAATCGGTCTGGGGATTTGTGAACGGTCAAGTAAGTGCATTGTGTGTACACAATGTTATTGACATAGCAGAATGCTAATGGGCACACCAGGAATACCTTAATGACTCTTTCTTTTTTGAAAGTGACTACCCAGCCGACTTACCGCCACCTTATGTCTCGGTAGCTTCCTTTGCAAACTGTCTGTCTCTTCCCTAACAAGCTTGCATCTAACGCTTTGGTTCAAGCGTTTATCTACGGGGTTTACCCAATATTGCCTCTGATTAACCTTCAAAAGTTCCAATCCGACTGTGATTTATTTTGGAGATGTTTTGGCGGAGATGGCCCGATGGCTCCGCTATCAAGCCTCGTCCAAGATCCTACATTCACCTGTCTTCATTTCGCTGTTCTATTTGCAGGCGCGTCTGTGGCAATGGAGTCAGCGTGAAATGTTCCCGAATTGAAGCATTGTGAGAGAGATAGCATCATAGATCGGCTCGAAAAAGCCTGTCGCGATAGCCTCACCGCATGCAAGTATACTGAACATCCCACACTCAATACACTTGCTGCATCCTTGTTAGTCCATCACTCCACTAAGCATGAGCCGCTGGGAGATGCAACTTTCATTGCGGCATCTGTCTGCCTGGCCCAAAGCATGGGACTCCATCGAGAAGTTGAGCATGAAGTGAAAGATGCGTTTGCTCGCGAATATCGACGCCATATTTGATGGCACATTGTCTGGTTCGACGTTCAGACAAGTCTCTCTACAGGCCTGCCTACATGCTGTGGCAACAACCTTGAAGGGACGCCAATGATTGACCCATTTGTTCTGGAAATAGGGAAATATCTCAAGCTTGAAAAGTGTCCGGCTGGAATTACGAAATCAGCTATTGGTTGGTATGAAACCGCACGACTACAGAACCGCCTCATTCACCAGTTTCAAGATGCCGATCATATCTCGGAGAACACGATTACTGATCTTGTCTCTGCAACTATAGAGCTATGTCGTCTTATCAACAGTCTGATAAACCAGCTCCACGAAGCGGGCAGCCTCGTTGATAAGGCATCTCAAAGTTCGGATCGCGAACCATTCAATAGTATGAAGAACGCAACGCCGCAGTCCAATCCGGATTATTATAATGATCGCATGGAGGACAATGTGGTTGCTTGGTGGAATGACTTGACACTCGTTCTGCTCAGATCCGAAGCGATTATCACATTACAAAAACCCCTTCTCAGTCCTCCCGACCATCAAAATCCATCTTCTCAAGCCTCATGGCACAGGTAAAGTACTCATTGCTTGGTGTCACATTATCTACGTATGCTGATTGCGAGAAATGCGCAGTATGGCGGAATTATGTCTCAAATACCTTCAACTCTTTGCAATTGCCCAGAAAGTTCCTACGTGGGAAGCGCGGGTCTGGTTTGATTCAGCCTATTATTGCCCAGAGCAATGTGCCCTCCTGATACTGATCTACCTCAAAAATCGCTCGCATTCTGAGAACAAGCAAGAGATGGTGACGTGTCTGAATGACTTCTTGACCCATCGCTCTCAAACCCGCCCGCAGTGGACTGGACAAGACACATTATCCATGAAAAACCTTGGTCACCTCTGGGAGCAGCTTGATGCTTTTTCGGACGACCGGAGAAGCACTCAATCTAATGATAATTATAGCACCACGCCTTACGCCAGACCAGGCTACGATGCCATTTCACGCGTTCTTGCAGGGCAGCAGGAAGATAGAGCTGAAGAACTGCCATCACATGTGAAGTCGAAGGGATACTCATCTTTGGAATCTGATGATACTATAGAACGTATCTTCCAGAGATGGTTTCCATAATTGAACAGCGACTTTGTTTGGAAGTCGAGTCATTCAAAGAACCATGAATATCAGTAAGATGAGAGCATTTTACATACAACGCATTTATAAAGAGACAGAAGTGCCCTACAACCCTTCAATTGAACTTTGCCGGCAAAGGAGCCAGCTTCTTCATCTCCGCCATCGTTTCATCCCACAGCTTCTTCTGAGCCTGCAGCCCAGCCTCAGATTGGAGATATCTCGACTTTCTATCACGAATAAATCAGCCAAGACCACCAGACTCATGATTAAACACTTACTCAAGAATATCCTTGTCACCCAGATGCTTCCCATGTGAATCCTCATCGGCAATAAGAGCCGCATTGAGAATCAGCCACCCACCAACCTCAACAGTCCTAGCCCGCATTCTTTTCAAAATACCAACTAGGAACCGAAGAGGCTGCGGCAGATCACTCTCCAGGTTTGTGCCGATCATCCCGGGACAAACCAAATTCAGAATAATTTTCCCGGCATCCAGTCTCGGCGCAAGAGAATAGACGAACATCGCACAGAGAAGCTTGCTATCTCCGTACCTAGTGAATTTGGCGAATGTCTCCGCGGAGTCCATGTACTCGAGGACCGATCCAGTAGGTACTTTCTTAGAGAGACTCTCTCCTGCATCGTTCCTCCGGCTTCCTACCCAGGTAACCCGTGTCGGAGAGCCCGATTTTTCAGCACTAGATTCTAGGTAGGTGAGGAGTTCGACTAGGAGAACGTTGGAGAGGTAGTTCACCTGCACAGTTGCCTCGTGTCCAGATGGACTGCGCTCGAAACTGAAACGGTTGATACCTGCATTCGATGTCCACGGTAGGGACTTCCTGCTTCAAAGTCTTGGTGAACGCTTGGATACTATCGAAACGCTCAGCGTCGAGTTGAAGAACTTTGATAGTTGGACTGTTCGCTTTGATAGACGGGACTTCGCGGAGTTCTCTGGCGCATGTTACGCCCTTGGAAACATTGCGCATGGCAAGAATCACAGTGGAGCATTTGAGTTGGAGGAGTTGGCGTGCTGTTTCGAGACCGAGGTCTCCGCTGGCACCGGTGATGACGGCGTTTTTGCCGCTCAGGTCGATGTCTGAGGGCAGGGGGGTGATCTTAGGCTGTCCAAACATTGTTCTAGGGTTTTAGCGAATAGGTCGAGATAGAACGAGCAATTAAGCAGACTATGTCAATTGAAGGTATAAATCTGTCTGAGTGCAGATTTGAAGTCTGGAAAAATGGTGATATTCTACTTTATACAAGAGCTGCATATATTGACGGGCTCAAGTTGCCCATCCTCAATTAATAATTCGGCCTTAGATTGTAGTAGTCTGAGGCGATGTCATGGTGAGGCGTAGAGATATACACATCAGCGTTCGGCCGAACGATTGTGGGTCCAGCATATCCAATCAGAGACCATCATGTAAAAGCTCGATGAGAACCCTCGAACGCCTGCATCAATATCCCTGTACACAAGGCTTGGCATAGCCGGCATTTGAGTATAACGAATCTTATGGATCTGCGGCTCGTGATGAGAAAAGGTTGCATTACTCTTTAAGTTCTGGGTCAACTACTCCGCCTTTGCCTGTGGAACATGCCCGAGGTTTATATTTGCAATTCGCGCAAATCCTCGCGGTCATACAATGCACATATGCTCGGCACATTACAGTCCGACGCTGAGGCATGCTCAAGGATAGCAGATTAAACACCGAACAATGTATTCGTATTCTCCAGACTACCCACGACCAAGATTCACGGAGACTGCTGACAGCGAGAAAAGACCGAGAAAATGGCGGTGACATAAGGCTCCCGGTATCGGCTTCGGCTCGGCAAGGTGGGGATTGCGCGCATCATCACCGACCTGCGATCGGGCGATATGAATGGGAGCCGAGCCATTTCTCAACTTATAGTCTTCCACTTCGCCCTTTGATACTGCTCCTCAGCCTCAAAGTTTTTCGCCGGATTTTAATAAGTGTCTGTGATCGTTAGCGATAAACGTCATGCCTCTCGCCTCAGCTGCAACCACTTTGCGCCAGACCCTCAAGGATCCGAATGGCTTTGTGATCGCCCCAGGTGTGTATGATGGCCTCTCAGCCCGTCTGGCCCTCGCGGCAGGATTCGATGCGCTGTACATGGTAAGTATTCTTCAGCATAGGATCACACAGATGAGACTGATGACCGCCCCAGACCGGCGCAGGCACCGCCGCCTCAGTGCACGGCCAAGCCGACCTAGGAATCTGCACATTAAACGACATGCGCACCAACGCCGAAATGATTGCGAATCTATCCCCGTCGACCCCTCTCATTTGTGACGCCGACACAGGCTACGGCGGGCCCATCATGGTCTCCCGCACCACAGAACAATACGCCCGCTCTGGCGTCGCCGCCTTCCACATCGAAGACCAAGTTCAAACCAAGCGCTGCGGTCACCTGGCTGGCAAAATCCTGAGTCGACACCCCAACATACGAGACCCGAATCCGAGCCGCGGTGCAAGCACGTAATCGACTCGGCAGCGACATTGTCGTGATCGCGCGCACGGATTCCCTGCAAGGACACGGGTACGAGGAAGCGCTTACTCGACTTCGAGCTGCACGCGACGCGGGCGCGGATGTGGGATTCCTGAGAAGGGATTTCGTCGCGTGAGATGGCGAAACAGGCTGTGAAGGACCTCGCGCCGTGGCCCTTGCTTCTGAATATGGTTGAGCATGGGTCTACACCGAGTATCACGGCGCAGGAGGCGCGGGAAATTGGGTTTAAGATTATTATCTTTCCGTTTGCGACTATCGGGCCAGCTCTTACGGCTATGGCGGAGGGGTTGGAGAAGTTGAAGAAGCTTGGATTGCCTGGATTAGATGAGAGTCTAACACCGCAGGCTTTGTTCAGGGCGTGTGGATTGGATGAGAGTGTGAAGTTGGATGCCGAGGCTGGGGGTGTTTCATTCGAAGGAGGTGTTGATCTGCGGAAGTAAGTCCTGACTTAAGGTGGGGATGGACCGATCCAGGTTGCTTCATGTTTGTCTAAGTTGGCATCGTATCGTGTTATCTTTTCGAGGATGGACGGGGGGCTGTGAAAGTGATGTAAATAGTAACATACTCCATACAAGCTGGTCGTGGCGGTCGGCTGTCGTTAAGGATAATCAGCAAAACAAATCAGAAGGCTGGACTCGACCTTGGGGGCGTTCGGTAGGGTGGATAAATATATCGCGTTTCAGAATGGCTCTGGAGCGGTATTGAAGCCCGTGTAGATCCTCGGTACCAAGGCACGGATCCCATGCTAAGGATGCTCTGGCCCCTTTACGCTACATTACACGGCAGCCTATCGCTGGTAGAATTCGAATGTAAAATCAGAATCAACAATGGTGACGTGTAATATATCCCAGTTGAAGACTGAAGAAGAGTGGAGTCTCAATGGAGAAGATGAAACCGATCGTATTGAAGGAGCATAAGTACCTACAGTACATCCAGGGTGATCTGACATCAATGTGCCTGTCAATAGGAGAAGTGAGCTAAGAAACCGTTAGAATTCTCGAGGTCTCGAACCAAAAGGATCCAGAATAGGCAGCTGTCGCGTGGAAGTGTATTCTACGCCACGGTGACTACAGTATGGAGCCCCGTACAAGTTGTGATCCGCGGCAATCCGCTGCTTTTGTCCCAAGTCCAGTAGTGAAGGAGACAACCAGTCCCGGTGGATCCGGAAATTTCAAAGCGGCCGAGCCTGGTACCTTACCGCGGCCGCACCTTCTAGGGGCTCCATCAGCGGTCAGGGATGGGTCACCGACGAACATCGTAGCCGTTGGGTGGCGATCGTCCATGGCCTGATACCCTTTGCACCAGATGATGTGGTTGTCCGCGAGTTACTGGTGTCGGTGAGTCGTGAGCACGTTCAAATGGTCGGGCGCTTAAGTGTCGATGCGTGGTTAGGAGGATATAGGTCGAGTCATAAACACGGCGTGTCGAGTCCCAGGAAACCGAAACCCTCGCCAAAAGGGATCTCCCAAGACACGTAAGACGGGCTCACTGATGCATGGGGTCCGATTGGCCTGCGTGGGGAAGCGCGAGATTGCCGTGGCTTGTCCCTGTTTTGGCGTGTACTGTAATCGGTGAGAGCACAGGGCTTTGCGGGATACGAGGCATCGGAATGTGCCAGCAACTATTCTTGCCCGCACATTCCGATGAACACGTGTTTGGCAGTTAAAATCAATATTTCTACAGGGATAGTCATTCAGGTGAACCTAGGTGTGTAGACGGGGGGAGATGGTAGGAGACGGGTACCTGAACCAAGCCAGAGATTTGGGTCAACCAAGTACCTTATTGAATTCGGTACCTGAGGATGGGTATATAATACAGCAAAAGGGTCTCGGCCCAGGGCTCAGGGTCAGGTATCTCACCAATGAGACCGTACAGTGGCGTACTCGGAGTCAGGAACGCCCTAGCAACGAATAGGAGCCAGGTAACCCCTGATCCAGATTTCCCTAAAGTGGAGACGACCGGGGCGTTCACAGTACTGCCCTTTTTCTCTCCCCCCCTCAAGGGCCCATTTTCATATTAAGGGATTCCACTCTCCTTCTTCATCCCACACACTCTTTTGCAAATTCTCTTTTTCGAGCGTTGTTCTCGCTCAGTCACTCATTCAAGTCATTCTTTTGCAGAAAAAAAATTGCTCTTCAAGAACTCGTTCCTGCTGGCTTCGGCCCTGACGGCGAGCACCGCCGTCGCTCGTTTTCACGGTCATGAGCGCCGTCACGCTCACCCCAAGGCCGAGATGGAGGAGCCTCAGCTTCCTACTGTGACCGATGCCCCCACGCTGGAGGATCGTGCCGTCGGCGATGTTGTGGTTGCCACTATTAATGGCGTCTTGGAGAGCTGGGTCAATGAGTGGTCTGGTGAGGTTGCTTCTGAGTCCTCCTCGTCTTCGACCACTTTTGTTGTCATCCCGACCACCACTGCGGCTCCCACCGTCGAGGCCACCGCCACCCCGGCCAACGTCGAGTCGTCCGTCAGCGCGACTCCCGTTGCCTCCAGCTCCAGCTCGGGCAGCTCCTCCTGGACCACCTACCCCCAGGATCTCTCGTTCTCTCGTGACGGTTTCGGTGGCACCAACTACAAGGTCGAGGTCCTCGGTATCGAGTGGACTGGTAACACCGGTATCCCTTGGGGCAGCAACATCATCGAGGTTGACGAGGCCGATGCTCACAAGTACCAGTTCGTCGCCCGTTTCGAGGGTAGCGAGCACAACGACTGGACCGTCATCTTCTGGAACAAGAAGGGCCCCAACGGATTGATGGACGGCTTCTTCAACCCCAACAAGGCTCTTTCCATGACTCTGTCTCCCGGCGAGATCAAGTACGTTGCTTTCGATGAGGAGTCCACCGGTGGCTGGGCCGCTTATGAGGGTGAGGACACTCCGCTCAGCGAGTACGGCAGCTACGCCGCCACCTGGGGTGAGTTCACCATGCGTGCCGCTCCCAACTTCGCTTCTTGGGACGTCTCCTGCATCCAGGCCCAGAACGCCGGCAAGACCATCCAGGGAATGAAGATCTGCACCCACGACGGTCAGGGCTGCTCGTCCATGGGCAACGGCGCCAGCAGCGTCAACAACGCCTACACCTCCGCCGAGACCGATATCAACGGCATTGGTGGTAACGTCCAGGTCGATGCCCTCCGTCTCGTCGTCAACCTTGACTACGCCGAGTAAATATTTGATTCTACTCGACAGTCAGCGTAACCCTTTCCAACTCCTTCTTGCGCAAATGATTCCAAACTCGAGATGGCTTGATCATATTTATCGAGATTCACATTCCATCTTGAAACCGCGCCTTCATGGACTTTCTTCCATGTTTTTTTTTCCCAGGGAGGCATACATATCTTTTGGACATGATCCTGCCCTTATTATACTTTGTACATATACCTCTTGAGTCTTTAGCACATTGATTTCCTTGTTTCAAGCTCAGAATTCTGACTTGCGATTGACTGGTAATAGTCACTGGGCTCTGTAACAAGTACTTCTATCTTTAGTGTAGTCACCCTAGTATGGCACCCAGGTTTGAACATAGAATGCTGTTAGTGGTTCCAATGATGAGGTTCATGACAATTCCTTTATCATTTCAAGCATCCAGAAAGACATGAGCGGCCCGAAAAAAGGTTCTTTCTTGTGAGCAGCGGTCATCTCTTGCACATGTGAACCCAGACGGCTCTTTGTAACATCTGACCAACAACGAGGCAAAAGACATGTCAATTCCGCAGGACACGGGGGCCTTTGAGGCTCCACCATGATTCTGAGGAAGATGTTCAGTCAAAGTGACTGAGAAGACCTGATTCCATTATGATCAGGCAAGCCGTTTTTAGCCTGGATGTCTGGTGGGACATTGATTAGGAAACCTGAACCATTATCATTGTCTGCGATCAAATCTTCTTAGAGAGGTCAATGCTTCTCTAGAATGCCGAGATGCATGCGAATGGTAAGTGTGTCCGGCAATTCGCATTTTACATCTCAGTACATAGTCCTCATGTGACGGGCGATGTATTGGAAGCGGAGAATGGACCGAGGTTTCTCTGTCAATTAGGCTCTTGAACCGGATCTAGCTGGAAGAATATTAAAATTAGAGTGCAGAGAGACTGATAGAATAATGAAGAGGGGGTTTGAGAGGAATTTGTGAATAAGAATCAAGTGTGAAGCGGAAGTTGAGTACTCTTATAAGTGCAGCGGGGTCGTCTAGACCTCTCCTGTAGGAAGAAGGCAGACTTACATCAGTCGCGGCAAATGATTGACCTCGCCAAGATGCAGGGATCAAGATCCAACAGCGGGTATACGAAACACCGGCCGTTTGATTAGCTGCACGGTTGTGAAGAGTTCTGTCAACGCTACAGGATATCACGGCGTAAACCCGCCGATCCCCAGTCGGGCGCTAATTTACAAGCCCTGAGAGGCCAAGTATCCGCCACCAACATGACTCGTTGCTGCACTTGTTCCATTTCAAGTAGGCTCCAGACAACTTGCTATTTCTGAAGTACTATCGCTTGGAGACTTTGGTCCGCTTGAGGCTCGGCGTCGGGTATTTCCGCGACACGGGCCTTAGGTGCAGAGTCGATCGATGGAGCCGTTGAGCGGTGGACTAATAACAACTCTTTTGATCCTGGCTTTTGGGGGCCAAATTGCAACTCAGGCCTTTTAGTCCGCTAACTATCTAGCGCTTGCATTCAATTGCGAGGGATGTGCGTTGAGCTAGTCGCTTTTCTGGGGTCCTCCCTGCATGTCCTTTCCCACTTTGAAGGCCGGTGGTATTAGGACCGGTCCGCTGGCATGCCGTCCCTGAATCTCATGTGAGGCTGAGACAGCACCCCTCACGCAAAAATTATAAGCCTGGCGAGTTTTACCTTTATTTTGAGTCTTATAATTTTTCCTTACTATTTCTATAATACTGCGGGCTTCAGGACGCTGCTCGCACCTGACGCTTGTTTGAGTATGTCCTCGAGGCAGTATAATAATTCCGAAACTCGCACTGTCCTTGGAAACAAGCCATATTTTAAGAGTTCTATTCGACCCAGTCGCTCAGTTTCACCAAATGATAGCGATCGACTTCAGAACTCCAACCGCAACTGCGTTAATCGTCATGCCCACCAACCTAAGGGCGCAGAAAGCAATGAATCGTGCAAAGTACCAGGGGAGTGGATCCCCTATACACTTCGCCATTCCTTTCTGGCTATGTTGAGTTTTATTAGCGCCTCTCTCTGTTTGATCACCTTTATACTGTGGTGGAGATCCTCGACGAACTATGGCCTTGGACCCGATGATGGCTCCTCAGCACTGCTTTTCGGCTGGAGATACACCCCAACCATGATCAGTGTGATATATGTCCAACTTACCGCTATGCTATTTGACGATGTAGAGCGCACAGAGCCTTTTGCTCGACTAGCCCGACCAGATGGAGCCGATGCGTCGTCGTCTGTTCTTCACTCACCCGGTCCTTGGTGGGTATCTCTACATGATGGCTTTGCCAAGAAGAAGCACGGGAGTCGCAGTTGGACCTTGATCTGCGCAGCGTTGGTCAATATTCTGGGATTCCTAGCTATCTCAACTCTATCATCGGCCTATCTGTATTCAGAAGATGTCATCGTCCCACAGTCGGTCGACTTTTTTTCGCCTCTCACCCCAGACAGGCTCTTCTCTGCCTATCGAAGCGGACCGTACCACACACTTTCGGACTATCGCCAACCTTTTGCAAAACGTTTCTACTTCGCCATGGATTACGGATGAATACACAATCCTACCGATCTGGCCGACCGGTCTGGAAGAAGAGCCTATCAACACCTTACCTACGGACTCATCACAAAAGTGGCAAGGCGAGACAACCATGTTCAAGACCGAGTTGACTTGCACTCAAATGAAGGTGGAAGCCGAACGTACTGGGCAGTTCGTGATTCAAAAGGGCTATGGGGCATCGGACGCAGTTTCCATTATCTGGTCATCACCTAATGGCTGCGAATATGGGCTAGTGGCTAGCATGGACCTATTTACCGAGGGAGGAGGCAGTTGGTCCAACGCATCGACCTTCTTCGAAGGAGAAGACGTCCTATTCACTTCAGAGCACTTTTCGCTTTCCAATTCTACAGCAGAATGTGATGGCCACGAAATCATTGTCGTCACCGAGCCTTGGACCAACACTAGTGGTAGCTACGTGGCCCAGCTGTGTGAGACCAGATACTACATGGCTAATATCACCGTTTCGATTGAGCTGGATGGAGATGAGCCAGAGATCTCTTTCGACGAGAGGGCTTTCAACCAAAACAAACTCATCATCCCGGATACCCTGGTCAACACAACCCATTTCCAAGATCTCGTACTTAATGCCGACTGGACTACTTATATGATATCCATACTTTGGGACACCGCTGTCATGGGCGGTGCCGCTGTTTTACTTGGGGCTCTATATGACTACAACACTACCAAGCTAGTCAACGACCCAAACTTGGTTTCCTCCGCTGCGAAGGCAAAGCAACGGTATTTTGGTGAAACTTTACAGGCATCCTTGAGACAGCAAGATGCTTCTCAAAAGATGTCTATGCAAGGTACTGTCCGTGCTGTTCAGGCCCGGGTAGTGGTCGAGACTGGTGCCGCAATCGCCCTTGGAGTTCTTTTTGCCGTTTCTTTTATCCTCGTGGTTGTCGTCTGGTGGCGCTCGAGGCTGCGATACAGACCGCTAAACTTGAAGAAGGATCCCGCGACAAGTACTGGCGTGGCCTGCTTGATAAGTCAGAGCCCAAGGACAAGATATGAATTCCGGTATTTGAGGCAACCTTCAACAAATGATATGCAAAGCAAGCTGAAAGGTGAGATATTCTACACGGATTCCCAGGGCATCTCTCGTGTCAACCATAACAACCTCGCCAACCATGATTCAACCCAATCTGAGAACGGAACCCCCAAGCTCCTCCGCTTGCCAGCTCTAATTGGTCTGGTCATTTCCCTCATTGCCGTTGTCGTTGGCCTTGCGGTCCTCTATCATTATGCCGAAGGCTCCGACTTGTATGCCAAAGCGTTTGTATACCAATTCGACCTAAATTTTATGAGAAGCAGTATGTCCAGCATTGCACCATTCTCCATGATCCCTACTGTTGTAGCCGTGGGACTTGGCCTTTGGTGGAGTGCCATCGACGACAACTTCCGTCGACTGCAGCCATATCTGGGCATGACTAGACATAGTCTGCCAATCCGGTCAGGCGTTGACTTGTCTTACCAGTCCTCGTACTGGTTTTGGGCGGCTGGAAAAGCCGCCTTTCACAGACATTGGCTTCTTTTCATTGTTACTCTAGGGTCTACTATTTCCCCCGTGTGTAAGTTGAGACTCGTGGATCAGTAAATCCAAGTTGTATGGTAATAATGCTTCATAGTCACAACCGCAATGTCTGCTGTGTTCGATCGTGGAACCGGCACCATTGCCCAGCCCATCACACTCCAACGTTCATTGGAAATTCGGAGCATTCCACACGTTTTCAGTACACTGCAGTCACTATACCCGCAAAACTCCAATGATTATACGGCAACCATCCTCGCGAACCTTTATGAGGACATATCTTCCTACTGGATGTATACCGCTACAATTCAACTGGCTATGAATGGCTCCGAGCCTGCTTGGAGCAAAGACGGCTGGAGCTTTGTGCCACTCGATCTTGACAGCATCTCTGCCAACACCTCACTATCCAAGCTTGGTGCGAGCCAAGCGGACGACCTAGGCTCATCCTCACAAACTAATGTCACATTCAATACTCCTGCCATTCGAGGCCGTATTGAATGCAGCCATGCCCCATTACAGGCTTTGGCTAACGTTTCCAACTGGCTTACAACGACGGACTTGACCAACCACACTATCTGGAACAAAACCACGATCCCCAGCGGTCTCCAGGGGGGTTATCAGCTGGGCAGCACATATCAAAACAGGCAATACCCTGGAACCATAACGCCGTTAGTGTCTGGTCAGAACTGGACATCGTGTCCTGGGTGCACTTCCGTCTTTGTCAACCCATCCTCGATCGTTTGCTGTGGCAATGGAACCGCCGACGGAGGAAGCGTGGGGGTCGGATACTGGTCCCCAAACGTGAATCTCGATTTGTGGTCTCCGCGCGCTTGGCAGGACAACTTCACAGCTAAATGGTTCTATGGTGATGCCTATACGGGAATCAAGGCAAACCCGTATCAAGGGACTCCAGACATCGGACTGCTTTTCCCCGCTCCCCCTTCCCTCTCCATCTTAAACTGTAAGCCAGTAGTTGAGACCGCTGATGCAAGAGTGACTGTGAATCCTTCCAACGGCAACATTCTCTCATTCAACATCACAAGCACACCGGAGACTGCCCCTGATGCCTTCGCCGACAACTATCTCCCTCACAACAAAACGGAAATCCGCATGCGAGATGGCTACATGTACTACAATGTGACATTGAGGTATGTCAAAGCCCACAAAATCTAAGAGCGATGTTTGCTCATTCTTATTCTCCTAAAATAACAGCTACGGTCGACTCTTCACCAGCACCATGCTGACAGCAGCTGACACAGCGCACATCGGCGGCGCAGGCCATGTAATAGGGTACACCACTGAGGATCTCGACGACAACACATATAATATCCGCGACGAGATGAATGGCCTCAACATGGACTTCATGACCTATTCAATATTCTCAATGGCCGGCAAAGATCCAAAGGCTCTACTCGACGCAGAAACCTTCAAAAATCTCACAGAAAAGACCTTCACAACCTTCTTCCAGCATTTCGTCAGCTCTAATGTTTCCCTGGAGACTGGAGGATGGGCGTATCAAAAGATCAATGCTAGTCTTCCAAGTTCTCTCGGTCCCGGGCTAGAACTCGTCGGCAACTACCTTCCAGGGACAAAGGCCTCCAAGTACCAAGATGTCATGCATCCAATTTCCCATACGAACCGCACAGCCACCGCACACGTCACACAACGCGTAGAACTGCTACAAATGAACGCCGTCGCCGTCTGGCTCAGCATCGGAATCATGGGCTGGCTAATCATCACCACAGCCGTGGTAGCCGTGCTCCAAAAGCGATACTTCGGAAGCCTAGTCCGCAACGTGGAAAGCCTAGGCGATGTGCTCGTCCTGATAGCAGGAAGTGCAAATCTCCTCCAAGTAGTCCGGGAGATCCAATCCGGACGACTAAGACCAGACGACTACAAGCACTTACGGACACGACTGGGGTGGTTCATTGACGAAGATGGAGGATTGCGGTGGGGCATCGAGATGGAAGAGAGTTTTGCAGAAGGGCCGGGCGTGAATTGGGTCTCTGAACCACAGTTCTCGAAGGAGAAGGGGGGAACGCGGACGTGGACGATTCATGAGGTGGAATCTCCGTGATTCGATATTTCAACATTTAAGCAACAATATCAATCAATGTAATCAAAGAGCAGAAGATATGTAGAATACATTCATGTACCAGGAATGGTGAAGTTGTAGTAAAAGAGAGATTACTTTTGGGACTTTGCGAGCACAAAACATGGCAGGTCTTCGATCCGGAGCCATGTTCGAGCCCATATCAGTATAGTACTATACCCTTAAGAACTATCGTGTGAGAATAGTTCGTAGTCACCGAAGCACTTTGGTGTTATGGTTGCCATCGGATGATGGTCGATACCACTACTCCATCCGAAGGCGCCTACGCAAGAGTGACCCGATGAGTGAACGAAATAGGGTGTCGGTTTACTTTAACTGATAATTGCACCGGCCTCATACCGCTTGTCGGGCATCTTATGGAATCGGGTTCTTGGGTAGCTGGATAGGTGGACTCTACTTCACAATTTCCCTTTACGGAGCCAATAGAGGAAATCTGACGGTGTTGGAGATGGAGGGAGGGGAGGAGGTTGGAGTAACATGAAGCTATACGCAACTTGACATCGACTAGGATTCGACACATGGATTTTTGGAATCGGTAGCAACGACAGGTCAAGGTGGATTGTTAAAAGTCTCGCGGTCATCAATCATTTTTTTTAAAGCTTGTTTCTTTCTTCACTTTGATATGAAAATCGATTGCAATTTCGCCTGGTCTATGGATGAGAGAAGGAAAAGTGGAATTTACCTATAGTACATGTTTGGATTCGCTTCAAAAAAAGAAGATACAGCTCGCAGCTTTTCATCATGTGGGTTGCTTCGTTATAAGCCGAGAATATCACCCGCTGACATGTTGCCAAAGTCCGGGATTCCCTCTTCCTCTTCTTTCTCCTCCTCGAACTCCTGTTCTTGACTTGCAACCGAGATCAAGCCTACATGAAACATGTAGCCCACCAGAGCGGCGACACCACCCACAGCCGCCGCGATGGACACATACATGTCCTTCTTGCTGGAGTCAGCAAACATCGAAACAGCACCCTTTTCAACGGATGTCAAGTCCGACTCTGCTGCGGCTTGCTTGAGACGGTTATTCCGGCGGATCTCGCTTAAGAACGGAGTGGAATCCGCCAGCTCAGCGAGGAGGGTACTGCCAACCGCAGCGACAGAGATGCGCCCGGGGGCGCGCCATGGTAGTGGTGAAGCGGGGGCGGACTGCGGCGAGTAAGCATGCGCGACCTCCACGGGGGCATCACCGAAACAGCGTCGTCGCAGACGCTCGGTGTACGCCGAGAGAAGCGGGGCCTTGGTTCGCATGGCGTCCCGCAGCCAAGGGAAAGCGAGCTCGGGTACAAGCGCCAGAGAAAGATAGCCGAGCGCAATGCAGTCCAGACTGGATGGTTCGTCCTCCTCTTTCAGCTTGAGAAGGTAAGCCTTCTGGCCCAGCATGGCCTCGAGTGGTTCGAAGAAATCGGCCGTCAAGGCTTCCAGTCGGAACTGGTTCTGCGAGGAGCCACGGCCGAGTAACCCCGAGACGGTTTCACGAGGTCGCTGGATTAAATTCTTCGGGATTTTACCCGCAGCAACGGCGGCGGAGTGGTCGCGCTGTCGGTGTTCCTCCATCGCCTGCAGGTCCAGCGACGAGAGACCCAGGTGGTCGGTACGGGCTTTGGCGGCGCCATGCAGCTTCGGGGGAAGAATCCATTGGTTCGGCCATTGGAGGAGGCTACCGTAGGCAGGCGAAGTGTTGTTGTAATAGTTCTGGCTGGTGACATATAGCGACAGGTCGATGAGGGACTGGCCGCGAGATTCAACGAACGAGGCAAAGCTATGGCGGGCGCATAAGATTAGCTGAGATCTATTTTGGGTGCTGTGGCTTGCACGTACGCGGTATTATCGGCCCGGTCTGACTCGTCGAGCTGACGATCCAAATCCCACGCGGCGTCCGAGTATTGGCGGAGATAGTCGACGATATTGCGGAAGCGGCTCACCCAGGTCGAGCCATTCTGGAGCGCGGGTAGCTCACCTATTTCGCAGTGAAATCTGATCAGTCAAGCTGGTACTCCTTGAGGTTGAGAGTTCGGCTCATTGAAGGCCTGGCATCACGTTACCGGTAGGGGAGACGGAGGGATCGCTGGTGGCGACTAGCTCCCAGGAGTCCTTGGGAAGGGCGACAGAGCAGTAGGCGATAGCGGCAAGACACTGCGCATCAATTGAGGGCAGGGTAAAGGCTGGCCCCCACACATGCAATTGTAGGACCATGGTGGTTTGCGCGTGGAGAGAGAACGGCGGCCGCGGGCCAATTTTGGGGGCGGACGAATCACGTGTGTTTACACAATCTACACGAGATCTGCAACGCCTCGAGAGGTCGATTCCCGGAATTGTTTAAGTTCACTAGGGTCTCGTTCTCTGCAGGACTATCTTTCCCAAATGTAAAATCGACATTTTGATCGAGGCTCGTTGGTGGAGGATACCTTTTCCGTGATTTGTGTGTCGATCTACTCCAGTTGAGTCAAGGAAGATCCAGCTCTAGGTTTGAGATATATGCCCGGGGATTGACTGCCACATGAGCTTGCTTCCAAGGTACGACAAAAAGAGGAGAGAAGCCTCAAATACTCGGGACCCTTCGACCTTCGATCAGATCACCCGAGCGAGAGTTCGCCCGACTCCTCTTTCCTCGTATTCCACCTGAGACACTGCGACTCATGAATCATGACTTGGGTCGTGTTTCGTATGTCAGACTAGATCGATCAGGCGGATATACCAATCTGGGAATCGCGAAGGCCACCGTGCTGATTCCTGATTCCTGATTCCTGATTCCTGAGTGTGGACTGCCTATTGCCTATTGCTTAAGGCAAGCGATGCTTGATGCGATAAGGCACGTCATGACCGCATACACGTGGCCGCGCCAGAGCCCCGTCAGCTGTGCCTGAAGAGATTCCAAGATTTGTAACCGTCAAAGCGAGGCTCCACCACCCAGGAAAGCAAACCGGTATGCCATGGGGCTGAACGGTGCAAAAGCGGGGGGACTAGTGATCTGATCGTTCCGTACCAGCAATGACGATGACGCCGAGAAGTGGACCAACGGCCAACTCGGAAGCAGGCACGTTGGACCGCGCTAATACCCTTGATTTCACTGCCTTGACTGGGTTCAACTGACTTGTCCCAGGCGGCCACAGCTTTCAGAGAAATCTAATTCCGGATCCCGGTCCCTCCAATCGCGCTATCCACACCCAGGCAGCGCCCGTTAGCCAGGCTAATCGCTCCGAGCGCTCGGACACAGAGACCGTATCTCCTTCCTGATTCTTAGGGAGTGGGGCTCGGATATCTTCAGCTGGTCATGCAGCCGGATGGGAATGGGGATGCGTCATGTTCAGCCCTGGACTGGCGCCAATACCAAAAGAGAATAAAATAAAAAATGAAAACAAAAAAAGTGGAAAACGCCATGCAGCTCTCTATCGTAGTCAGACATTCGATAAGAAAGAGTCACGCCAGATCGACCGAGTCTTCCCGTGTATGATCGTTCCACTGAGACCATCTCCCGGCCCGTGCTACCGGTTTGACATCCTGTCAACCTGTTATTGCCCCTGTACCATCCCTGCGACATTTGAGACAGATGCGTTGTCGACGACGCGGACAGGTGAAACGAGCATGCGGGGCAGGAGGGGTTTCATCCTGATACGACGGTAGACCAGTTGTAGAAAGGTGTGGGATGTTTACGCATGGGTGATTATGCACGACATGAAGAAGTGGATAAGATAGATTGCGTTCTTGCTGGGGTATATTAAGTCTATGATACAAGCCGTGAATGCGGGTTCGGCCGAGATGCATGCTGAAAACAAAAGAAATAAAAAAGCAAGTCAAGAAAAATAGAAAAACAATTAAAAAAGAAAACGATAGAAAGATTAGGAAAGAGATTGGAAGTCGGGAGCCAGTCACATCGACATGCAAAACTATGATGGATAAAAGTCGGAAAAGTGAGAGAAAAGAAGAAAAAGACAACAATGCGGTTTCAGGTGTAAAACCAGGTGGAAACCTTGGAAATGAGACCCCAGTGATCGCGGCTTGAGTGACCGGGGCCTGCAGGACGTTGCAGACGGCGGATGCGCGATTGGCGTAGATGCGGCCTTTCTCCGCACGTGCGTATCGGTGAGATCACATAGATTGGACCCCGCACCAAGAGTCGAAAGTTGAAACGCGGAACCCGCGAAAAGTATGATGGTATCAATGATGGGGTGGCTATTAATGCAAAGAGTCGAGAGGGGGGAAGCCATCGTAGCGCCGGCGCGGGGCCCCCCCCACTCATGATCAAGGAAATAGATGCAAATGTGTTTCCCGAGTAAAGCTCCGGTTGCGCGCGGCACTGATGGAAGCCGCGGAACACAGCTCGGGAGCCAGCGGGATTCTGTGCCTTGATTGTCGCGAGCGAGAGACAAGAGGGTTCGAAAAAAAAAAACGACGGGGCGTGTATTAGGACGGCAGTGTAGGCCGAATGGAGGGAGTAGCGTCAGAGAGCCGAAACCAGGTCGAATGCGAGGTCATTTCATATCCATGCCGAGGAGGAGCCTCCCAGGTCGTGAGCGCAGTCAGTCGACTGCGCCAGAGTCATCACGGGTCATTGGGAAGAGGCGAGTTGTCTATTTCGGCAGAGGAGGGAGAGGGCCCTTGGGAGGAGGTCCTGGGCAAGGAGGGAACTGAGAGGAGCCGACGGAAGGCATGTTTGTCGATGTGGTGGGTTTTGGTTTTGGGAAAGGCTGAGTGTGTTCCAAAGCTTTAAGAGTAGAGTGCAGCAGATGGAAGAGAGCAAGTTCAGTAGCAAAGTCGAGACAGAGTAGACGGGATTCAAGTAATGTGGGAAGAAATAAAGGCAAGCGAGGAGCACGAGCGTTCTTATAGCAGAAATGGATCTCCCCAAGGCCAGCACCATTACAGTAGCACTAATTTACGTTAGTGCAGTGCTAATTACCCCCCATCGAACATCCCTGCCGTGAACAGGAGGCTGAGTCTCCACCTGATCTGACGTAGGAATAATTGCGATTGACTTAGTTCGGGAGGAATGATGCAGCCCCAACCGGGAAATCCAATGGAAAACTAGGACTTTTTTCTAGAAGCTCCCCACTCACAATTCCCGTGGTGGCGTAGTCTGGGTCTCTGAACCGCTAAGTGGGCTTAAGCCTGAAGGGATCCGGCTGAAACGCTGTTATTTGAGACATGGCTAATCTTGCTCAATGAGCCATCCCGCCCTTTTCTTTGTGTCTCTGGTCTCACCAGCAGGGGCCAATTAATCATGAAACCAGGCGAGGTGACAACTGGGAAAAGGGCAATCTCCCGTGGGCCCACTCATGGCTCCATCGGCACGGTTCCTCGATGCGGTGAACGGAGGAACGGAGTCTGACAATTCTTCTCGGTTTTTCCTCTTTATTTTTGATTAGTAAATAATTTCATATTTTCCTTTTTTCGGTTGAGCTGCGCAACCCCCCAAAACCTCCTGTACTTCTAAGGCAAAGATGGACTCAAAAGAAAAGGCCTGAGCGCATAACCCTAGTACTGTACTGACTTAACAAGAAAGGGGGCCAGGATTAACAAGAAACCAGCGAAAAGACCAGGGTCCGATCCACACGTGCTGTATCGTCGATCGACGGTGAAAAAAAAAGAATATACAACTACCATTACTACGGCAGAAAAAAGAATGAAGAAGTTGAAAAACAAAAATAAATAAATAAACATCACCAAAGAGTCATAGCCGAGTTCTGACCGCTTCGTATTACAGGCGTGGACCAGGACATCGGGATTGGCGATAGGCAGAGGATAAGTGAAGATGTTCGTGGCGCAGGGGCTGGTACAACCACGGTGGTTCGTCCATCAGCTGAACCCGGGTTAGAGCTGATGATATGACACGTCAACCTTACGAACTAAAAATTCCATGATTAGAATTTTGACTCTGATAACGGTCTGGGGTGGCACTGTTTCAGGGGTTCAGAGAAAAGGGTAAAGCAAACAAAGAAGGAAAAAAAAAAAACACAACCACAACCACAACCACAAACTCATTTCGAATACCCGGACCCATCACGTACTGTGGCTGGGTTTGTTTCTAGCAAATCGAATGTGGGTGAGTATGCTATTTTTGATCCCGGAGTATGCGAAGGGTTCAGAGGGGGAAAAAAAAGAAAAAAGAAAAAAGAAAACAAATGAGTTTCTTCCCGCTATTTTTTCTCCGGGGATAAGATTATCATTTCTGGATTGTGTTGCTTATCGACAGCCAAAAAGCCCACACCGAGTAAGCTGAGTCGCGATGGAGTCCCAAAATTGAGAGACCCCATCGAAGGATGGAAATGGGAGGAACGAGACGGAGAACATAACCGAGTGACCTCCGCCCCCCTTACTGGTACCTAAACCGGTAACTTGTGTACCGATTGTGGGTGCTATGAGGTCAATCATCTCATAGCCCTGCAGAAGGGGGGAGGACTGTGCATTTCCAATCTTTAGTCTGGCTGTATGTAGGACATGCAGCAAGATGTTCGTCCCCCCTGTTCCCTCCCCAGGGTTGATCACGTACATCACTGGAGTCGGTGTTTCATGTTAGCAGATCTACTGGGTCGGTGTGGCGTCGATTGCACAATGGCGTGCTCGACATGAGCCCTCGTGATGAACACTACACCTGCACACCAGCATGTAACTACGGGTACGAGTTACTAGTTACTAGCTCTGGAGACGTCACCTTCCCCAGGGTGCACATGACCACAGCCCTATATGGTAACCATGGAACTTCGTGGAACGTCGTGGCGCAGGAACTCACTAGAACTCTAACCTGTACCTGTACCTGTACCTGTATTCCCGGGTTCCCAGTCTGACGGTCCCAGTACCCTGGAATTCTCCTGAAAATCTCCATGTCTCCGTTCATCTCACCAAGATCTCCTTGATCAACTTGGGTGGAGACCACAAACAGGCGAGGTGGCAAACAGACTGCGGGAGAAAACCTTTTACAGCGCTAAGGGGTCGCAAACTTCAATAAACACCAAAGGGGATTAGCCAGGGACAAGCGCCATGGGGTTGTCTGCCGTTCCGCACCGTTGGATATCGGTGGGGGGGAAAAAATCCGGAAATGAGGAAGGCGATTGGTGTCGGAGGTTTTCACCGCATTCCTGAGTTCCCCAGCGAGTTGCCCGTTTGGTTCGGTACCTGACCGCACGTGGCGAAGGATCTGTGGGTTTTTGTGTCAATCCATGCCTCTTTGGCTTCATCTGCCTTGCTATGGTCGCGAGAGCCAGTGGGAGATGGACACTAGTATATTCGTCAGCACCTGCGACTCCATCACTTTCCGAATGGCTAGCTTGCTATCTCTCCGTCTCTAGTCTCCAATTTTCAGGATCCCAGTTACCCGGGTCTCGGAGAAAGGGAAAGTCTCCTCCTCATCACGGGAGACTAGTAGCGGGTCGTTTCAAGACTTGTGCCCAGGAGGGTTCCACTATGAACACCTCTGTTGGTCTCCGTACCTTCTACGCGGTCTTCTGGAAAACCCTGAGCCGAGGTTCGCATGTGGATACGAGCGGGAACTGGAATATTGAATATGTGACCATGATCTATGTTTTGTGGGCTCATCACTTGAGTCATCACTGCCTGAGGCTGCGGCTGTGGCTGTGGCTGTGTGACGTTCTCGTTTCGTACCCATGCGCACATCCATCATGAACTCAACTGAGACATTGCCAGGCTGGGAACACAAGTCCTTGTGTCTAATTGACGGATCATTCTGGGTCAGCCACCGCAACTCAATATTAATGTCTGTGTCCGGCGATTCTAATTTTGACGACCATGGGAAGCCTAAAGCTAGCGGTGTACTTGATCGGGCCGCTGAGGAAGATCAGAGGCCGCCGCCTGCGTAACATTTCTAGGCATCAAGCATCATGCCATTGCCCCGATAAGATGACTGCATTTCCATGCGCGCTACGGCGGTCCGTTCGTCGACCAGGGCGATGACCAAGGCCGGGGCTTGGACCCTGTCACGCGGCCTTTGCATGACAAGGAGACACTCCGCACGGGCAGCCCCTCCGGTGCCGCTGAAGATCCATGATATTTGTCACGCAGCAGGGGAGTCAACAGGGGCAGACATGGAACTATGCAACTCTGCAATTTAGACATCCCAGGGGTGCTTGTAACCGATCATGCCACCACGGGCGTCTGCAGGGAGATGCGGATCAGGTAAGGCTGAAGAATTATCAGCCACCTCAGGAGAGTAAATATGCCTGGAGTCAAAGTTGTGGCAAGTTGTGGCCACTCAATCCTCGTCCGCAGCTGTCTGGGCCTGGGTTGAGATCCATTCCTCCATGAGCGGTTGCCTGGGTTCACTCGTAGCACTTGGCCGGGCTCTATCACCTTTACGGGTGATGAGTAGACACAACACCCAACCACAGATATTGAAGCTTTCATAGTGGGTATGAAAACCAAGCTTTTTCTCGTCTTTGTTATCTTCAGGCTCCGACAAATCCGCCTGTACTCTTCTCCTTTTCCTCCGTGGCAATATATCACTTTTGTCTGGCTCGTCCTCAGCTCGAGGAATATCGTGTAGGTCGAGCTCGGGCTCCTCGTCACTGTCGGGAATGACCTCCACATCGATCGGCTTGGATGTGTCGGTTGTCGACTCTGACAATCCCCGGCCAGGTTTGTCGTCCGCCAACGCGTCTTCCTTCTTTCCGGGCTGTTCAAATGTCTTATGTCGCGTCAGAAGTGAATGGCGAGTCCGGGATTCGCGCAGGAAGATGGCCACCTCAAATTCCTCTGCGGGAGCAATGACGTATTAGTGATGAGCTTTCAGGTCGTCGAAGTGAGCCAGGCCTTACCCTCAGCAATCACATCCTTGACGGGTTTGCTCTTCTTGCGCGCCCATAGTCGCTCATTCTCCTCGCGCAGCTTCGGCAAGACCAGAGGCCGGATCGCCTCAAAGACCCGGGGAAGCATGGGATCGCGGTGGTTAAGGAGCCATCTGTTATCGGAAGGACTGTCCAGGTAGATACGGCACTCAAGAACAGAATGCTTGCTGATGCGTAGATAACGACGTATAGGAGCCATGATTGTTGTAGCGGGACGAAGTTGGCTGTAAGGATGTAAGAATGTGAGGATGTGAGCTCTGCCAAGCTTCAGGGCCGCAGATCATCTGATTGGTGATGACAACGCCATCGACATCCCTGCGGAGAATCCCCTTAGACGTAACATCCTTCCTTCTTCTCTCATGTTCCTGACCTCACTCTTTACCAAATCTGACATGGCTTGAGCCAACACCACCAACTTCGATTATCCGACCAAATCCGCCTAGTATGGCCCACGTGACCACATTCAATCGCCCGCCGCCGGAAGCAGACTGACCGTCCCCAAGGTCCCCACGGCCGCCAAGTACTGGGTACCTCCACCCGCACTATTTAATAAGCGAAATTCATGTACCCGATACTTTATTTTTGCTTGACGTCTTTTAGGCCAGCAAGGTCCCCATGGATCCCACCTGGACCCCGCCGATGGAGGGTGATGCCCGCAGATTCTGTTTCTTGAGGCCTCGAAGCCTTCGCTGTATGACCTGCGGTTGTCGAAGATTGTCGCCATCTTTAATAGTCCACGAGCAATCGCTACGTGCTGGCGCGCAAGGTCCTCACCCCAGTCACTCACAAGGACCCGCAATTGGAACGCCGCAAATCAGTCTTCCCCACTCGTCTTGGACACATTTTTGACACATTTTTCACGGGATATTCAGACATACATTGCTCAATCGAGTTGAATTGAAGGTCTGTTCGTGGTGGTAGTGCTTGAGTCGTCTACACTGTCTTGTCCAAAGGTCCGTTGCTTGACAGGAGAACCCGGTACCATCTCGAGCCATTGGACCGGGGTGCTTCACATCGAGGACCTTGGGGGTTAGGACGCAGTCCAAGCAACCCACACAAAACCAGATCTCGTCTGGGAAATTCTCCTTCACGTCAATTGACCTGACCTTACTTTTGCCTTGTCTCTCAAGGTGCTCACGTCTCATTGCCCCTGATTTGGTCGTCCAAGCCAATCCTGGGTCTGCCTGATCTCGTTGATCCTGCCACGATCTTCCACGTGCATCTGATCGCCATTCGACGCCGATTGGTCCGTGTTGCTCCGTCGAAAGTTGAACAAGACCGTTCACAATGGGAATGGATCCTTTGCACACGCTCGTCGGGCGTGCCGACTCCTGTGCGACAGGGAACTCCTTCGATGGCCGTATCGGCTTACGCATCTCATCTATCTTTGTCATCCTGGTCGGTTCGTCTTTTGGTGCACTCTTCCCTGTCTTTGCACGACGCTTCAGTAAGCGCGGAGGGGTCCCCGAATGGTCATTCTTTATCGCCAAATACTTTGGCTCTGGTGTCATCGTCTCAACTGCCTTTATCCATCTTTTGGCGCCGGCGAAGAAGCATTGACCAACCCATGTCTGACCGGCCCCATCACGGAATACAGCTGGGTCGAGGGCATCGTCCTGATGACAATTATTGTCCTCTTCTTCGTCGAGCTGATGGTCATGCGGTTCTCGCGGTTTGGGGCAGGTCATGTGCACGATGAAGAGGGTCACTCTCACACACAACTTGAGAACACTGAGCCCGAGGCTGCTGTGGTCACTGAAACCAAGAGTTATATCCCCGGTGAAGATCACCTGGGTCACACACGGGAACACCACGACGCCGATGACTCGGAGAATGCCAAGACCGCCATTGAAGACTATGCGGCGCAACTAACCTCCATCTTCATCCTTGAATTCGGAATTATTTTCCACTCGGTCTTCATTGGTCTCACGCTCGCTGTCTCCGGCTCCGAGTTCACAACCTTGTACATTGTTCTCGTCTTCCACCAAACCTTTGAAGGTCTCGGTCTGGGTTCTCGGCTGGCACTGGTCCCTTGGCCCAAATCCAAACGCCACACACCATGGTTCCTCGGACTGGGCTTTGGCATCTCCACCCCGATCGCCATTGCCATTGGCCTTGGAGTCCGCCAGAGCTACCCACCTGAGGGACGAACAACACTGATCGTCAACGGCGTGTTTGACTCCATCTCCGCCGGCATCTTGATCTATACCGCCCTGGTGGAGCTGATGGCGCACGAGTTTATGTTCAGCCACTCGATGCGCAAGGCTCCTATCCGGGAAGTGCTGGCCGCCTTCATCCTTCTGTGCCTCGGAGCTGCCCTCATGGCTCTGCTGGGTAAATGGGCATAGCGGGATCCCTTATTTGTTTTCATGTCACCTTATTTCTTGCTTCAAAAGTTTGAGGATGGTTTTTGTCATGTCTCCTGGATCATATGATACCCGCAGGGCAACCTGGCTGCCGTCGACCGGCACAAATTATGGCGTTAATCTTTTTTTTTTTTACCGTGGCTCTTCAGGGCGTTATTTCATTGTATTTAGATCAATAACGTCAAACTATTCCCACCCTACCATATAATAGAACCCATGTAGAAAGTTGTGCAAAGCGTCACGACGTTCATTAGGCAGGGTGTCTCAGAATATGTCCATAATATCAAACACACCCGAAAATATGAAAATCTAGCACGTAACGAGCACGCCCCCTTCCTCGAGCCATCCGCAATCCACTCCCCTAGTCCTTGGTCCCATTAGCCGCGATAACCGGCGACGCAATCCCATCATCCGCATCAGCCTTCAAATCATCCTCGCCCATCACCCCATCCCACCCATTAGCAACAAGATAAGCCCTAAAGCGCTCATCCCTCATCCGTAGATCGTCCCCACTCAGATCCGGTACAAAGAACCACGTAACCAGAATTCCCACGACGCCACAGATAGCAGCAATGATAAAAGTCCATTGATTCCCCAAATTCAATTTAATAGGCGTAAAAGCCTGAGTCCCAATTGCCGCGCCCGCCTTCCCAATCGCCGCCGAAAGACCATAGCAAGTGCCCCGGACACCAGTGGCGTATGACTCCGAGGAAAGCAGACCGAGCATGTTGCCTGGGCCGAAGTTGCCAGAACTTTGCATCAGACCATAGAAGACGACGAAGAGGGGGACAATTTTGGTAATGTGACTGTAGGCGCAGCCGATCGTTAGACCGAAGACGAGATAGCCGCTGAAGCCGATCATCATGATATTTTTTCGGCCAACACGGTCACATAGGAGGGCTCCGAGGAATACACCAGGGAGGGCGATTGCGCCGAGAAGGAGTTGCCATTCGGCTGTTTGACGAAGTGTGCCATTATGGACGACGGAGGAGATGATCGTTGCTGAGAAAACGCCGTTAGGGAAGGTGACGAAGTCTGAGTATGGTTAGCGAGAGGGAGTTATTTACAAATCCTGGGATTGGACATACCATAAAGGAACCATGCACCGCAGGTGCCGATCAATGGTTTCCAGTAGTATCTCAGAACTAGCTTGTAAGGGACTTGTTTCTTGATTGCGCCGCGACGGTAGAGTACGGAATTGAGCATGCGGATTCGGAAGTAGAACACGGACAGTGGCCAGACACAACCGATGCCGAAACAAACGCGCCATACTGTGCTGTAGTGTGTTTGGTTACAGGCCATGAGGACGATCAGGAAGATTGATACCGCGAATGGGCCTCCGAAAGAGAGTGGGAAGTTGGTCACCATGATGAAGGCTGGACCGCGATGCTTTGGGATCAAGTCGTTGGCGGCTTCAGAGGCAGATGTTGAGGATGCAGGATACTCCCCCCCGGCACCTGGAAATCTTGGTCTCAGTACTGACTTCTGGATGGAGTGTCTTGCAAGAACATACCGAATCCCACGATGCCTCGTGCCACAGTCATCACCCAGAACATACCATCAATAGTCACTCCATGGGATGCAGTTGCGAGGATGCCACCAACGACGATCATGACGGTTGTGAAGACAATGGCTATTTTTCGGCCCAGGTAGTCACAGGTCAGGCTACTCGCATATTAGACACCGCACAATAGCCTTACGGATCCCTTGGCTCTTACCCGACAACGATCTGGCCGATGATTTCGCCAATCAGCAGCGCATTCGACACACGCGTACTGACAGCGGAGGTGTATTGCTTGGGATACTCTGCCTTGAGAAGTACATTGGTCATGGTCATCAAGTTGTTCTGGTATCCATCGCTGATTAGAGCAAAGCCACTGGCGAACTTATCAAAGTGGTCCGTTAGCAACGTCTCCCGCTCACAAGCTATATTGAAGAGGGGAAGGGAAGGACAAACTCACGATAGTGAACAGATTAGACAAGCTCTGGCGCTTCTTGGAAACCTCGTGTAGGGTCTCGTGAACGATGCTCTTGCGCTGGATGTCCGTAACAGACACGGCATCAGTCTTGGTGACCATGGTCACAGCTTCGTCTGTCGCCATCTTGGGCTTCTGGGACGATCCTCGGGTAGAAATAGAGATGTTAGATGTCGGAGCGAAAGGTGATGCACTCTTTCCAAATCGGAGTCTCGGTGCGGGGAATAAGTATTCCCTCTTGGATCCTCAAAGCGTGATCCCTTCAGTTGGTGAACGACTATTCCTGACGTCTTCTCTGGAAATGTGATTTCTCCAACGATCATCTTTCAGAATGAGAATTCAGACGATGGCAATGGAACCCAATTGGTGCCTTGTAGCGGTAGACCGTCTTGTAATACCCCAAATGATTACGAGTCATCTGTAGTCATCTGTGTGTGTGACTGGATTTCGGTATAGATTCCTATCCTTTCACTTTGCGACCCACCACAAGCATGAAAAAAGTGGGGCAACTTCCACTCCGCAGTTCGAGTCCACGTTGCTTCTCCTCTTCACACTTAACCCATCCACAATGCGTCTCACCACCATCTTCCTCTCGCTCGCCTCCCTCGCCTGTGCCGCCGAGCTCGGCATCGAGGTCACCCACAAGGTCGAGTGCACCCGCAAGACCCAGAACGGCGATGGTGTGCAGATGCACTACCGCGGCACCCTGCAAGACTCCGGCAAGGAGTTCGACTCTAGCTTCAAGCGCAATGTTCCCTTGAGCTTCAAGCTCGGTACTGGCCGTGTCATTAAGGGGTGAGTTGCGATTCCTTCTTTTGCCGTTCATTGGACCTGACTAAATGCTGTGAATAGCTGGGACCAGGGTCTGCTGGACATGTGCATTGGCGAGAAGCGTACTCTCACCATTCCCCCCGAGTACGGCTACGGCGACCGTGGCGTGGGTCCTATTCCCGGCGGTGCCACCCTGATCTTCGAGACCGAATTGGTTGGAATTGACGGTGTGGACAAGGATGAGCTGTAAAGCAGCCCGTGCCGGAATGATATGGCATCATATCGAGTATGGTTGGCGGCATTTGGTATCTAGTCTATGAACATCTTGGAATATACCCGGAAACGAGGACATGTCTTCGATCTTGACACTGTGTCATATGTCTCTATAAAAATGTGTTGGGGTATCTCTTCTAGTGTATCAGTAAGATGTACAAGGCCTGCGGCCAGAACGAATCCACACAACTTTCTTAGTCCATCGCGTCTAGCGCATTCTCGGCCTGGATATCGTTCTCAGATACCAGAATCCCAACGAGACACTCGCTGAGAATCCCGTCCCAATTGACCCACGGGTGAATCTCCTGGAACAGCTGCGCCGAGTCCTTGCCCGCACCACGCAACAACTCCCCCTTCCCGCCAGGATGATACGGGACGTAGGGTTGGATATTATACACTTTGCCCTGATAGGAGGTCCACGCATCGCGGCCCTTGCGCCCATTTTGGATCTTCAACATGGACGGCGTCACACGCAGCAAGCCAGGTGGTACACCGACGCCTCGGAGCTGGCTTTTCGGGTTCGCGGCTAGAGCAGCCCAGTCGAGGGGCGAGTATCCCGGATCAAGAACAACTTTGCGAGTGTTCTTCAAACTGGGCTTCAGCGTGCTGTTGCTGAGGCCTCCGCCTCCGCCACTTGGGGGCACGCGGAGTCCCGCTGCGGCGGAGGGAGGGGGCATAAGCGAGCTAGCATTTGAGCGCGACGGTTGAAGACCAGGCGGTGCTCTATTCGGCTGCGGTGTTGGGCGGAGACGAGGGACTGAGGGTGGTGGCATCACAGAGGAGGTGTTGGCGGGTGCGGAGAGAGTGGGTGGTCTTTGCGCCTGTGGGATCGTAGGGGGTGTAAGGGACTGCGGCCGGGAACTGGTCTGCGAATGTTCATCGTTGTGATTTGCCGCTTGCTGCTTTATTGATCCATTCATATCTCGCAGAGCAGGGGGCTTTGTTGCGGCACTCCGAGAGTTGCTCGTGTCGGCCTCCAGGTTTAGCGCAGGCACTGCAAGGGCCGGGACCGGTGCGCTCGACGCCGAAGCCTTGGGCGTGGTCGGTGAATTCTCTTCTTCTATTTTTATCGGTGGAGAAGTCAAGAGTTCTTCGTCAAGTCTTGCTAGCAAAGGGGAAGAGGTAGAAGCAGGCCGTACCTCGGGTTGGGGATCCGGAGGGGAAGAAGGATGTTCGGTAGTCCAGCTGCGTGGCGGGTAGCGATAGAGGAAATAGCCTGCAGTCGCCACAAGAGTCCCAACGCCTGTCCAGCCCATTTTCAAACCAAAAGATGGCCCTGGAGATGCAAAGGTAGGAAGCGCCGGGATATCGTGCCTGGATGACTTATTCATCGCTGCAGAATGGCTCGGCCAGATCATTGGTCCGTGCACTCCCAGGATTACGAGATCTATACAATCTCCATTCATATATTAATTACGACCAATCTCAAAACATGAACGGCAATCCTGTACCCCTCCGGAAATAAATGGGTGTAGTAGATTCAAAAAGCCACATGCAGACGATAACCTCTATAAGCAATTGTTGAATGCATCAATTCAATCGATTTTTTGCTTGAGATTTGAAGACCAAGAAGTACTCTTGGGAATGATTCATCTGCACTCTTGGATTACATTTTCTGTTTGGAGAAGTCCTTACACTGATTCTGGATTATTTGCACTGATACTGAGCAGAATTGCGCATTGTTGCTCGGTTCGGCAAGTTATTGGATGCGATCAGCTTAGCTCCAGTTGCCCCTTGATAAAAGAAATGATGTCAGTACATCATCACAATCAGACGGCGACGGAACTGGGATAGATTTTGCCAGCTCAGTGTCAAGATAGTCCTTGAATAATTCGGAGATGAAGCTTGCACATCGACGCAGCTGCGAGGTACCAGATGCGCCAGGACACACTCATGTCTTCTTCCGACGCTGTCTTGCTCTTTGATGCCGGAGCAGGTCAAGTAAGGTCCCAAATTCAGTCACCAGGATCCAGACTGATTGTCAGCGTAGGCCCAAGGAGACAGAGAATTCCAAGAGGACCGCCATGTGATGATTCGACCGGGCCAGTTTCCTGCAGACACAGAGGATACGCTTGCCTATTTTGCAATATATGATGGACAGTCTGTCGCAAAACCTCCACCTCGCGAGCTTAGCACTTTCTGACTTGCAGTGTGTAGTGGCTCCGATCTCGTTTCCGAGCATGCGACGAAAAACTTGCATGGCCTGTTGGCCCGACGACCTGAGCTCAAAGAAGGGGAATACGTCCAAGCCATCAAGGGCGCCCTGGCGGACGAGGACGCCCTTCTGATGGACGACTTCAAACACGACTATGCAGAGCCCGCACTCTCCGGATCAACCGTGGCCATGTGCCTGATCAATCTGACGCAGGGAGAGCTGATTTGTTCCAACCTGGGGGACTCGCATGTCATATTCGCGGAACGTGATCCGAAGACGGAGATGCCGTACCACATCGTGAGCAAAGTGCATCGCCGGTGGACGATATCAGGTGGTTGACGGAAGTACCAGCGCCGGCTCACCAAGGCACATAAGCCCGACACGCCCGACGAACAGGCGCGCATCAAAGAGGCCGGGGGAAAAGTCCAGGTGCGGGGTGGGGTTCCTCGGTTAGGTGAGGCCGCACCGCCCCATTGGTCGGAGAATACAATCTAATAGCAGAGACGTAGGATCCCTGAATATGTCCCGCGCGTTGGGGGATTTGCAGTACAAAAAACCGGTGAACACCATTCAGAAAGAGGGCTGGATCCCCGGGACCCGACGCGCCTCGTCGTCATCCAAGCACGTCCATGGAGACGTCCTATCCAATGACCCGTATACGTCGAGACGCACGTTGCGGACTGGCCTGCGTTACCTACTGGTGATCGTATCGGATGGAGTCAGCGACCGCACCGACGACGCGGGCCTGATCCAGCACGTGATGAAACTGTCAATGCGGGGAATGCGCGCGAGTGAGATTGCACAGGCAGTGGCCAGCGATGCGGCGAGTCATCCGCGGAGTGATAATGCATCGTGTATTGTGATCATGATAGATGGACAACGATCGTAAGATGCAGGGCAGTTGGAGTTTGGGGGGGGGGGGGGGAGGGTTTGGGGTTAGGGAGTTCATGAGTAGATGAGAAGTTGTTCACGTCCCCGAAATGGATAAGAGTCCGAGATCCACGATGTTATGCATGCCAGTGTCCACTCATGGGCGCCGACCGGCTCCATGCTTGCCTAGAACGGAAGGTGGTTTGTGCTGTTCGGGTCCATAATTTGGAACAGGAATTTTCTGGTAGCAGTCCGATGCTCGCCACAAAACCTTGTCCTGTAGCAACTTTGTCAAAGGGACTCTCGTGCGGCGGTAGCGTCATATCTCGTCTTGCTAAATGACCAAAATAGGTTCTGATTCTCTATGAGGGAGTGGTCTTTGATCTTTCAGGAAAGGGACCGTACTCTAGAATTTAATCGTCATATGCCCTATGGTACACAATGAAGGACACAATTGGCAAGTTAGTTACTTTTTGCCTGTGAGTCATGCATGTCATAATCATGGTCGGCATCTTTCTTTCTTCGTGCCCCCGCCCGACAAGGTTATCTCCTGGGTCACCAATTCAGCAGGCGGATAAGAAGTCGCTTAATGGCGTCGGCCTGATCCGCCCTATTGCTCCACCTTCTGCATATCGGTGCTACTCAGGCTAGTTGACCCCAGAGGCTCAGGAGAAGAAGTACTCCGTGACAGTTCTTGTCCCTGTCAACCCCGATTAGGAAGGCGATAGAACGTCGGTTCACGGGTGGAGATTTCTTGCAGAACAAGCAATGAGTAAGATCCGAGACTATCCACCTTCCAGAACGGTCAACTTTGAAGAGGATCTCGGGTTGCCTGGACCGAGATACTCGAAATTCCCTTTTAAGCCGTGACTTTCTCTGGGTTTTTCCAGATCCTCACCCTTTTACACTTCCCCATGATCTCCACGGAAACTCGCACCAAACCTTCATCTCGCAGCATGGCTCCGGCCTGGAATAACTTCCACGTTGGAAGAGACTGCGGTCATTGCAAATGGTCCCGAAAAATCACGCCTAAATTGACCGTCACCTCTGGCCAAACTGTCACTTTTGATGCCATCGACAGCAGCAACGGCCAACTAAACACCGGGTCCGACGCATCCGCCATCAAGACCCTGGACCTCGGTATCGCTAATCCCGTCTTCGGTCCCATCGTCGTTGAGGATGCCCAACCCGGCGATGTCCTCAAGGTCGAGGTCCTGAACCTCGAGGTGGCCGACTGGGGCTGGTCTGCCATCATCCCAGGCTTTGGTCTTCTGGCTGAGGACTTCCCGGAACCCGAGATCAAGATCTGGTCTCTCGACCGGGAGAAGGGTTACGCTCAGTTCAAGGACATGCGAATCCCTCTGCGACCCTTCCTTGGATGTATGGGGCTGGCCCCCGGCAATGACGAAGAGCTGTCCACTGTTCCGCCCACTAACCACGGTGGCAACCTGGACTGTCGTGAGTTGGGCATCGGCTCGACTGTCTACTTGCCTGTTCAGACCGCTGGAGCCTTCTTCAGCTGCGGTGATGGACATGCCGCCCAGGGTCACGGCGAAGTCTGCGGCACCGCCATCGAAACTCCTATCCGCGCAACCCTCCGCTTCGAACTCTGCAAGAACCAACCCTGGGTGACGACTCCTCAATACCAGACTCCCCCAATGGCGCAAATTGCCAACCCTATCCCGGATCTTGGAACCTACGGCGTGCTCGGTGTCTCGCCTGACATTTTCGAGGCTGCGAAGATCGCGACTCGCAACCTTGTTCAATGGCTTGTCTCGACCAAGGGACTTACTCCCAGTGAGGCTTACATCCTGGCCAGCGTGGCTGCAGACCTCAAGATTGCTGAGATCGTCAACGTGCCCAATTTTGAAGTGGCCATGACTCTCCCATTGGGGATCTTCAGCAAGTAATATATTTCCATTGGCTGCTCCGAGCTTTGGAAGAGAGACATTTGTGTTGTGGTGCATGGCGTTGATACCCAGAGGTGCTGAATTGCCTTTTCTATCTTTTTACTGTACATATTATGATGTGGTCGCAGCGCTGTGGCCAGCATTTTCTGCATGGAGGCCATTTACTCCGGAGTACTGACTCGGTGATGATGGCGCATAGGCTATGCCTAACGAACATACTATTAAGAATGCATAACCCCTATCTAATTCGATCCTATTGTCATCGGGTCAACCCGAGTCTAGAAAAAGGGTTGCCTTATTTGGGATAGTAGTAGAATTTTTGGATGTTCTAGCACTATGCACTTTGGTGGATTCGGTGTGGGATGGTGGCAGTGATGGCTGCACATATGTCGACCACAACTTCGTACATGCCATTCCTCGTCCACGATCATGCTCACTAGAGAAACTTGATTCACATTGTATTTTGTCACCAATTACACAAGAGGGACTACCCAGCCCTGAGACACTTGACTTCAATGCATGCACTTGGGCACATTTCCCCGAGAATGTCACATGACACCGCGCGTTGGCGCGTCTCATCTTGGCGAGCCACCCAATCCCTATCAGGACAATCGAGGCCCTCGAGATGTCATGGATCCCATTCTCGATGGCCTAAATCCTGCCCAGCGAGATGCAGTCACCTCATCTGCGCCCATTTTGCAAGTCCTCGCACCACCGGGGTCTGGAAAGACCAAGACGCTGACAGCACGCGTCGCGTACCTGCTTTCTCACCATGGATACCTACCTCAAGATGTCATTTGTTGCACGTTCACAATCAAAGCGAGCCGAGAGATGCGTGAGCGTCTGGCCAAGCTTATCGGTGAGCGTTTGGAAAGTCGGCTGATTCTTGGCACTTTCCATTCTATCTGTCGCAGGTATCTGGTCAAGTATGGGTATTTGATCGGTCTGAGAAAAGGTTTTGGCATAGCGGACTCAGATGATAGTCGCGCTATCTTACGGGTGAGTTTTCAAGGTCGGCAATCTCGTATTTTGTGTTCCCTATTGTTGATGCATTTGGCAATTGGCAGAGAATTATCAAACGCTTGAATGCTACCATTGAAGTGAAGACTGCCCAGGGAAAGATCTCCCGCCACAAGGCTCAGGGAATCACCCCCCGATGCCTTGGCTGAACGTGCCAAGGCTGAGGAGATGGAGCTGGTTGATGTCTACCGTGCATATCAAGCAGCGCTGGCTGACTCAAGCCTCTTGGATTATGATGACCTACTAGTACGCTGCTGCGATCTTCTCAGACAGCACCCTGAGTGTGTATCGAATGTCCAGACCGTCCTGGTCGATGAATTTCAGGACACAAATACGATTCAATATGACCTGATGAACCTTTTTGCCGCCCAGAATCGACGCATCACGATCGTCGGTGACCCCGACCAAAGTATCTACGGGTTTCGCTCAGCAGAAATTCAAAACCTTAGACGCATGCAGCGGCGATACCCAAATACATCGATTGTCTTGTTGGAATCCAATTATCGCTCATCGGCGTCCATCTTGAAGTCTGCGCAGGATGTGATTGAGCAGGATACGACACGACCTTCAAAGACACTACAGGCGACCCACTCATTCGGAACATTACCTGTGCTCAGAAAACTCCCAACGGCAAATGCAGAGGCCACCTGGATGGTGCTTGAGATCAAGCGCGCTGTGGCGATGACTGGGGGTCTCGTGCGGATGTCAGATGTTGCAGTTCTGCTCAGATCAGCTTCACTGTCCACGCGCATTGAAACAGCGTTTGGGCGAGCCGGTATTCCATACAAGATGGTCGGAGGTCGGAAGTTCTTTGACCGGACCGAGGTCAAGACTTTGGTCAATTACCTCAGAGTTGTGAGCCACACAGGACATGCAGACGCACTACTCAATATTATCAACGTTCCACCTCGTCGAATCGGTGACGAGACTATAAAGCAATTGACCAGTGGCGCTGACAAGGCTCAAGTTCCACTCTGGACTTTCATCAAAGACGTCATTCAGGGTCGCCGGTCGACGGAGAAGAAACTGCAAAAGGCAGCAGAGCAGGGTCTTTGTTCGTTGGTCAAGCTTATTGAAGCTGCGAAACAGAAATTGCAGGAATGTGCTGATGCTTCAGCGCCATGCGTGCTTCTTGAACACATTACAGACAGTCTGTCCTTCCAGGAATATTTGATGAGAACCTATCCCCTAGATGAAGACAGTCGCTGGGCGAACGTCAAGGAACTGATGGGTCAAGCCCATGATGCTGCCGCCTCCGTCGGGGACGTGGCCCAAGAAGAGGATCTACCTCAGATTGAAGGCGTTGAGCAAGAGCATTCACACGCCGGTGAAGAGGCCCTTTCCAAGTTTTTGGCCAACGTTGCTCTTGCCACAGAGGCCACCAAAGAAGGTGAGACGGAAACCGAGAAGGTCACGATTTCTACGATCCATGCAGCCAAGGGTCTCGAGTGGCCCGTCGTGTTCATCCCAGCTGTTTATAATGGGAGCATTCCACACTCACGGGCCGAGGAACTCGACGAAGAGAGGCGGCTGCTGTACGTCGCCATGACCCGAGCACAAGCGTTATTGTACCTGAGCCTCCCTCTACGACAACCCCGACTCGGCGAGGGCGAGGATGGCTCGACTACTTTGACACCATTCTTGACACCCAAATTGGTCAGAGAGCGCTTTCGTCCTAAGGGGCCTCAATTACACGAGAAAGTCGTTTATGCAATTGCTGATATCCTGCGACGGCCACGTCCCACTGCCGACGATATGTACAAAGACCTAAATTCACTGCCATCTACACTGGACGATCGATGGACTGCCGAGGGCGAGGAAAAGAAGGACGAGGACGGGCAATGGAAGGATGCCCTGGACCCCAATGACCTGGCTGGATCGAACCCGAAACGGCGACGGGTTGATGCCAATCAGCCAACGTCTACGACCTACATGTCAGCAAGCGGCATGATGAACAGCTCAGCCAATTTTCAGGTGTCTACAACGCTCTCGACCGGCTTCCTCTCTGCTCGAGATTATGCAGCTACAGCAGCAAGCCAGGAACCCGTCGCTGAATCTACACCCAAAGCTGCCCCCAATCCGGCTCCTATCAAGTCCAAGGCATCCAGCACCGCCAGCCGTAAAGACGGGTTGACCCAAGCCAGTATCTCCAACTTCTTTGGCGGACCGGGAATCTCCCAGAAACGAGAACCCCTTCCTGCCAGTCAAGCGTCTAACCAGCTACCGCGAAGTCACCCAACAGCCCCAACCTCACGCCCCGGGCCCAGTCTGGTTCCGCCTGCGCTCACATCGCACCGCCTCCAACCACGACCCTTGCAACCAAGTCGACCGGCCCTGGAACCAGCTCAACCAAGTAACTATACGTGGATGGCGGCTCCGTCCAGACCAGCTGTGAAACCCGCGCGGATGCTGACGCAACCTTCTTCTGGAAACAGTACAGAGGTAGGGACCAGACCGGAGGGGGTGAAACAAGACAGCTCCACCGGCATTCAGTCAGTCACGTTTCACACGACGACGATGGCGAGTGTACGGCAACAGGGCGCCGGGCGACGGACGTTGGGGATTCGGCGGAGTATGAATGGATGGGAGGAGCGAATGAAGCGGGAAGGCTGAGGCCCAATGCGGTAAATTAGTTCTAGAATCGGGAGGAGCTCCAAAGACTCGAGGGGGTTCCGGTGATCCCCGTCATGCAGCCTCATTATCATGTAGACATGTTATGTTCTTTTTTTTTTTTGGTTCGACATTTTGTGATGTGCCCCAATCGGTGGCCACCTACGTACCTTGGGACGGAATCTCGATCGGAGAAGATCAGTGACGCAGACGGGCCGCGAATTGCATGTTTGATCCCAGATAGGGACAGGCAGGATACCCTGATCTCTCCCCCCTCGGTATTCCAGGGCAGCTGAAGAGAGGAACGCGAGGTCAGGCCGAATGGACGATCGGGATGCATCGATTGGCGAATTAACGAGACTACACTATGATCACCGGCCAGGTCCAATCAGACAGACCGTCGTCATGATTCGGCATCAGGGGAGAATCTGGACCAGAGTGGAGTCAGTCGGTGAAGCTCTCTCTCTCTTCCCCCCTGGATCATTGACATCACGAAGTTCTCCGGAAGTCCATTCGATGCAGGCGGGGATCCCAATGATTGATGATTGGCGAGCTGGCCAGGGCAGCGGTGAGGCTGAGGAATTTTGGAGCTTCATTGCTATTCTTGGACCCGGGTTCCTGGAGAAGTTAGACTGAGATTGAGATCACTGAAGTAACCAGCTCTCGAAGAATGGCTGACTCAGCCCGTATTGATGATACCTCGTCGTTACCGACTGGTACTGACTGGTACCGGTACGGGGGTAACAGGGACGGTCACTGGCTGCCCTGCCTTCAACGCGGGCTGCATCACCAACCGAGTCCATGGATCGAGGTAATACCAGGCACTCGATACACGGCCGATCCATTCCCAGTCTAGTGCCAGTCTCTAGTTCACTTCCCCCGGAGTCGATCAAATGCACGCTCAATTGGGAATGGCCTGGGGTATACAAATAGGTCGTCCTCCTGGCTTTCCTATACACATCTACCCCAACATCTTCACTTCCTGTACCGATACTTCGACCTATATCTCCGAGATCAATTATCTTTCCTCTAGGACTCGTTTGCGTTACAGTTCAACACTGTCCTTGTCCGAGACTCCCAAGCGCCCCATTTTCAGCCTCAACTACTTTGACTCCATCTATTCCGTCCACTTCTTTGGATCTAATTTAACCCCATTCCGTCATGCCACACAAGGTCAACAACGACTCCAATTCTACCCTCGCAAGCCGAGGCAGCATTGGTGATCCCGTCGTTGCCACCGAAGTCCGGAGTACGTCTCCAACCACTATGACAGTCCACGTCGATTTCCAGACTTAGGCTAACAACCGCTTCTCTAGCCGCCAATCCCGCTCGGAAACCACCCGTCATCGTCCATAATAAGGGCGGTCAAATCTACGACGAAACCCGGCCGTCTGACTGGGACAAACAACGCTGGAAATAATCGAGCAATCCAGTCCACCCCCCCCCCCCCCCCAAAAACAGCAGTGAGAACAGGGACAAGAGCAGAAGTAGGAGCAAGAGCAGGCCCCCAGTCCCAGTCCAGTTCGGTTGGGGCGTCCGGTTTATCCGCGCGCGTCTCCAGCTCCTAGTGACACCGAACGGGACCGAGCCGGAAGAAACAGAGGGAAAAACAAAAAGTGAGGCGGTGATCGACAAGGAATCCCAAGTGCCAGTCAAGCACTCTGCACCAATCTCCCGCAATGACGAAAACACTCACATTGAGAGCCTCGACGCTCCCCCTTTCTTCCTCAAGCGCTCAAATGAAGGGATACGCTATCTGTCGTCACCGGCACCGATCACCACCCCTGACCCAGATCGGGGCCTGGACCTCCCTCGGGTCATGACCTTTGCCAACCCTGCTTTCCCTGTCTACTGCTGCTTATGGACATGGACGATATCCTGCCCCGGATTTTTCGGGCGTGAGAGGTACTGGGGAACGGGGACAAGTGTGGATCTCCCCATTCTTGCGTCAATGACTTTTTGTTCCCTTTTTCCCCCCCTGCTTCCCGGCCCATGTACCACTATTCTCATTCCTGGAGTTATTTTTGTGCTCGGCGTTTCAGTGGCGGTTGTTCCCTTTTTTCATTCAGTCTTTTACTTTCTTTTTGTTTTTTTCCTCTTTGCCCTTTGCCGACGCCATTGCCTATCTACCCGATAGGCAAGATTCGTTTCTTTTCCATTATTCTATACGTCTATCTCTCCCCTCTTTACCGCCTCTTCTGAGATTGCCCTCCCCGGGAAAGCGGTAAACACGTGTCATATTATCATTTACGCCCTCTGTCTGGCAGCATTGGTTGCAGGCGATACCGCGGGTCACCCTCCTTCCTTTTTTTTTTTGTTGTCCTGGGTTTTCTGGTCAGGACTCTTGCATAGCGATGGAGAAATTGGGATCTGTTTCGATTGAGCGAATTTGTGGTCAAAACGTGTGCTACTTCTCCACACTTTTTTTTTTTGGCAAGGTTTCAATTTTCAACAATAATTGAATGGTCATTATTTTTGATTTCTATTCTTCGGTAAATGGATCTCTCTTTAGGATCCACGATGGTCCCTAATCATGGACTTATTTGGGCGACTATTTACTTTCTACTCTTTTGGGAATCCGGGCCCGCGTCTCTACCGTCGTTCCAGGCCTCTTGCGCGGTGATTGGTTGTAGCGGGTGTGGTTTGGACGATCCGTGGTTTCGCTCTCGGTGGATCCACTTGGAGCTTGGATGGGAATGGGCAATTCATAGATCCTTGGGTCTTCACTCCGGGCAGGAAGAGAATGGGACTGTGTTCCGTTTTACTAATTTGGTAGCTTGCTGGCCCAGGTGGTCTTCTTGGAGCCCTTGGTTGGTAGGTGATTTACTGTTACGGAGCTAGTCGAGTAGAGTGGTTTGCTAAGGGGCATGCCTTGACCGCTTCAATTGGTGGGTCGAGGCCGAGCGGTCAACCTTTTGAGAGTCCCAAGTCGGACTTGTAGAGTTGCACCGTGCTCGGGCTTTGATGATGTGTGCTTATATAGGAGGGAATTATGGATGGAGTAGTCTAGTGCACGAGGGACAGACGAGGATTGATTGAAAAGGATAGGGTAACGAGGTGAGTGAAGGGGGGAGAGCTCCGTACATATAGTACATTCTCAGACCCTCCTAATATTGGACCATTAGTGGACATGTATATATCCGACAGCCGACAGGAATAAATCCTTCGTTATGTTTTGCCGGTACATCAATGCACACGTGAGATAATACTGACTCCCACCCACAGATGTAGATGGATTGATGATGGTTTGGTTCATGCGGTGATAGCTTCTAAATTCACAGCGGCATTGCTAGTTGCCGAGAACTAAGGGGTCTTCGGACACTTGGGGCACGAAGACCCGGCAATCTAGCCTAGCCTAGACGTAGATGGGTGTACGCGGGCCGCAACGGGCACGAAGATGGAGTTACATGTTCCCTGTCTCAGGATTCGGTCTACACTTGAAAGGGTCCACAGAATGGAGATGACATTCGTGGGGGCCATGTGGCAGTCTCGAATCCACACAGAAATCAAAAAGCACCTTCCACTGGTCTCACGCCGAAGCGGAAGTGACCAACAGAGGGGCCATGTTCGGGCTAGGTACACAAAGAGGGGGTGCAAAGGGGGGAATTTGGTTTCAATTTCAGGTCTCAGCCTTCAGTTCCCCAGGAGACCGCAAGATTATTTTTTGCAGGTTTTCGCTCTTTTTTTTGCTTTTTTTGTGGCCTGTGACCTATCTGCCCGCTCCCCTGGACAGGGAAGAGTTGAAAAGAAAAAAACAGAGACAGGATAGTACATTTCAATTCCTTGAGAAAGGATGAAATGTGGAGGCTAGACACATTAAAGGCTTTTCTTTTTTTCTTTCGGGGTTGGTGTTGTGTGACAAGGGTCGAGGCAGCGGTGCTGCTAAGGATCGTAAGGAGTGAACTGGGTGATGCAAAGGCGCAGCGCCAGCGGGCGCGCAGCAAGACGGAATGTTGCCGAAGGAAAAAGTGTATGGTCTTTCCTCGACAGATGCGAAGTGAAATTGTGTGGTGTAGGGGGAAAAGAGGGAACAACACGATGCAATCAGGATGACAAAAATTCAGAATGGCTCGCTCTTGCAATGCTATGTGGAAATTGAGAACAAAATGCAAATGATGACCCAGAAACGATCCAGGCACGAATGAGAAGGGTATGCAATTTTTGGAACAAGAAGTGAAAAAATATGGGGAGGGGTTTGACTCCAGTCCTGCGGACCGAAGCCGATATGCAAAGCTTTCAATGATGATTGAAGATGGTCAAGTCGGGGGATGGCACGAGATCGACAAGGCGAAGAAGCGCATGGCGGATTATAGTTGTATTAGGGGGAGTGCCGAGACAACGCAAAAAGCAGACGCTCCTTCTATGCGGTCGAGACGAAAAGAAAAGGCGCACTGATGATATGTGCAAGACGCCGCGAAACACTTTTGGGCTGATGCTGCTTCTTCTGTGGTCCTTTTTCTTTTACATCCCACCAACATACGTCGGGTCCAGTGCCATTTGGGGCTGCGGGAACTGCTGTAATTGCTGCTGTTGAGACATATACAAAGACTCCTGTTGCTGATAAGCGTCGGTGGCGATGTACTGCATCTCAACTTCGGGAGCGGGTGATGGGGAGCAGCCGGGCACAGAGGGAACACTTCGACTCAGTTCGTGGTTACCCATTTCGGCCTGAGCGAATCCCACATTCTCAGGCGTGATAGGTGGGGTGAGGTATCCGTGTGGGACGGCAGTCAATTGCGAAGACTTCTGAGGCGTGGCGAGGCCCATTTCCCCAGTATACGGCTTTGACTCCGCTGGAGTTTCGACCGGTGGGGTGCAACGGGCATAGTTGGACAGAGAAGCCTGGCGGTTGAGGAAGTGCTCCAGCACCTTGGAGACCCGCGAGTAGTGAGCCGAAGCATACTTCCGGGAAACTACAGTGGAGGGCTGGTGGAGCTGTTGAGACAGGCCAACGAGAGTCGTCGAGTCATACTGGGCAGCCCAGTCAGTGTGCCGAGGCTGGGGTCGGTTGAGAATACAACGCGCCAGAGCTAAGGCAGCGCGAGCGAGCTCCGACGAAGGCTTAGAGACAAAGTCACGGTGGAACAGAGCAATCTCGAGGACGTAGAGAGCCATGTGCTCCACCTCAGGGTCGTAGACCTCGTCGAGAACGGCAATTTGTAGGAAACTGTCCACGGTAGGGTGGCCAATGGTCCAACCAAGGGTCTGCAGAACGTGCCATTCCATCTGGATGAACATGTCATCATCGTAGAGGGAGCAACACATGGACTTCAGCTCCTTGACAGTGGGCACGCGATCCTTCTTGTCGTTGTACTTCGCAGCGATGAGGAGAGCTGCACAGCCAACCAACTGGTAGTGACGCTTGTAGACCACACGCTTGGAGCAGTAACGATCCAAGAGGTTGATGGCCAAAAACAAGGTCGACGGCAGAAGTTGAAAGGCAGTGTGGGCCTCGATCAGGAAGTCAAGGAGGTACGGACGCATGAACCACTGAATCTCGGTTTGGATGTCGATCGATTCAACGTCCGGGAGCGTTTGACCCTGGCGATGATGATTAGCCACGGCCACGAGAAACAAGTCCAGACTAGCAGTCTACTTACATCCATCTCCAGCATGTGGCTCAGGACATCGTCCCGAAGCTCTTCGCTGGTGAGTCTGGACAGTTGATCCGCGATAGCATATTGCCGCTCACGAGCAACGAGTTTCTCGTGCTCCTGTTTGGCCTGCTTCTCGGCACGAACACGATAGTCATCCTCCACGAAGAAGGTATCACAAGGCTGGAAGCCGGAACGAGGACGAATGTAATCCATGATTGTCGAAAGGGAGTTGACGGTTGACCGGGATAAGGGGGCGAGGTTGAATTAGCTTTGCTGAATACCGAATGAAGGGACCTGAATAGCGGAGGCTGAACAGGTAACGACGGAGTTAAGAGAATGACAGTCGTCGGGTATTAAATGGTGAAATGAATGACTGGAGACGTAGTTGGTAATGATTAAAGAGTGGACACCAGCGTCGAGACAATAGTCGTGCTGGGAAGAAAGCCGGGATGCCGGGAGGAAGTCTTCGAAAAACGAGAGCTGGATGGGAATATTAGCGAACCGATGCCGTGATTAGGATTTATCATTAGGGTGAATGCGGACGAGTGTGACAAGTGAGTGAAGTGAGGTGAAGAAAGTGAAGACCCAATGGAAAGGCAAGTGATATCAAGAGCCAGTAGGGAAGGGTTGTCAACTCCTTCGGAGAATACTGACCCAGTAACAGCCTTCGGGCAGAGGGTACTATGCAACCCTTACCGTAACGGCGATGGCATCTAGGCTAGGCAAGCACGCAGGAATGGATTAAGATTGTGGATGCCAGGTCTGGAGATGAAGCACGAGTGAACGTCTTCACCCTTGGGGCCTTGTGGAATGTGGAGTGTGCAGGACACCGGACGACCCTCTCTGTAAGGGAAAGGGGGGGCGGAAATCGGATCGTCAGGGGAGGGAACGTGCAATTGGAATGGCCACGACATACACTTCACGAGTTAACGTGTTCTGAAGGAACCTCCGAGCGGATGGGAAGGGAGACTGCAAGATGGGTCGCTCAACGACTCTCAGATGTCATTCAGAAAACGAATGAGGGTCAAAAAGTCTTGGAACAAGAGTATCCTGAAATGATACACGCAGGTCAGTGAGCTATTTCTCAGAAGTAATAGAGTGACAGTGGCATGTGTTGCCCTGGATAGTGATCATCAAAACCCCTCGGCATGTCCACCCCAGTATATAGGATTTCACAACCCCTTAATTGAACCCCGGGCTGAAGAGAGAGAAACAGTCAAGGACTGATAAGCAAGTCAGATCCTAGGTGAACATGGCATTGGGGCCTTGGAGACTGCATTCCGAAGTGTTTTTTTCACTTGAATATCAATTTCTCCTTTCCAATGCCACTATCCATCCAGATCCAACGTGCATGTACCATGATCTCGACGTTTACCCCTCTCCTCAGGATGAAGATCTCATCTCTGCAGAAATGGCATGAATAGCATTTCAGCGTCCTTAGATCTGGAGGTTTTCGGAATTGGGCATACGGAGACCACCGTGAACCGGTGCTCTCCAAAATTGACCCCTTTCCTCTCTCAGTCCTCAAACTCGCCTACAACAATGCTGAATACTCCAATATAGCCTTCCCAAGGTCTCCCATTAAGGGTATATACTGGTGTCAATGCCTGCCGAGGGATTTCGAGATTGCCGACCTAGACAGCCCAACCACACTGTCCTCAAAAATTTTCACCCACTTACCCACAATATCAGACCCGAAGTCAATCAGAAGACGAAACCCGAGAGTTTTCGTATCATTCGAAGAGATTCGAGAGATGTGATCCTCACGCTGTCGCTCGTCTAGCCGGCAGGAGCTGGAGCAGGGAGGGATTCGTCGGGGAGGAGTCCGGGGATCAGGAAGGCACCGGCGGACAGGGACGAAGGGTTCGCCGTTTGAGCTAACAAACGTCGAATTGAGGAGGATCGTCAAGTTCGAGGAGGGGATTCGACTCGACCGGAGGAAGGGCTGAAGGAAGTGATTCTCTCAGCCAGGCTCTCCGTTCTCCGTGAATTGTCCAGGGGAGGAGCAAAGGGAAGAAGAAAAGAGTATAGAAGAAGAGAAGGGGGAGGGAGGAGTACAAGGAGGAGGAATTCGGATTCTCTCTCCAGGCGGGTGTGGGAAAGAAAAGAAGAAGAGAGAAGCTGAGACAAAAGACACGGAGATACCAGCAGCTTAGCTGTGCGGTACCGTCATAACGAGGTTTCTGGGTGGAGGCTGAAGGTATTGAAGGGTACCTGGGTATTACCGATTACTTCTCAGGTACCACGTATTGGTAAAGGGAGGCGGGGGTTTAATTTTGACCTGTCCCCGACCCTGCAAGGATGAACTGCAACCAGTGGATGGTTTGAAACCCTCATCTACCAGTTGTGCGGTGGTTTTACATCTGTATGATCTTTTTCCCCCAGTGAAGGGTTACTGGTGCTGGGAAGGGACTTTGTGCTCTCAGGGCTAAACTCCGCGTATTGAACTACGGTTTACGCCGGCCTCCACTCTTAACCTAGGACCACCATGGCTGCGCATACCTCGGACGTATACAGAAGTCAATCGTTTAGAGTGGGAATGAATTTCACGATTGGCATAGTTCTACATTAAATCCGGATTCCAGATTCCAAGTTACAGCTACTGGGCTTGGTGTCAATGGCTTTCCCATTTTCCCACACTGGGGCGATTCAGGAGTGACGGCCTGTGCCCGGAGCGGCCCTTGCTCGCGTGGGAAACGGGCACATTACACACTCCTACCTTCCGGCTTGACGGTGAGCTCGATAGATCATCCACGATCAACGGTGGTTCAGTGTGGCTCAAGTTCGACCGGGGGTTTTCGAACTATGAAAATGACTATGGTCTATCAAGTTATGGAATCGGGCTCTCTTGCTTCTGCGTATTCAGAGTGCGTACTTTCGTACAGTATCTGGGTTCGCCGCGACCCAGTCATTTTGCTCCGCATACACTTAGTGCCGAAGTACAGTATTTCGATCTTCTGCCCGCCCGAGTGGCTCACGAATCTCGAGAATCACCAATTGAGTACTTGCTCCTTTCTCAGTGGAGAGAGATCTCCGTTCAGACCGTCTCCGTATGATTCTCCCTTCCTTTCCATTGCCCCCAGGTAGAGAGGCAAGGCACATTTGGACGTTAAGACTCTTGTAGCACATACTTTGTTAGCTCCTCGAAGTGGTTATACCTGTCTCCTTGAAACGGGAACCTAAAGATTGACTGGTACCGTGTATGCCCATCGGCTCCAGTTGGCTCGTCATAGAAGGGCGCCTCCCCCCTGGAGTGGCTAGCGCTGCGCCGGGCCTTGAATGGTTCACCCAGCCCTCTTGGCCCGATACACTCGCGTTCCAGGGCCTCATGCCGCTTATGCTCCCTGACTGGCCAGGATGACCCTGGCATACTGTACCTTCTTGTCCTTGCCCCAGCCATTCGTGTCCATCAGCTGGTGGATACAATGTCGAACTATCCGTGTTTCCTGGCTCCTTTGAACGCGAGCCTCCTCGGTATTACAGGGATCTCATCTCGCCGGCGTTTCCATGTGGGGGACGATTCGGTCGCAAAAGCAGGTTCTCTCTCGGGTCCCAAGCAACCAGTGGCTCCACGTTCCCCAATCTGTTCGGGCGACTTGATTCGATTGGAATTGCGCATTCCTTTGTTCGCGTTCCTTCGCGTCTCTGATCACTTAATTTGGCCTCAGCTCGCCCCGTCCCGATTGCGCCTTATCCTCGGGTCGGTCGTACACGCAACGATTGCTACGTGAGACGATGGACTACTGCCACCCCCCCCCCTCCTTCTCCTTGCCTGTGAGACCCGACGGATGTACTTGATTTGTCCCCGGTCTCGCATCCCCAGATAAGGTTTGCAATAAAGAGATGTCTGGGTTAATTTGCCCCCCCTTCGTATGTCCAGAAGCTCATCTGGTATACAGATGCGCTCCGCCGGCACACAGGTACACAAGCAGACATGCGACGTCTTGCTCATCTAAGTTTAAACCCTAGCCAATAGATCACAATGGCAGTGCGACTCGGAGCTTGAGGGTGGAATCCCCTTGCTTGGTCCCTTACTCGGCGCTCGGCGCTCGGCGCTCTGTAAGGCCACCGAAGGATGTTGGACTTCGGCCACTCGTCAATCCATCGGGACTCCACACTATCAATGGGTGTCTATGCGACTCGGCCGTTTTTGCAATGGAGGGCCCCCCGACCGGCACGAGTCATAGTGGCCAGGATCGTGCAAATGGCTCCGCTCCCTACTGTCACGGACTATGCAGCTCGCTTCCTAAACTCACCCAGATACGCGGATCAGAAGGTGATGCTACTGATTGAAAGCGTTGATATCTTTGAGTAAGAACATGACAGGCCTCAGACTGTCTCTAATTGTCCAATGCCTAGTGACTAGAAAAGGAAAACAGAGGGCCAGTACATCTCTACAGCCTCGAGATGTACAATCTGGCCACGTAAGGGACATTGAGGTGTTGATAGCTATAGGCACGGCTAGAATGTAGAGGTAAATGGCAAACAAAGCCCTCGGTCCTTTGCAGGAGTCGGCGGCTCACAAATTGTGTTCAATGGTCAGAATTTGTCTTCCAAGCATGCCAGGGACTTTGATAAAGACTCATATCCCGTGGGCAACCTTATTGCTTTTCATCAATTTGCGATCCCAATAGCCGGAATACCTCAACGATTGGAATGTTCAAATTCGCAGAATTGGACCTGGACTCCCCTCAAACACGGACTTGCATAAGTCTTTTGTCAAAATATCTGGCAACGTGCAGTGCCCCGCCGATCATGTTCACTTATCCCGTGGACAGCTTCGGAGCAACAAGGGGCCACGTATTTCGGCTGGAAGGCATAGAGCGTTTCCTGACGTTGAACGAGGACTGCATACCCAATACACCTGCATTCGTGCTTTTTAACAAACAGGCCTCATGTCCGAGGGAAAGCCGGGCCTTCCATCCATCTATTCAGCGTTGAAACCTCCATACTCTAAATGAAGACTTGCAGCGCGGCATTTCGTACTTTGTCCCAAAGTATCAAGGACTGCCCATTAGGATACTGTCCCACACCCAGCCATAACAAGTATTCAGTTCTCTGAATCAGACTAGTAGAAGTAATCTAACACCTTCTAAGCCGTCGATCCCTGCGAACCATTGGACGGAGCGGCATTGTTGCAAAGCGGCCCCAGGTCAACCAAAAAAAAAGGGTTAGACCGGGGTCCGAGAAAGCACCCAGAACAGCATAGTTAC